CCCGACAATTCCAAAATCTGAGGCGATTTAATCGTTCCACCACAGACGACTACCTCTCGTCGCGCTGAGACTTGGTACTCGACTCCGCCGTGGCTGAGACTCACGCCGGACGCTTTGTTGCCATCGAGAACGACTTTGTTGACTAGTGCTTCGCACAGGACTTTCAGGTTCGGTCGACTCTCGCGGTTTGCTTCGTAGTACCCGCGCGCGGCGTAGCTGCGTTTTCCCTTGTTTGGTCCAGTGCGTACGACTGTGCCGAGGGTGTGGTAGAAGCCGATGTGGTCGCCGCTCCAGGGGTCAAGGGGTTTATTTGGGAGGCCGGTTGTTTCTTCGCAGGCTTTGATGATGTCGTTTTCGACTGGCATTATGGTGTCGTTGAAACTTGTGCGGACTGGTCCGCTTGTGCCGTGGAATTGGCCTACTAGGGGCATGGTTGATGTATCGGTAATTGATGGGTCGATTGGCTCGAGGGTCTTATTTGTTAGTTCATGGTTTGGGAGTGTAAACAAGATAACGAATGGAGTTTGGACATACTTGATGCTTTCGCATGTACTGCTGCATTATCTCTGCAGACCACCCTTCATCCTCTGCAAGTTCCGCCCAATCATCATAGTCCTGCAACGAGCCTCGGACGTACATCATATAATTGATGGCACTGGAACCACCGAGGGCTTTGCCTCGCGGGATATGCTGGATTTTGCCTTGGTTTCCCTCCTACGTCGTGGGAATATACATTAATACTTAGGTCAGGGCAAAAGACAGAGTAAATGTTTACCTGCGGCGTTGTATACATGCACCAGTCATACTCGGGATTCTCAAACATCTGAGAGAAAGCCGCAGGCGTATCAATCAAAGGATCTCCAATGCGATACTTGCCCGCCTCAATGACGCCGACTGTCACGTCTGGGTTTTCACTGAGACGAGCTGCGATTGCCAATCCGGCGGTTCCTCCACCACAGATGACATAGTCGAAAGTCGTGCCGGTGAACTCCTCTACGGAGCAGGTGGGTTGAGAAGCCATGTTTGCGAGGGTAGTTAGATGATGAGAAAAGAGGGAATTCAGTTGCTATGAAGGACAGACAGACTATTTAAATTATTTGTACATATTGGCGACTGTAGCGCTTACATTCGTGACACCCCAGTTCTGGAGCGGGGTGAAGATTTAGTCCGTTTTCTCGAGTTTAGTTGCGTGGCTCTACTTGGACAAAGCGTTGATCTACCTATGCCCGAGGCTTAGACTTGAGTTACCCCGCTGAACCTCGGGACTCGAAAGTTTGAAAGTTGATATGTGGGGAAAGTCAGGTTATATATCAATATAGCCTCAAATTTGACTTTACATTGTACTCTACGCCTAACTCTCTACCAACGACAACAATTTCTCTAATAATCCCAATTCGCCCGACTGTGCCTCGTGCAGCCCAACGCCACCCAGGACGCCAAATAACTCCCTCTTCTGCAGAGCAAGCGTCAGGCCTGAAACGCCACTAAACCCATCTTGTGCAAGCGCACTCCTGTATGTCAGCGCGCCGTTGCTGACAGTGACCCGCCACCATCTCTGCTCATCGGTAACATGGACATCAATAGCGAAGCGCTCAGCTCCGGCTTTAGGCCCATTCAATCGAATCGCCATTAGATCAAGCCACTGCTCCACAGACTGTCCCATCTTCATCCCAGTACCCAAAGCCTTGATCTGCGAGTTGGGTGTTCTTCCCAGATCCTGTGCTGCAGATAGATAATAATTGCGCCAGGTGGCATTCTCAGCCCCAAATCCGAGTCTCATGTACACATCTGCTAGTGCTTCTTTGGACGCAGCGTACATAGGATCGGCAGAGACTGCATGACGAAGTAAAGTAGCAGCAAAGCGAAGATCCCCTTCCTGAACAAAATGTTCAGCCTTGCGAATCACCTCGTCAATACCCCCCATAGTAAAAACATATCTCTTCGCATTCTCGGCAGGCGGATGTTCCCACAGATGCGCAGCATCACCATCAAACCACCCCATATACCGCTGATAGATCCCCTTAACATTATGGCTAACAGAGCCATAAAACCCCTGCGCATGCCACGCGCTCTGCAACCCAGCCGGCAAGCCCAAAACCTCAGCAATCTCAACCCCATTCAAGCCCCGATTCATCAACCTCACCGTCTGATCATGCAAATAAGCATATAAATCCCTTTGTCCAGAAACAACATCCGCAATCTCCTCTTGTCCCCAAACCGGCCACGTATGACCCATACAAAGAACCTCAGCCTCGTCCCCAAACCAAACAAGCGCCTCATCCAAATACCGCGACCAGCCTTTCGCATCAACAGCCTGGCCCCCACGCAACGAGGCAACATTATGCAAACCATGCACAACACACTCGGAAATATAAAGCGCCCGCTGAACAGAAAAATAACAGTTCATTTCAGCCGGTGCCTCCGTACCCGGAACAAGCTGAAACACAATCCGCACACCATCAACAACCCGCTCCTCGCCCGAATGCTTGATACTGATATTCGGCGGTATCAACGACGCAGACCCCGCCGCCACAGAACTCCCAATCCCACACCCGATCTGACCAGCCGGATCTCTCGGTAGAGAACTCCCATACATGAACATCGTCCTCTTAGCCATAGCATTACCCACAAAGATATTCTCATCCATAGCCGCAGCCATGAATCCCTCCGGGGCGATAATGGGAATATCATGTTTCGTACCCGGCGGCAGGATCCCCTGCGCACCGCCGAAATGGTCGATATGGGAGTGTGAATAGAGGAGGGCGGAGACGTGTCTCTCGCCGCGGACACTGCGGTAGAGGGATAGGGCTTCCGAGGCAGTTTCCGTTGAGGTCAATGGGTCCAGGACGAGGATTCCCGTATCGCCTTCTATTATTGTCATGTTTGATAGATCTAGACCGCGGACTTGGTAGACCCCTGCTGTTACTTCGAAGAGGCCGTGGATTGTTGTTAGCTGGCTTTGGTGCCAGAGGTTGGGGTTTGCGGTTTGGGGGCAGGGGTGTTGGAGGAAGGAGTAAGCTTCGTTGTTCCATATTATGTGGTTTGGGTTGGTGGAGGAGGGTATTGTGCATGGTTTTAGGGCGCTGACTAGGCCGTAGGTGGCGTTTGTTAAGGTTGTTTTGGGGTGTTGGGTTGTCATTTTTGTGAGACGACACTTGAGTCTGGTATATTGGGATGAGCACTAGTATTATGCAGACTTTGGATAGAATCGGAATATTTTACATGTTGAGGGACGCAGTACTTTAACTCGTGCTAACCCCGACTTCCGATGTGATGACGTAGATATTCGTTGGTCCGGGGCCCCCGACAACTCGCCAAGCATATAAAATATATCCTAATTCGCTTTTATGCTATTGTACATGTACCTAGACGCCGATTTGACTCCCCAATGCATATGCCCGGGACAGCCAAGGACCCTAATTCAGATCTAACTGGTTTCTCAAAGCGCCATTTTGCGCTGGACCCATGCAAGGGCTTTGTCCCATCTCGGATCCCCGGATCTCAAGGCAAGATATAACTCCGATACTAGAGCGTTACCCGAGTTCTTTGCCCACCAGCGCTGCCCATCAAGCTCTTTCAGAAGTACACCCCAGTACATAAGAATGAGAAGCGAGAATGGCTGTCGACACCGGAGACTATCGACAAAGTCTTTCTCGACTGCAGCAAGCCAGGCAAGAACCGGAGCTGGATCCGGAGAACGTGCAAATTTCCCATAGCAATGGCGGAGATGGGCAATGACTTGTTTGTTGATGCGATGTTGATCCGAGTAGATCCCGATCATCACCTCGTCGTTCAACGCAGACAGAAGCGTGAGGGCAGCCTCAGTATCGGAATCAAGTTCTGCAGGTTCACTCTTCCAGAATGCACCCTGCGAAAACAACTCGAGATTGATCCACGACTGACTAACCTGCAGGATCTTCTTAACACCCTGCAGTAACTCGAACAAAATCACGATATTCTCAGTAATGCTCGAGCATTCATCCTTCGTAGCAGTGAGTCTGGGCGCGGTGATACTGATGGCGATCATGACGATCGAGTGTGCAAAAACAGCGTCACAATTCCTTGGCGAGATACTATCGATCGCATTTCGAAACGGCGTCAGACTCCGGTTATAGTACTGCAGCCCCGTATCATGATAAAGTAACGCCTTAGCCGGTTCTGCCGACGTGGCAATGTGCATGGACGCCAATGCCAGAATCCCATTCATCAAGTAATCATGCTGAAGAGCAAGACGCGGCACGGTAGTCTGCCAAACCGTAATTTCTGATTCACTAACACAAAGACTCTGATAAGTCTCGGTAGAATATTTATGCATTAATTCCAAATTATTAATGCCAAACGTGTTCGGCTGGATAGGACTTGAATCTGTGACTGGGTTGGCCGAAACTGCAACGGCAACGGCTGGCAGCGCAGTCGGGGCGACAGAGACCGTAGGCGCATGCGCCGCCGCCGACGCCGGCGAGCCGCCTGACAGCGACCGTGCCGGGTCGGAACTTGGGCGGCGGGAGTTTGTGGCGCGGCCGCGTGCAGCGGCGACTTTCAAGTATGTGCAGTCTAACTCGCGCGTTGTGCAATTTGAACACGGTGGACCCCGCTCGTCACATTTGACCCGCCGGCTCCTGCACTGGTCGCACCCGTTGCGAGATTTGGTGTGCGCGCGGAGAGGGGGCATGTTCGAAGTTAAACATGCCGCGGAGGCCAACCATTCATATTGATGGGTGTGTTCATGCAAGAGAGTTGGGTGGTGAGTTTGCTTAAGGGGTCATGTGACTCGCTATACTTTGGTCTCACTCATTATGTACTTTTGTTATGCAGGAATGTTATTCAAAAGAAGTATTCAGAATGTGAATTATGGGTTATATTATATAGCCTACGATACAAGGAGAGTGTTTGGGCACAGATTAAACTATAAAAGCAGCGATAATCCCGAGATACACTACTAAAGAATATAAAATTGAACCACCCAATGATGTACAATCTGGAAATAACTTCTCAACCACTCACATAAGAGCAGCTGCCAAAACACCAGCACCAACAACACCAAAAATGCTACCCGATATCCTCTTCGCACCATTGAAGACAGGAGAAGAGGAAGCCGCAGCAGTCGCAGAAGTGCTACTCCAGCCAGACATGGAAGAAGTAGAAGCTCGGGTAGGCATAGCCGACGAAGACATAGTCATGTTCTTGTTACCAATCCTATTACCCATACCCATACCCATCATGCTACCCTTAGCTCCCTTCTTCCCAACCTAACAACAAGCAAGATCAGCTCTGCACATGCATAACAGGTAAGGCGACAGCCTACCGACTCCGACTCTACTTTACCTCAACAATAGCAGGACCAGCAACAATGTTGTCATCAGTGGCCGTCTTGTTTCCCTTGGTGAGAACGACGTAGCTCTGCCCGGCAACGCCCTTGGGGACGGTGACGGTGAACTTGCCATCGCCCATGGACTCCAGAGGTACCCAGACGGGACCGGTGACGGTGATGAAGGCGGCGTTGATGTCCGTCGCGCTGGCGTCGAAGCCGGTGCCGGCCATGAGGTTGACTTTGGTGCCAGTCATCACGGTGTCCATGTTGCTCATTGTCAGAGCGGGGAAGGCCTTCACGGGGAGGGCGCCGTTGCTGGAGGGGCAGGACGCGATGAAGGGTGAGGCTACTGTGAAGACTTCGTTGAAGTCCAGGGGGTTATCGAAGGCCTGGGCGTAGGGTGCTTCACCGAGAGAGGCGCGCAGGTAGGCGCTGTGTCGGGCTTCCACGGTTAGGATGCTGCCTGCGGCTGTGAGGTAGGTATCGTTCATTATGGAGGCGGCGGCTCCAAGGTAGGCGCTGACTCCGACACCTGGGATGGTTAGTTGGGAATGGGCTTCAGACTGGGGTTGGTAGCTTACCCTCGAGAACGCTGGCGAGAGCCAGGAAGCTGTTCACATCGGTGGAGGGGAAGTTGTAGGTACAGGCGGCGACAGGGGAGGCACCGGCAGCTGGATATACTTGTTAGTACAAAATTATTATTTCTAAGTGTTGTAAACATACCCTTCAAAGCAGAGGTGAGGAACTCCACGTGAGACTTCTCATCGGAAGCAACCTCCCGTAGGTTGGCATAGAAGGGGTCATTCATGCCAGCCTTGACAAAGTCTTCCTGGGTGTAATTCTTGAGACCCTCCTCATAGAAAGAGGCCTCGAGATGCTCCAGGGTCAGAGCATAGTTGAGGATATCGGCTAGAAAGAAGGAGGGAGAGTCAGCATTTGATCAATTGAGTCTTCGAAAGAGACATACCGTCACTGATGCCACGCTTCACAATAGGAGTAGCGTTGGCAAGACCGAGGGCAGCGCCGGCGAGGGCAATATTGGTGACCTTCATTATGAGAAAATGTTCTGATAATATTGAGTAGATTGGAAAATTGGCTCTGATAAAGAGATTCTTCTACTGCGAAAGGAACAGCCCATTTATATCTGGCACAGAGGAGGCGCAGGGCCCGTATGCATGAGCTCACATTCTGAGTCCAGAATACGACAGAGCCTGGCCAAGGCGAACTAGTTGCTTTCTTCCTAGATTTGGCGCCATGATGCCTGATAATGGACGAAATCTGCAGTCAACAGATAGTGATCGACGGTTGAAATCCAGATCGGGAGAAAGCAAGAGCACGAAAGACTCGGATAGAAATTGAAAACTACTCCGAGAGGACGAACAGGAACAAATTTCCACGAGCTATATTCTGCAGGGACAATTGTAGTGGAGCAAGCCGGGGTAGCTAGAGACCTGTCCTACGGTCGATCTTGCCCTATGGAGAATATAACCAGGCCATAGCTTGAAATGGAGTAGACTAGCGATCTCTCGGGACTTTTTAGCTGCAGGAACTGCTCACGGCTGTGCAGAAATCCGGAGTGAGAATAGAACAACGAGAGCGAGAGCGAGACTAACTGGTAGGAAATAAATTGGGAGAAAGACCGAAGACGGGACCGGGACCGAGAGCGAGACCGAGAGCGAGACCCAACTACTGCTGAAGAATAAGAAGTTTGTACTCTGTACACTACAGTGATTTGGAAACCTTGTAGCATACCAAATTTTGGATATTGACCCCTTGCCTGTTGAACAATATTTGTTGATCATTTTGGCGTCTTGAACTGAAAGCGTGTTTCTGTTCTCTGGACCGTACGGTATACAGTTTTTAGCTTGAATTACACGCATGATGTTTGCCTTAAGTGTACATTTTATTGCAGTATATGGCAAGTCTAATGAATCTCCAGCTAAGCAAACGTATTAATCGAAACTGAACCAGTAAAAGACCTTCTTTAAGGAAGTGTCAAACTGGGTTTAGAGCGAGAGACAGTGGAGAGCCAAAACAACCCACGAAATCTCAAAGTTAGTAAATGCCAATTGCAGTGCGGGACTAATTATGGGAGATAAGGTGGGCTGTGATTGTAGATACATACTTTATGGCGGGTATAAGAGGTTGTTGTACGCGTACAGTATGGCTACCTCCCACGCCTTCGCTGAGCTATTCCCTCGGGGCTCTTCCGGCCAAAGTCTCTAGGAATGAAATTTCCATCTTCGTCCTGCGCCGTTCCATCGCCCTCATCATGGACAGGAATCCACCCATCTGGAGCATTCGGACATAGCCCGCACATATGATCGAATTGGAGATCCAAATAGAGAGGCCACAACGCCCAGACCAGGACCCTCATATATCCACGACAAGAAGGCGAATCATACCTCTTTTCGGGGTCATACCGTCCATCAACTACCCCAACAAACCCCCCGTGAGGGTCATCTGTCGCAACAATAGAGTTCAATGATCTCTCATCAATCATAAAAAGGGACGGCAAAGCGAGACTCCTCACAGTATTCCACCTGCTTAATCTTACGCAGATACTGAGCAAAATGGCCACCAACTTTCTCAATACTAGCACCGTCCCAACGACTCGAGTCGGGGATGATCGCATCCTTATGGGACTCTTCTATCAGCTGCTCAGGGCGGGGGTCATCCCCATAGCGTTTCCGGGGATAGTTCAATTCACTCTTCATCCATTTGTTCATCACGCGGGTCAGCTTTTCCATGGCGATCCGCCACAATTCTTCAGACTCAGGCATGTAGACTGTTCGATAGATGATACATCCCCAAGGAAAATGGTGGGAATCGTTGAGTTAAGAATCGATGGGTAATGCGATCTGCCGTGTTTTCGTACCATGGCTCTTTCTTCCACTTTGCGAGGCTTTTTCGGTGAAGTCCGGATGATGCCAGCGCTGTGGCCAGACCGGGTGATGGTAGTGTTTGTCAAAATCCAATTCCTCGGCCTGGTCGATCGGGTCGTTGGCCGAGGCAGATTCAGATGGGGATGGGGTTGATCTCATCTGTGGAAAGTGATATACCACAAAATAAGCCAAAAAAAGGAGAAGAAACAGGTAGTAAACTATAGATAGCACCATTTTGATAGGGACAGGACCAAAGGAGGTTCAAGCGCGGGTGTTGAAGGAGAGAAGATAAATAAGAAGGGAAGAAGACCTGAAAAAGACCTGCGAGAAGCTTCAAATAGTTAGGCCTCTTCCCTATCGACCAATCATATACAGTGTTAAATTAATACAAATAACGTATTTCCCTACTTCTCTATCTTTACGCCACTCCCCGGCTCATCTTCATCTTGACCGACGCGATCACGACGTGATCAAAGTGTTGACGTTTAGAAATGCCATACGAGAGGTTTCTTGAGCCAAATCCGCAATGTGGGGCTTCTATGACTTGTCCATCAATGGCTTCCTTTCCTGACGGGATTCGCCTGTATGAGGATGATCAAGGAGGCCTTTTTGCGTCAATAGTCATAGCAAATGACGTCGAAAACTTGCTTCGTTACGTTGAAGACTGTGGCCCGCCATTATTCGGCGAACCCGCAGAGTGCGAGGACGACTATTTTTTTACGGCTACCGTGAACGGCAGCACCGATACTCTTCGCGTCCTCGCAGAGATTTATCAATCTGACCACCGTCAGAAAGAACCGCTCAGATCTCGACTTGAACGTCAAAATATTCGACTTCTGAATCTAGCTTGTGCGAACGCTCAGTTTAAGACGGCTGAATATCTCATGAATTGCGGCGCGCCATTGGGCGAAATGTTCAATGAGCGAGGATACGCCGATGCACCTCTTACAGTCGCGTTAGCCGCGCTCAAACTCATCAAAGAGGCCCCCCCTCGGAGAGACGCTCCAGCTGCCAGGGAACTATTGAAGATTTTGTATGCAGTCTGCTGGACAGAGGCGCTTCAGTTCGGGCCACCAATGAACAACTTCCATCAACTCAACGACCTACAGTGCTGGGGGCAGCGGCAGCCCTGGGGAGCTACAACCTAGCATCTCGACTCATTGCCGACGGAGCCGATCTTCATGGAAAAGAGACATGGCATGAGAGAGCCACAGGCTCTATTGACAATGTGACCGCGCTACACATAGCTAGCGGATCCTGGAACCTAGCTTTCGTTCAAGCCTTGCTCGAAAGCTATGGCGCTGATGAATTTGCTCAGGCGGCATCGGCATCTGACAGTAGAGGACGACTTCCTCTTCACTGGGCTTTGCTTAATCTCGATAATACGTTCAATAAACCGTCGGACGAGCAAACCATATCGACGGGGCTCAAAGTTGTTAATTTATTACTGGAGTCCAACCCAGACACTATCAATGTACAGAGCTCACATGGAGCAGCCTTCAACTTCCTCACAAATGGCTATGTTATGGGTGCTGGAAGTCTGGCCCTCATGAAAGTTCTCCTCCGCTTCAGCCCAAACATTAGCACTGTCAACGCACAAGATCAATCAGGTGCAACTGCTCTCTTGACAGTATTATCTTACCATGAGACGTGCAATATAGTTCGTGAAAGTTACACTATACCATTGGTCGAGCTTCTCCTCGCCCATGGAGCCGACAGGACGGCCTATGACAGGAAAGGTCAAACCGCGCTACACAAGCTAGCTGCTAGCCCATCATACGACGACCCAATCAGTCCAGATCTGCTTGAGAAGTTCATTCCGTCCGTCGATATCAACAAAGCCGATGTCAACGGCTGGACGGCCCTTCACTGGATGGCAAGAAACCTGCGGCAAGTCGAGGCGTCTCGTTTACTAGTCCATCGGGGTGCTGATGTGAATACGGTCAACAAAAAAGGCAACACGCCTCTCCATGAAGCGATGGGAGGCAGGCTCATAAGGAAAGAGATGGCAGACGGAACGCTTGATTACCCCACCCTTGCAGAGAAGATCCGGGTCCTCGACGAGATCGTCTCGATATTACGAGAAGCCGGCGCATCAATAGATCAGCCTAATTTGGCACGCCAAACGCCCGCGCAGCTACAAGAGCAAAAGCGGGCAAGATGGGAGAAAGGGGGTGAATAGTTAACAGGGATAGCGATTCTTGCCTGGTCAGGGAGCTCTCTAGGACTCAATATCGAGGTCGAGCGATAGCTCAACGGAAACATGGCTCAGCATGTTCTATTTAATTCTTGCCCTTCAAATAGATAAATGCTATCATCTATATATGTGTGCAGATCTGAAAATCATTGATACTATGTTGATAAACATTTGAAGCTCCAAATGTTGTGGGAACATGGAAACTGCAGGCTGTACATATGTAGTTAAAGTGACAATATGTACGGGAATCCAATTGAGGAACTATAGAGCCACTGAACGCATCACCTGTGGTGGGTAGTCCATCTTCTGGGGCTCTGCGTGACTCGAAGAGATGACTATGAGGAGCCAGTTTTTCTGCATCCCGAATCAAGAACACTGCAGATGCCAAAGAGCCAATACTCGAGCCAAGCATACAGATACTAAAGCCATCATGTTTCCGTTGGGCTTGGTTTTGATCAGACAATTTTTGCGGGTCACTTTGATTTATTTGCTCGCCTCGTAGGTTTCTGTGATCCTGGTGCTGAAGGACGTGTGACGACTGGCATTAGTCCTTGGGTGTTTCACCAAAACACGACCGCGTTTTCCAACCAGCCAGACATTTTACTGACGTCGTATTCTATCCTTATAAGTCACAAACAGCTGGACAAAACAGAATTCCCCAACTATTACCCCAACGGCGAGCACGAGCATGATGTGTTGATACTCATGCCTGGAACAGTGTCGGCATATATATGAGTCAATCTTCGTATGCTCGGTTTAGATTCTCGGATTCTGTGGTACTTAACCGTATTGTTAATGTAGAAAAGCATGGAGGTGTTTGGGTAAGCAATTATCTCCATTTTAGTCGAGGAAACATGTGAACCAATTGTACACCGATATTTTACATACGGGAAAAACGACTAGGAGCAAAGAGTGTCGATGTAACTTAAGAGTTGTTGTTGCTCGCTTCCGGGTAGATATCGGCAAAATATATACCGAAGCCCACACGGAGTAAGCCCACACGGAGTAAGCCCACACGGAGTAGGCCCAAAATTGAGTCCAATGTCCCGGTCTACATTGTTCTGTACCTACCAGGGTTGGGCTACTGCCTCAAATTGTTGTTTATCTGAGGATAAACCATGGAAGAAGACCGGAAAGATGGGATATCATATGAGATATGGTTAAGTTCAAGAAAAAAAGGTGCTCTAACTGCGACCCAAAATTCTTTCGGTAGATTGGCTATAAAACTCACAAGGACAGTGACCAACTTTGTCTTAGAAGAAGCGACATTCTGCAAAGGGCATTATAGTTGATGGGGGTAACCACCAGCAATGCATTCTGCATCTCATGTAAAAATTTGAAATTATTTTAACTTATTCTCCTAAAACGAGCTACCCAGTACGTCGACTATACGGGAAATGGAAGCAGTGAAAACAAGGCTTTGACCCTGATCCCTTCGCCATAGTTGCAGCAAACTAGACCAAATGGACACCAATCATGCCGCAGCTTTAGCCTCATGTGCCTGGAAAAGAATTTGAGATAGCCCAATAATAAAGAAACACGGAAAAAAGAAGGAATTCCGCCCATTAAGTTATAGTCTGACAGCTGACTACTACAGTCGGGAAAAAAGAAATACAAGTAACTGACAGGTCAACTAATATAAAAATGCATCTAGAATCAATATCGACTGTTCTCCCTATCCCATGGACGTCGGATAAGTTTCTGCACGGCCAATGAACATTTGGGGGTGGAGAGCTCTTCATGCACAAGCCGGTTTAGTGTCTTTCACGTGCCCCACCCATGGGGAATTGTCAACGGCTGTTTTATTCGCTCAAGGGTTGTTCTCCTAATTGTCTAAATTATGGCAGGGACTCGAGCCTTTCATCCTGATCCTGTAGAGGAGGAGGAGCGCGAGCGGATCCGCGATTTATCGAGGTATGTAGCGTTCCGTCCGTATCGCACTCGTTACTGACCATTGCCCCAACAGGTATTACTGTACAGTAACACGGTCACTAGCAACGACAGATGCAGGGGATGAGGATAGCCTGGCTGCACCACAAGGGGACGAGCAGCCGGCGAGCTGCGAGCTTGCCCAGGATATCACCCTGACCGCTCTGGCGCAACTCGGCGTGCATCGTTTTAACTGCAACCGATCCTTTGTTTCGATCATAGACGGCGAACTTCAGCATATCATTGCCGAAGCCACGGCGTCGGTTTCTCTACGCGACAAGAACCGGCATCTACCCGACGATGGCATCTACCTCGGAGCACGGTCTCTCGATCTGATGTGGGGCGTGTGTCCCCATACGATCCGATTGTTCACAGGGCGCGAACCAAACGATATAGAATCGGGCAATGTGACAGCAAACCGCACTCGCTACATTATTCGAGATTTCCGTGCGGAGGACTGCTTCAAGGACCGACCATATGTTCGAGAATGGCCGTTCATGCGGTTCTATGCCGAGGTCCCTCTCTACAGCGCCACGGGTTATGTGCTGGGCTCTTATTGTGTGGTAGACGACGAACCACGCACAGTGTTTGGCGATTCAGATGTTAGAGATCTCCAAGAAGTTGCTGATGCTATTGGCCAGCACTTGGAGAATGTTCGAATTGCCCAGGCCCATATTCGCGCCGAGAAATTGGTCAAGGGCCTGACCAGCTTTGTGAAAGAACATGCAGATTTTGATCCAACAGAGGTCTCGAATAATGGTCTCCTTCAATCAAGTGTCAGTGCGGCCAACATGTCACCAAAAGCGAAATCGGAGAGCGGCGAGAAACCGGTTCCTTCCACGCCGCCGGGTGACATAGACGCCCCCAAGGTCGATATTCACAGCCCCGAACAATCACCCACATCAACTATCACACAAACTTCCAGACAAGCATCTTCGTCAACTGTTACTGTAGAGGAATCTATGTTTTTCTTGCAAGACCAATTATCGGCGACCGATCCCTCTCTATATTCAGGCGTTTCTGATCGGCCGATATCTTTGAGCCCTGGAGAAGAAAAGACGCTTGGAGATGTCTTGGACCCAGAGGATTCAGTCACTGCAGACGCGACCCCTGTTCAAAACATCGAAAGGGACTTTTCGCTGTCATCATTAACCGATAAACGTCCTGTGTCGGAACGTGTTGCAGCAATTTATTCTCGTGCAAGTCTTTTGCTTCGGGAGTCCATGGATTTAGATGGAGTCGCGTTTCTCGATGCTTGCCCGACAAACTTTGCGTTGTTAGTGCAGAATACCCTTGATACTAGAATCGTTCTAACTTCTTTTTCCAGCGCGCCAGAAGAACCCGATAAGTGGGAGCCTTTACGACCAACACCTGACACAGACTTCCCAATGGCGCCGCTTCCCAGTCCGCTTGGTCTGCCGAATGTTGTCTCTCATGAATTCGATGAGCCGTGCGATACGTTAAGTTGCGCCATTAAAACAACACCAAAAGGAGACGCGAGCTTAGGCCGTCCGCCTATCATACGAAAGGGACTGCTGCATCGACTTCTCAGAGCCTACCCTCAAGGTCAAATTCTGAGTCTCGAAGATGCGATCGTGGGTTCCAGAGAGGACTACCTGTCGTCTTCCTACAATGAAACTTTACAATCTGGACCAGAGTCATTCAAAACACAGTCTATTACAAATGAACTCGCGAAACGTCTTCCTGGTGCCAAATGCGCTCTCTTTCTTCCTTTGTGGGACTGGAACAAGTTCCGCTGGCTGTCTGGAATCCTAGTATGGACCACAAGCAGCTACCGGGCACTTGGCCTAGAGGAACTGCACTATTTTAAAGTTTTTGGCGATTCCATCATCTCGGAGATTTGTCGGATCCACTGGGCCAGCACCGAGAAATCAAAATTCGACTTTATCTCCTCGGTCAGCCACGAGCTTCGTTCGCCGCTGCATGGCATCTTGGCGAGTGCTGAATTACTCCACGGAACTTCTCTTGGCTCAGCCCAGGAGGAAATGGTGGGCATGATTGAAAGCTCTGGGTTGACATTACTCGACACGACGAATCACATGTGAGTACACAGTTCGCGCACGATTTCTTTTACGTCCCCACTAATCAGTTTCTAGGTTGGATTTCTGCAAGATTAACAATCTTAGACAGACAAATCGACTCAATGTGACCGCCGCCGATGGTGAAACAGTGACTCTTGTCTCTGATTTCGACATCAGTCACTTGGTCGAAGAAGTTGCAAACATTCTGTATACTGGACAGAGGGCCTCCGAACATGTTGCAACTACTAGAGAGCGGAGGTCTTCAAGCGTGAATTCAGGTCATCTAAGCAACCTTCATTTCGGCCACCAGGACCAGATGTCAGTTGTTGTTCGAATCGACCACTCGGATGCCTGGAGGATTCGGTCTCTGGCGGGTGCCTGGAGAAGGATTGTCATGAACCTTCTGGGGAATGCCATGAAATGGACCTCCGCTGGGTTCATCGAGGTGGCGCTATCAAAGATGAAGGGTCGATGCGACAAGTTACCGCTGATACACCTATCTATTACTGATACCGGCCGTGGGATTGCGGCGGACTTTATCAAACACAAGCTATTTACCCCCTTTTCCCAAGAGGACCCACTAACAGAAGGCGTCGGGCTGGGACTTAGCACCGTCCATCAATTGGTTACGTCTCTCGGGGGCCACATCAATGTGAGGAGCGAGGTTGGAATTGGGACACAAGCCGATGTTTATATTCCTGTGCAGTATTTGGAAGCTCGCCCAGACTGGGATATCACACGCGCATCATCGACCACAGCCCAAGAATCGACCGATTCAATCCATGCCTGTTTAGTTGGGTTCAATGAATACCCTGACCTGGGAGAGACGCCAACTGGAATACTCACCGTTGAGGGTAAACGAAAGCTCTCCATTCAAAGCACCATTGCCAGTATCCTCATGAAACATCTTAATTGGAAGATTTCCCTGGCTGATACTATGGAGAAAGCACGCGGCCAAGTAATCGTCATTGAGGAAAGATTACTTCAACGCGCAATGGAAGAGAACGAGAAACTGGCCTTAGAACTGTCCACGAAGAACAGATTACACTTCTTCGTTGTACTACTCAGTGGGAATGTGCCGCTCATCCCTAATGAAAGATTGGTCAACGTCATTCGAATATCTCAGCCGTAAGTTCTCTCTCGTTCTAGCTGAACAGAATGTTCATACTAATTGCCTTTGCAGTTTCGGTCCACAGAAAATTTACAATGCCGCTGAAAAGATTATGAAATGGCGAGAAGTACAAGAGCCACATAGTTCTCCCATCCTTGCACCTGGTGCCACCCCCGCGATCCTTTTTCCTGGCCGGGAAAGGGAGAAAGACACCAACCCGATGTCTGATATGGACGAAAAGAGGTTATCTCAGCAAACAGTTGAAGCGGCCAGCCCTCCTGGATCAGCAATCTCAACTCCGAAGCCATCTAGCAGAAAGAGCCTTGCACATGTGCTCATTGTGGATGATAATGAGATCAATGTGAAGGTATGACTGATCCCCTTATCCAATTACATGCAAATTCGATATGCATGACCCTCATCCTTGCATACGCTGACACCACATAGATCCTGGCCACATTTATGCGAAAAATAAGCTGCAGCTTCGACACAGCCTCAAATGGACTAATTGCACTGGAGAGATACAAAAGCTCACTCTACCACTACGACTTCATTCTAATGGGTACGTTTTCTTGTATAATCCATCTTATACAGCTTATTAATCTCTAAACAGACATTTCAATGCCGGTAATGGACGGCCTCGTCTCAACTAGTAAAATCCGCGAATATGAAAAAGAAAATAACCTCACACCATCGTGCATCATGGCCGTCACCGGCGTTTCCTCAACCGGCTTCCAGCAACAAGCAAGTACAGTCGGCATCGACAAATACCTTATCAAACCTACTTCCCTTCACGAGCTCAAACTTCTTATGAATATTGCATGATACCTGATACCATTTCCGTTCGGTCTGGTTTGTCTTCTTGCACTGCGCGGTGTTGGCGGTTTGGTTCTATATGTACACGAAGTAATAGTATAGTAAAATAATCAAGAAAGCAATACAACAATACAACAATGATGTGGACGAATTAGATGGAATGTATTAGTCTAAATGTAACGCGAAATCCTCCCCGTATCAATTACATGTACATGGCTGCAAATTGTCTATCGAGTCTTTCAACTCGGAGCACATCTGTTGAACGAATGTTGTGCCGAAAGACCAAAAAATACTCGAGCGGCTCTAAGGATTGGGCTCTTGTAGTTCTAAAGAATGCATGCAGATTAAAATTTACTAGAGACAGGCATTCAATAATAATAATTGTTCATTGGATATGTAACCCTTGGTATCGTCGCGATCCATCGCAAGTACATCAAAGCAAGAAAACAGAATCGCGGTACTCCATATCTCCATTCCATTCATGACCATTCAACAGGGAAACTAGTCACTGCTCATCTCGGTGTCCTGCAGCATAGGCTGGTACAGCGCAGCCGAAAGCTCGTAGTATCGTCGCTGCCACAATTCTACCTCGTTCTGGAAAGCACGGGACAGCGAAGCAAGGGCATTGTACTTCTCAACAAGTTCTTCATATTTCTCCTCGGAGCTCTGCACCTGGGACTTGCGAATTGCAATGTTCTGTGCCAGCATCGAAGCCTCAAAGTTAAGGACTGCATTCTTGGACTGCAGGGTCTCGACGTAAGTCTTGCCAGTATTGGGATTAGTCGGATTGAGTTTGTCCAGCTTCTGTTCCATACGCTTCTTGTCGGCAATCAACTGAGCGATTTGGCCTCGAGCGCTCTCCAGCTGGGTACTGGGTGGGCTGTAGTTGGTGTATGGGCCCCGGGCATGGCGTTTGGCAGGACGAGAAGTTCTCATTGGACCGGGCTTGTGCACCAGCTTCTGCGGGGTGACAGAGGTGAACGGCAACATGTACTGCTGGTCGGCTTGCATGAGGCCCTGGGGGAAGCCCCGGGGGATATTGATGGGAACAGGCTGGTGGATTAACCGAGCCTGAGTCTGCAACGCAGCCTGAGGGATAATGTGATGCATGCCCTGGGTAGGAGACAGCTGGAAGGCCTGAGGAGGAGACCGGCAGGCACCTTGGAAAGCATGCTGAGTAACCTGGGAGTGGGCCTGCATATCAGTATGGGGAAGAAGCTTGTGGATAACCTGGGGAGACTGTTGAACTCCTTGAGCAAGGGGCTGGGGGACGCCTTGGAAACGAGCATGCTGAATGGCTTGAGGGAGTACCTGAGTAGCAGCCTGGGGGAGAAGGCGATGCATGCCCTGAGTAGGAGACTGCTGAATGGCCTGGGGCGTCTGCAAGTTAGTCTGAGGAACAGACTGGTGGACAACCTGAGGAGACCGGTGAATTGTCTGAGGAAGAGCCTGCGAAGTAGACTGAGGAACATCCTGGTAAGCTATGTGCTTGTGGGTCTTCTGGGGCTCGGTAACAGAGTTCTAAATGTAATTAGCATAGTCAAGCAGTTGGATGAAAGATCTTTGCGGAAACTGTACCTTTGCAGGGTTGGGTTTCTTCGAGGTACTGCCAACCTGCTCTAAGGCAGTGGCCTTCTTCTTCGAGGCGGGCAGAGGCATAGTGAGCACAACATTGGATGTAGATTCCTGAGGAGGCACATCGTCTTCATCGTCAGAGATAGAAGCCGAAAGAGCAGTCACAATATCAGGCGCATCTTCGTCAAGCTCAAAGGACGATCCTGTCCATGGATTGACCCAAGGATTTCCTCCCATAGAATCAATAACTTTGCCGATCTCTGCGGCCCGCTCCTTGACAGATCCGCTGCGGGAAGTGTTGGGGGTCACCTCCCATTCTCCGGGCTTGGAGTCCGCGATAACTGGGTTGGCATGAGTGTCAAGCTCCGTGTTATTCTCCTCGGCATGGGCGTTATGCTGCTGAAACTTTGCAAGTTCGCCGTCGAAGTCAAAGTAGTTGGGGTCGTTCACGCCCTTAGGCAGCGCGGTATCGTCAGGGCTAGGAGAAGGATCCGAAGGGGGGTAATTGGAGGCGGCATAGTACCCTTCATAGGGGCATTCAACAGCATCCGAGTAGGAGCAAAAAGGGAGACCAGCCATAATGAGTTACAATGATCGAGACTGCCGAGAATTGGCACTGAGGAGGATTGTCGAGGGAAGAAGAGGGAGGAAACGGGGAAGACATAAAACAAGCGCGTGGTGTTCTGACAAGGAACAATGGGAAGCATAGAATAATAAATTGCTATTTTTCACTCCCAGATTGGGAATGAATAGAATAACCCAGCCAATGAGCCGGAGGCTCTCGTTGTCTGCCACTGTGATCATGTCTTGGATTTGTTTATTCTGCCGGCCAATGAATTGTTCTGCCGGCATTACATACGTCATGTACAGTACAAGTGCACCACCGCTATTGTGACCGCCCTTATTCACCCACCATCTGTTGAGAGCTACTACCACTAGATCTACTTATTGAGTGGGATAAAGCAAAGAATAAACCAGACAGTCACTATGCTCAGACAAAGGAGATGCTAGATATCTAAACAAGGCATTCCCCCATGCGGCAACTGAAGTTGTTCAATGGTATTGACCGCCTAAAGGTGAAGTACCTGATTGGCCAAAATGCCGCAGACACCCACCATGAGTAACTCCCAATCAGGACTAGTGGCAACCACTATCAATTTAGATAAGAATGCTTGGCCGGTTGCTCTTCACCGCCCACTGGACCGCCACGCTCATTCGTCAAAACTCCCCGTCTCCTCGACACCGCTTCTATCACGTGAAACCTTGATCACGTGTAGAAATGGCAACTCGCCGGATGACATCCGGGACGGGGTCTCCGGTGTTAGCTCCCCCCCCCTCGTCGCTCAATTAGCTCCTCCTTGGACGAACTTAGCATTACTGAATGCGACGATATCGCAACTCCTGATTCCGCCTCTGACAACACGCCTGCAACCTTTGACATGAGTGTTATCCTTTGCACTGGTAAGTGAATCGGAGACCGCAAACCTCCCCGCATTCTTTTCATTCATAGTGCTAATGAGGGTTGGCATGTTCTAGCGGGGTATGACCATACCATCCGGTAAGTTGGAGCTCAGCAATAGCGCAAACGCTTTCTTGGCGACTGCAAAGGTCGCAATCTGTGGCAGGACTTGCGCTGATATTGTCTCTCACAGCTTCTGGGAAGCACTCTCCGGTATTTGCTCGCGTACTATTCAGCACCCGGACTCCCAGGTCAATCGCCTGTGCATCACTCCTGACAAGCGATTCCTCGCGGCCGCGGGCCATAACAATGTCAAGCTGTTCGACATCAAGTCGACCAACCCGAACCCTGTGATTACTTTCGAGGGTCACACGAACAACATCACCGGCGTTGCCTTTCACTGCGAGGGCAAATGGATGGTCACTAGCTCCGAAGATGGAACCGTGAAGGTCTGGGATACGCGTACCGGTAGCCTCCAGCGCAACTATGTCCACCGTGCCGCCGTCAACGATGTTGTTATTCACCCCAACCAGGGCGAGCTCATCAGCGGTGACCACGCCGGAATGGTCCGTGTCTGGGACCTGGGCGAAAGTGTTTGCACTCACCAGCTGATTCCTGAGGATGACACTGCTGTGCTTAGTGTCAGCGTTGCCAGTGATGGATCTCTGCTGTGCGCTGGAAACAAAAAGGTATGTGTTGCTGATTCTACGGTCAATGATGCGTACTGACTTCTGGCAGGGAAACGTCTACCTCTGGCGCATGGTCCAGACCGACGAGACCACTCGCATTATTCCTGTCTGCACCTTCCAGGCCCACAAGGACTACCTCACCCGCGTTCTGCTCTCTCCTGACGTGAAGCACCTGGCGACTTGCTCTGCCGACCACACTGCGAAGGTCTGGAACCTCGATGCTGATTATCTGCCTGCCAAGGCTGTTCTCAAGCAATGGAAGGAGAAGGAAGCCCAGAACCCTCCTGCGGAAACCCAGGCCGAAGTTCCAACTCCACCAACTGAGACTCCTACCCAATCCCGCGATTTGCTGCGCATCTTCGACACCCCCGCCCAGGACCGTGACCTTCTTCGTATCACCGACAACCCTCCCCGCCAGGAGACTCCCCAGCAGACGTTCACTTCGTCTCCCGATGGCCCTCCCATGGACCCAGTCAACCACACCCTGTTCCTGGAGACCACTCTCGCCAACCATCAACGTTGGGTCTGGGACTGTGCTTTCTCTGCGGACTCTGCTTACCTCGTGACCGTCTCCAGTGACCACTACGCTCGCCTGTGGGAGCTCAGCACTGGTAACATCATCCGCCAGTACAGTGGCCACCACCGTGGCGCCGTGTGTGTTGCCCTGAACGACTACTCTGAGCCTCGCTAGGGGCGAGTCGCGAGTTGAGTCGTTTTCTCTGTTTAACGGCGTTCCGTGGTTTCGACCTAACGGTTTCGGGTGGCGTTCTTTGCTTCGGTTTATTCTACACATGGCATGGCGCAAGCAAGGATAGGTGTTTTAGGGTTATCTACATGGCGTCGTTGAGGCACATGGGTATCTCTTTGTTCCTTGATTCTGAATTCTTCTGATGTTTTCTGATACCAATGACTGTTCTATGAATCTGACAAACATGCTCAGATAGTTTTTATCAATACCACATTAATCATGTTAATCCCGCCCTCTCTCCAGACAAATGTAAGCTCCAAGGCAGCATGTTATCTAGGCGTCGTAAACAGATTGTCATTATCACCCCAAGCATAGCATCGACCGAGCGGCTGTCCCTACCCTCAGTTGCTGTAACGGATTCATTCACCACGGCTCGGTTCTTCGGTATTTCGATCTATCCGTGAGTTGAAGAGCCACTCCCGTCGTCACTGATAGGACGTAAGGGCTCGGAACATCAGAAAGACTTTCGCGCTCCGCTCCGATGGAGAGCCCATAATCCCACGCCTGAGCTCCTCCAACTCGACATCATTCAGAAATTGCCGAGGCTGAGGGCCTGGATGAGCTTTTGTTGATCAGTACGGGGGGATGCTGCCAGGAAGGCTATGGAAGGCGTACATTCTATTGGTGGCGGCACTAGTCAGGGCGCTGGCACAAGCACGAGCGATGGCGCTGGAGACGTCACGGACATCAGCATGAGCCGAGAGCTCTGCAGAAGTATTGTCGGCTTGCAAGCCATCTGTGACATTGGTGGCTGACCAGTGTCGGGCAGATATGTTAATGGTAGGTTGAGTGGATTTATTGAGAGGAAGCAGGATTGTTGCTGCTAGGCGTGCGTAATGTGAAGGGACTGGGGAGCAAGTTCTTGGTGGCACACATAGAAAGGGGATTGAAGGAGCTGTAGCTCCCAGGTGTGAAACTAGATGGGTGAGATGCTCATTGTGATGAAGTATCAGACATAAGAAGAAATGAATGTAAGCAGGATGTGGCGAATAAACAAAACGAAGTTAAGAAAGGTCAGTACAAAGAATGTAAAGCTCGTTGGAGGTACTATCTAAAGCCTGGAACAAAACGAAAGAATCGTTTTTCATCTCGCTAAGAGAGGTCAAACCGATGACTACAATCCCACGCCGTGGGATATCTTCGCAGCTTTATAGCTTTTAAAAGGAACATTCAAAGGAAATTTTGTACAGACGATTAGATATGAACAATCAGAATTGAGGGGGAAGGAGGTATTCAGGAATCCAATGCCAAAGTTGCTGGTGATAGATGATTATGACAGTCATAAATGGAACAAGAAGGTAAGTAATCAAGAGCAGCACGGTGCCATCCAGAAGGAAAAGCGAACGCTCTTATACCACCGAGAACCAAGTAACGCAAACAACAACATCTAGACCCCGGTCCTCAGCACCCTCGTACTTGAAAGTCCACATGCCATCCTTGTTAACATCCCAGAAAGCACCGGAGGCAGAGTGCATACCCCGCTTGCCAGCGTTGCTGAGCGCGCCTTCGGCGGCAGCAGTCTCGTCAATCACGCCTTGCTGCACAATAGTGCTGTTCACGGTGAAGCGGTAGGGAGGGGGCTTGGAGGCTTCGGGGGCGGTGGCGCTGATCAAAGCTTTGAGGACGGTGTTCTGTTTTCTTGTTAGAGATTGCGTCGCAATTCGCGTAGGGCGTGGTTGCTGAGTGTGCTCTTACAATAATCTCGGAGTTCCAGGTGCCGACGGCATCATGCTCGTAGCCCTTGCTGTTCTTCAGGGCTTCGGCGCAGGCCTGGATGTATTGTTAGATCCGGTAGCTTTTCGTGTTTTGGGAGGGAGAATCGTACCTCGGTGGTGATCTTGGTAAGATCGGGGATGGGGATGGGCTGTAGGCGCATTAGCCGAGTCTCAGGCAACAAGAATGAAAATGATATTCATGCTTGAATCATCTCTGCGCCATAACGCGCGGTTGACGTACAGATGCAGCGGCCTCGGAAGACATTGTAGATAAAGGGATGCGCTGAGTGTGGAGGAATCAAAACTACTGTATATCAGATCGAATTAGCCCTTGGCCTTGCGTAATTGGAACTGTAACGCGTTTAGTCTCCATTGGAGCTGACATCATGTCTGAGATGCCACGGGGGATGCGCGAGCAATGCGGGGAGACAGGATGCCATTGCTGGGGCATCGTGGGGCAAACGCGTCTGCTGATGAGGGAAAGATCAGGAGCATCATACCTTGTCTAAGTTCAATCGGTCTAGGGGAGTATGACAGAGAGATGTAGGATTGCTTAAATCTGCAATGTTTGGATGTTTTGGTGGCATCATCATATCGGCGCCTGCCTAAAAGCGGTTTAGCGTGGCCTTTAATTTGCCAGGCGGTGTAAATGTATAAACAGCTTCAGACAGATCGATTTCAACTGTCACAATTCGCCTCTTTTCTAGTCAAGATGAATTTACTTGACCTTCCTTATGATATAAACTACCAGGTCTTCTAATTTTTGGATATTACAGTGACATCAACTCGCTCTCGCAATCCTCAAAGCTGGCTCATCACCTGTTTATACTATTGCCACAGTTTGGATGCAATACGGATTCTGATTGAGGAGGCCTGCGAAACTGGAAATATCTCAGTGTTGAAAATCATGATGATGTGATCCCGGGCTGTTGGAATATTGCCCAATCAGCAGGTTACTCTTTTCACCAGTGGATATCTACCGGTTCTTAACTTACTCCTTGATCTTGGACCACAACCGATATGGTTAAAACGGTCGAACCTGCGCGTGTTGCTGCAGTGGATAATCTGCTCAGAATCGGCATCCCTTTGAGCGAGCGTCCCCCTGGTGGATATTCATAATAGAAGGTTATACACGTGATTTAGTAACCTACTTTTGCCCCTATTTAAAACCAACTATTGCGGTTTCTAACCTAGAAAACCAAAAGCCGCGGTGGTTTTCGAAACTAGGTACCTCTCTTGACTGGGGCCGCGCTAATACCAGCCTTCAACTAGTTACGGTGTATTTAATCACCACCTCTCGTGGACTCTTTGCCTATTTATCGGGAGGGAAAAAACTCAGACTCCCTTCTGAAATGACATATCTCACCAACGTCGGCCATGGTCCACTGAAGGTCCCTGGATTCGGGGGGATTCCACTGGATTTCGAGCTCCCTCCGGAGTCCCGTTTTGCCCATGGACTAGTGGACTATCGCCACTCGCCTCGCTTAACCAAGCGTGAGATGGCTATGCTACGATTAATACAACATATCACTGAGACTCCCGGCTGGCATCGCTTAGTCCTAGATCCGGACGAGGAACAACTTACCCAGTGGCACCGGGAGGTAGTGAAAGGCCCGGAAGGCTTTCTAATTAGCGATCTCGCGTGGGACTGGTGCATCTCGGAATTACGCGAAAAAGCGAAGATCTGGCAGGGCACGGGCCGTCTGTTGGTTTTTGATAGCTCCTCAGCTGTGTGTCAAACGGATGCGTCGGATTCGGGAGTATCCTTGGAAGACTTTCAAAGACAAGTGGCTCAATTAGGGCCACAGGCAGATCATGAATCTCCGCTAGTGGATCCATCGCTATATCCCCTTGTTTACGCTCGAACACCGGTATTAACTAGTGGCGGACAAGTGACCGTGCGTGATTTATGGTGTTTGACCGGGGAAGTTGACAAAGAGCCCCCAGCATATCCTTTCGATCAACTTAGGTGACGACCGATTCATCTTGGTCGCCAGCCTGGATACGGTGGTCCCGAAAGCTGCTACTCGAATCGCTTTCAATGGCTACCCTGCGAGATAAAATTCCTCTCTGAGGATCCCCTGGATGTTGGAATCAACTCCTATATCAACAATCTAAACCCGAAAAATCACCAAGATCTGTATGGGCATCTTGAACGTCTTATCACCTGCTCGATACCCTCGTGGAACGAGGTTCTGTTCTACGGTAATACGCGTGGCCGTCATCCGCCGCGGATTCTCACATACGGTTGCCATATCCACAATTATATGGAAGACCGCAAAATTTTCCACGAAGTAGAACGGATGCTTCACTGGAAAGCGATCTGCAATACTTGGGAAGAGTGGCAAAATCGATGTGACAATGTTCGCGAGTATGTCTCTGGCCCCGAGCCACCAACGTGGCAACAAGCAGAACCCTTGCCAAAGCTCTCGCCTAACTTACTAGATGAAATCCAACCTGAGCAATGGGAAATTCCCAAATTTCCGAGTCAAATTGCAAGATTTAAACGTCGTCGGCGAGCCTGGTTTAACCATCCCGAGCCTAGTGTTTCTTTTTCTTACGAGCAATGGAAGGATAGTAAATTTACTGGGCGCGCAATACTTCCGCAGAGGGTCGGTGAATTCCCAGACCCGTTACATCATCTATATATCCCTGTTCGTCTACAGGAGACTTTTCGACGAGATGGTCTTCAGGTGGTTATTGAAATATCTCGCATTGAACTCACACCGGAGAAGCCGACCTATTCCGGTGATACGTATTTTCAAACCGAGGGACTACGCAACGACCGCATTGCAGCTACGAGTCTGTTTGTTGTGGAAGCGCAAAACGTCACTCCGCCTCGTATCGCATTCGAGCATGAAGATAAAATACACGCAATAGAGTTCGAATGCAAGGTCCCGGACACAATGGCAACTGTTCTAGATGTGGAAAAGTTCGAGCTATGGGAGGAGAAAGCACCCCAAGCACTCCATACGTTCGGTTCTATTCCACTACCGGAAGGTCGTTTGCTAAGCTGGCCTAACACTTTTCGGTCGAAGCGAGAGTCGTTTACCTTGCGGATCCTACCCAACCCGGAAATTTAACTGTCATCAAGCTTCGCCTAGTTGATCCGCACTACCGTATCTGCTCCACGCGGAATGTGCCACCCCAGCAGCATGACTGGTGGGCCACTGAAGCGCAGCAGGCTGCAGGGCTAGATAAACGCTTACCCTCGGAGCTAGTGCAGCTTGTGATGGAGCAAACAGATTGGTGGCCTATTTCGAGAGCAGACTCTGGGCGTCTGCGCGAAGAGCTTCGTCGTGATCATGAGCGGAAACGCAAAGCTGTTGACGAGTGCGTTGGCCACCATCTTGTGAGCTATCTTCCGTACGATTACCATGCAGCCCGGGATGCGACAGATTCATCCGGAGTGGGATATGAGTCTCCGTAAATTCTCTTATCGGTTGCAAAGTATATACTTGACCATGCAGTCTATTCTTAGAGATAGCATCATCCTACCATCATCAATATGACTACAGTTTTTCCACCAGATTCTTCTTTCATGATATAGCTTCAATACTAGTGCGATAGCCACTTACAGAGACTGCTCTCTACGTCTGTACTGGACATGGGAGTGGTTGGTTGTGCTGTCTCCATTGATATCGACCTGTCTGCTATGTCAGACTGCCATCGTGCCATCCCCATTTCAGTATATAGTTTAATCTACATACAGATTCATGCATCAAAAGACCCTCTAATATCACTCTGCTTTTGCGAAGCCAGTTCACCTATATCAACCTTCCATACTTATGCAGCGAGCTGTTCAATGTTCCGAGGCTGCATCTCTGTTTTTCAAAGTGACAGACATAGGGACTCTGGCGATATTGTTATTTCGCTACCGCCCATAGTCGACTACACTCCTAATTCATCACTCCCTCCCAATTCATCACTCCCTCCCAATTCATCACTCCCTCCCAATTCATCACTCCCTCCCAATTCATCACTCCCTCCCAATTCATCACTCCCTCCCAATTCATCACTCCCTCCCAATTCATCACTCCCTCCCAATTCATCACTCCCTCCCAATTCATCACTCCCTCCCAATTCACCACTCTCCCTCGTATGCCCCAGCTGTATTCCTGGATACGCTCGACATCAACGAAACTTAGTAAACAACCGATCTATCAGAATTCAGTAATCGTTTATTCAATTCATCTATGAAAGATGCAAATCTGTTTAGCAACAAACACCCTAGTCCCAGCCTTATTGCGATAATATTTGGTTATTTGAAAACAGGGAGCTTATGCTGGAGCCATTTTTGCGGCTATTTAAGGTACAAATTACACAAAGACACAGAGAAAAAGACATCATTCGCGACCACATTTGCGTACAATGGGAACAAGAATGGAGCTTGACCACGGAAGGTGGGCAGTCACCAGATATTCCCGTGGATCGTGGATAAACTTCCCGTGATTCGGGTAGACCCGTTAGTCCCCACCAATGCCCCTTAATTTTCCCCGATCGGCCCTGATTTTCCGGCATAAATCACTTGTTCGGTCCCTGGCTCTTCCGAGCCTGGTGCACTCCTCTTCGAGATCTGATCGGAATGAAGAGGCAATATTATCGAATTCTAATTCTGTGGAGGTGGCATTGTAACACTAGGATCATGAGTCATCGACCGTCGAATTTCCTATTGTATCCCTCTGGAAAAGGAACTTAACTTATCTTAATTTGAACATGTAGTTCTGCCACGTGACTCTATTTTATGTGCGGCTCATGCACAATTCGGAACCGGCGTCTTTATTTTCTTTGTTCGAGGTTTCTATGTCGCCGGTCTGACGCGTTCTGCAATCCATGCGTTTGCCTATTATCAGATGCATTCTACAACACTCGCTTCAACGCGATTTACACATTAGATCTGGAATATGTCTTTGTCTCCAGATGAGACTAGAGCTACCAAGTCAGAAGAAGCTGGCGGTACTGCCCAACCCCAACATGAGAACAGTACTGAGGAACCAGAGGGAAACCCAACGGCGATGCACGGCTTCAAGCTCTGGGCCATTTTCATCGGTATATGTTTCGGTGCTTTCCTGATGTCCTTGGATATCTTCGTTATCGCAACAGTACTATTACCCACCCGCTTCCCGTCCTAGAAAATCGAATCATCTGACACACCATGGATAGGCCATTCCATCCATCACGTCCGACTTCAAGGATACGTCGCAGCTGGCCTGGTATCCGGCTGCCTACTCACTCACGACGTGCGCATTGACTCCGCTGGCAGGAAAGCTGAGCGCAACCTTTCCCCTGCGCTGGATCTACATCACATTCTTTTCCATCTTCATGGTCGGAAGCCTCATCTGTGGCTTTGCTCCGAATAGCAACAGCTTCATTGTGGGCCGTGCAGTCGCAGGCATCGGGGCGTCCGGTGTCGCGAGTGGTGGGTTTGTTATTGTTCTCACCGTTGCTTCGGACAAAGCGAAACCGCTCCTTATGGGCATCTGCAGCAGTTGCTTTGCTATGGGTCTAATCCTTGCACCCGTCATAGGTGGTGCTTTCACGCAAAAGGCAACATGGCGGTGGTGCTTCTGGGTCAACCTTCCTCCGGGTGCTGTGACATTGGTCGCTATGCTCTTGTTCTTCAAACCCCCATCTATTCAGCGCGATCGGACACCTCTCCAGCGGATCAAGAATCTGGATCTCGTTGGATGTGCAATCTTCATTCCCGCTATTTTCATGCTGCTTCTCGCTATGATGTGGGGCGGCACGGAAAAGCCTTGGGGCTCAGCAACTATCATCGGTCTCTTTGTGGGGTCAGGTGTGACGCTCATGCTGTTTGTTGGCTGGGAGCACTATAAGGGCGATGGCGCTATGATACCGGGGAATCTAATTGTCAGACGAACCATCACCTTCAGCGTCTTGTTTTCCTTCTGCCATTTCGGGTCTCTTGGCATCCTAAACTACTATCTTCCAGAGTGGTTCCAAGCCGTGGAAGGCGCAAGTCCGCTGGAAAGTGGTACGCGGGTTTTGGCTTCGGTTCTCGCTCAGATCGTGGGAACACTGTCTTCTGGTATTCTGGGTAAGCTTAACACTCGGATTTCACGTGGAAGGTATCAGCGACTGATACTAGACAGCGCGGAAAGTCAATTTCTACAACCCTTGGCTCTTCATTGGACCTCTCTTCATGTGCACCGCCGCAGCGTTATACACCCAGTTCACGGCTTTCAATACACCATCCAGCCATTGGATCGGGTTCCAAGTCATCCAGGGTCTCGGGGTCGGCATGGCCCAGCAAATGCCCTCTCTCATAGTCCAACTAGCAGTCCATGATAAACCGGAGCTCATGCCCGCTGCTATCTCTCTGAACTTATTCTTCCAGTATCTGGGTGCCACAGTCACACAGGTTATCGGAGGCATCGTGTTCCGTTCAATTCTGGGCAAATCCCTGCACGACCATGGTGTGAATGCCACACAGATAGCGTTGTTATCTGCCGCTGGAACTGCCGATATCCGTGAAATCACCAATGCGAACTTCCCCAAACTGTTGCGTCCGGTTTTGGAATCTTACAACAAAGCTATTACTTCCGCATTTGTGAGTGGCCCTTCCCTAGGCGAGGGTGTAGAGGGATTTTAGCTGACAGATGGACATCGGTAGTTTGTTGCAGTTGGTACGACGGCCGCGGCATTCTGTTTTGCTTTCGGGGTTAAGTGGACGAGAATCCATGCAGTAAAGAGTACTGATTCGGAGGCGGATGAGGTTGAACAGAAGTAGGGACCTGGTAAGCCTGTTCTACGGGTCTCGGGAGTAAGAGTAAGCCATTATCCGTGTACAGGAAGTAGGGGAGTGATCGATGTTGAGATAGATGAAGAAGGGAGAAAGACTAAGCTACCTAGACTAAGCTAGGTATTTAGCTATAGGTTTCTCGTACATAAATTCTAGAAGCAAGTTTTGTGATTTCCTGAAACATTTGAATATTCAAAAGTTGGATGTAAAAATGATTATATATAGGGCATTATAAAAATAGCACTTACTACGCTTTATATACAGTTAATATATACGTAGCCTATCTAAAACCTTCTTTATATAAAGGATATACTCCTTCTTACTTTAGGAGTAGATTAAAATATCGTTTAGATAGATAATATAATAGATATTAAGTAAATCGCTTAATACGCGGTTAATATACGACTAAAATATTATAGGCGTATTAGCTAGCCTAAATAGTATAACTATGTATTTAAAATAACTATACTAGGTATAAAACGCGGTTTTCAACTTATCCCTCTTACGAATATAGATCCTATAATAGGTATCCTAAATGTTAAAACTGGAGATACGATAAATGATGCTAGTACGCATGTAGGTCAAGGCCAACGAGGTTGTTTAGTCTGATCTCTCTCTCATGAGAGAGAGATCCTATTTAACGAGGCATTACCCCTGAGCTATACTATACACGGTAGGTTCAATGCTGATTATGAGCTTCATGCTTGGCAAAGCAGGCATTTCATGCCTGGAGATGCCTGGATAAGCCATGAATCTCAACACTAAATATTAAGCTAGATATAGATCCTCGTACCTAATAACCGGTCTATAGTCTCGCTGATTAATAATAAAGGGTATCGATTCTTAATCGTGAGCTTATTAAGACCCCGATAGTTCGAGGTGCTGCATCCCACATTCCCAACTAAAATTTTGTTGAGGGATCGTAGAGATACATAGTTCGTTTTTCTCTTTCTCTCTCTCTCTTCCCTGTTCTTCTCCGTCCACACAGATTCATTCCGAAATTACATAATAATTCCGTGTTTCTTTGTTTTGTTCTCTAGAGGTTATGAGCACCTTCTAGCCCGTCGATTTCAGACCAATCAACGACCTGTTTTCTCTGCTTTCCAGAGACCCTTCGAACTCATATTCGGGGACATCAGTCACGAACAATGGCCGATGTTAACCTGCATAATTTGCTGCGGGCTATCAGCCAAAGCAAGCCCTCAACTGGCGTCTACTGCTCGTAGAGAACTCCGTGCTCCAATTCATGCTCCATGCTGGCGCGAACAAAGGCTGCGGATCCCAATACGCTATTGTATACGAGTGGTCGCTCGGTATAGTACTAAAATCACATGTGGTCAGTTTCCTTCATCTCAAAAGTGCGCAAGTACCACCACAAATGAGTTTCCCCGTTTTCATTCGTACCTCGTAGTTAGCGGTGGAGTTCAAGCTGCACACACCCACGGTTCCGTTGTAGCTTAGGGTGCCGTCTTGATTCTCCACGACGAATCTGTCCACAAGTGTGCGATAGGCCCGAGTGGCGACCCTGGTATAATTTGCCCGGAAATGGGCAATGGGGTTCTCAGAGGGGGGCTCTTGAGGGTTGTTGTCTTGCAGAAGGCCAAGTCGCACCCCCTTGTAGAGGGCATAGGTGAACATGGCAGACCCACTAGCTTCAATGTAGTTGCCTGTTCGTCCGGGGGAGGACATCACTTGCCACCAGCAGCCAGACGCCGGATCCACTGCTTGGACGACAGCGTTGGCGAGGTCAACGAATCTTGCACGCCATGTCGCCACCCGGGAGTCCATGAGCGGGAGCTCTAGAAGGTCAACCAATCCCATCATGAACCAGCCGAGCGCACGATCCCAGACGATTAGACTGGCGCCAGTCGTGGGGTTGGCCCAGGAGGCGGTTTTGGTTGCATCATATCCATGGAAAAGAAGGCCCGTCGTATTATCATAACAATGCTCCCACAAGAGTTCGATCTGATGGAAGAGGTCATTGTTGACCTCGGTCATGTTGGCAATATCCATATTCGCGGTATACAAAGGGTAGAATGACAACAGTGAGAACATTCCATCCAAATAGCTCCAATTTGGATAGATATAATACCACAGTCCGCCTGTCTCAGTATCAGCAAAGAACAAGAACTTGGCGAAGTCGACGGGTAGGTGAAGAAAACGAAGGGACAGGGCCATGGATGGTAACAGAATGATTACCGAATATATTCCGCGGCTGCAGATCAATCGAGGCACGCAGAGCAGCAAGTGTCTGCTTGTATGTGCTGGTCCCAGTTTCGTCGTATCTAAGGTCCCGGTTTTGACTTGATTAGGAAACCCATGCGGGCCGAAGGGGTGGTTGCATCAAGGACGTACAGGTACAACAGTCCTCTACCCACGGAGAGGCGGTCGAGAGGAAGCCTGGCATCTTTGGTTGCATTATCAACCACGTCAACAACACTGTCAGCGCTTGCGCTGACGTAGATTTTCCAGTTTTGCTCCATGTAACGACCCGAAGGCGACTCTATTAGTTCCATGATGGCAGTCTGGAAAATCCCAACCTGCAAAAGCGATGATGAATCGGTTTGGTTTTCGAGAATGGCCTGTCCACGCGAGATGATGCTGTCGGCCATTCGAGCCGAGTAGGGGCGTGCAGTGGTGCTGGCGGATGCAGACACTCCATTGGGTTGATTGAAGAGCAGTACGCACAATATGAGGAGCGACGAAAATAATGGGCTTCGCAATGCCATTTCCTTGGATTCACCTCAACTCTTACGCACAATGGCAGGCTTGTCAAATTGCGGTCGGACGGATAGGATGAATTTGCGATTCAACCTCCGAGACTCCAGGGCTGACGTGTGTGGAGGCCTCAGTTGGAGCTGCTGTGATGGGCCAATCATATTCAGGTTTAGTTATAGACCCGTGTCGTAGTAGATCGGGGCATGATCTTCATTCGCAATGCACTTAAGGTTTATCGACCCTGGGAGAAGGGTTTTAGTCCACACGTAATGATGTATTTCTCCTCAATCTTCTATTGCTGGTAGATTTCACCAACCTCACGTGCGTGAGACTTAACTAAATTGGCGTGTACGGGGTTGTGAATAACGCTTTCTTGAGTATGAGAACAACGCCTTTCCGCGAACGTATCGGCCCGACATTAATCCGGAACATCAATATACTGCGACTGCAGTGTTCCGGGATCGACGACCTGATTAACATTATAGTATCACAAACCATAGATGTGAACCCACTAACAGTGGTCAAAAAGCCCAAGTGCAGACCTGGTTGCTGGGTGACAATCAGTGTGACGTCCCAGACACCCCTCAGCCAGCGATGCCAGTCAAGCACAACAGGCGGTTATATCGAGCAACCGTCGAAAGTGACTCGGTCCAATTTCGAAGCTTGCAACCGAATGGAGCTTGTATTCATCAATGGGATCTCGATTTGGTGCTGAGGTCTTGATACGATCTATCCAGTGGGCTAAACTGGCAGGTGTGCTTTCGGATCTTCTGTCAACTGACGACTCAACGAATGCAAGGGTTGCGATACGATCAGAGTTGGAGAAATGGCATCTGGAGACAGAACAAGTTAGTGATCAATTCCCTGTCCTTGGGTCATAAGTATTTGGGTTCAGTCTTTGCTAACTTTGGAAATAGGCATTGACAGAGATTCTGAGACTTGAAAACGTGTCAGCAAATGTCAGCCAGATTCGGGTGATGTATCTCGGCATCAGCAGCATCAAATTTCAGTATCTACATTCTCTTACCTGCTTGCTGAAAGGCGACGAGTCTTCATCGGCCCTTCTCTTATTCTCTGCTCATGAAGCTATCTCGACATTGAGCTCTAGGGTCTCGAATTGGAGTTCTGTATACAACGGTGTGGTCTGATAAGAGCAAAGTCAAAATCCACTACTAGTAAATACTCTCTAACTCAAACACCAAAGGCAACTTCTATATTGCCCCTTCACCCCATTTTGCGTGGTATTTGACAACATCATCCACCCACAAAACTATCATATTTCGACAATCGAACAAGACCTCGGACTTCTATCCGCAACTGTCAATTACTTCAAGGCGATGCAATCCCAGATGCGCTTGATAGCCACCGTCTGCTCAAGACTCGAGAACACCGCATCTATTTTCCTCAAACTGGCACAAAATCTTGTTTCCTATCGCGCATCGACCAAGAAAGCTGCGCCGCCCGCACCCTATAAGCAAGCAATCAAAACTACAGCCACAGTCAGACCCTTGCAGATCTCATGGATCCTGAGGTGGGTGACTTGAACGTGGCGAACTATGTTGAATGGCTCCCCGCAGATATGGATACTACATGGCCCTTGCCTGAAGCTGAGAGGCACGAACCGGTTTCTTCTCGTCCGGGCGACCGAGGGCAGATGTTGGGTAATATGTTTGATTGGTTCTCATGGTATTCATACTATGCGGGGACTGGGGAATGAGGCATGATCATCGCCACTATGACATCCCGCTCGAAGTCCGAGGACACTAATATTCAAGACTGTATTTCCCTGCACCACGGGTGATATAAACTCGAAACTTGTCCGAGTAAAAGGGGTCACGCGAGAAAGCCTTTGTTGTTTTTCTGCATTTGTAAAGCAGTGCGAACCAACCGAATAGGAGATCCGCCAACAATATGTGGCTATGCTGAGCGTTGTAGATCTCGGCGCTAAACTCGATCGGGTTGAATCCGCGAGATAACCATGGAAATGTGGGTCCGGCTGTGCTTACGTCGCACTGCTAGCCCTAACTGGAAATTGGTTTGGTACCAAGTCTTGGAAGAGGTTTGAGGGCTAGGGGTATAAAAGGATGTTCCTGTCCCGTGGAGTCATACCTGTTTCTATCTCACATGTGTACACTGAACCTCTATATCTACTTTCTAGCTCATGATATCATCTCAAGGCATGGAAAAGCAACCTTTCGCTGTGGATCAGAATCCTCCACCATATACCCCTTCGCAGACCCATCCATATCATGCATATACTGCACGACAGGATAATTACGACTTCATGAGTCGCGATTCAAATCTAGTCATGCCTTACCACAACCATCGACCACAGCCACAAGCTGGGCAGTGGCATTCTTCCGAGTATCACAATACCAATAGCACATATCAACAACCATGGGGACCTTCATATCAAGCTGGACCGTCGACCCAGTCATCCTTCTTCTCTACAAACCAATCACAACACCAATCCCAGCCTTACAGCCCAAAACGGTCTCAAAGACCATGCGTCATCCCCCGTAAGAAAAAATGTCATTTCCGAATCTTCATATCATCTAACAAAAAGCAATAGAAATAACAACAATCTTCGACGGCCCAAACATGAGCCCCTTCGCCCGACCCCGGGTCCCAGAACTCGAACCCCAAACCGATCTCAGCGAAAGAGAATTACTAAACTTCATCGACGGTCTAAATGAAGCATTCATGGCAAACCCCGCACTCCGAGCAACGGGTCAGATTGGCATGATGGTTGGGTTTGTGCCGCTGGCTACAACCCAGATTATAGGTAATAGCTTGGAAGCTGCTGCTGGTTTGGCGGGTGCCGGTGTTTCTGCTATTCGGACGAAACAGTATCTGAAGAAGGTTAATCAGGTTACTTTCGGGCCGAGGGGGTTTTGTGCTAGGGTTGTTAAGACGGAGAAGATGCTTTCGCTTATTGGGATAGGGGGCTCCTTCTCCTCAGATCAGTATTGTGCTCTTGTTGGGAGGAAATCTTCCGATGACGGTTCGTCAACTGGAGGGTCCGGTTCAAGGACCTATAGCCCTGAACAGACTGTTACATAGATTCAAAGCCCCCTCGAAAAGAGAATGGCACTGCTCGGTGATCGCGTTATGAGACTTTCGTTCGATAATGTGGCTTCACCGGCTGAAGCGGACAACTGGATAAAGAAATGGGGTACATACTCTGCGCAAAAGGCAGAGCAGAAACAACTCAAAAATCTGAAAGAGAAAGAAGAAAAGCAGAGTCGCAAATCCGACAAGGCGGCAAGAAAGGCTGGACGAAAGGGACGGAGGGCTGACGACGAAATTGCCGATATCATGGACGAGATCGATGATCTTCAATATCAAATTCAGGGCTTGGATATGAGTCGGGGGAAAGATGAGAAGACTGAGCGCGAGTTACGCAGGGATTTGAGAAGGTTGGAGAGGAAGCTCGCGGAGTTGGAGGAGGATAAGGAGTATGATATTTCTCGCAAGTGTAGCAGGGTGCATAGAAAGGAGACTAGGAGGAATGAGAAGGAAACTAAGAAGATTAACAGGCTCTACTGGATTGTCATCTTGCCTGTGGATCAGAATCCTCCTGATGAGGAACATGACTTGGAGTCAGAGGAAGAGGAGGAACGGGCTGTTACAGATAAGGCTTCAACGGTTTAGGCTACTTGGCAATTGCATTTATAATCTTGTTAAACCAGATCATAAGGTGAATGGAAATATTGAAAGCCATGAAAATTGGATTTCTCAAAATAAAAGTGGTTTTGAAGGTCCCACAGAAGTGCTTCAAAGAACTGTTATAGCAAACTCTACATCGCACGGTGATAATTGGTTCCATTTCATCCTGTATAAACTTGACGAGATGAAAGTCGTTGCAATGAAGCACTTCTTCATCATCAGAAGGCCGGAAACTGGGCATTCATAATGTGCAATAGGCCTCGCTCTAAAGCAACGGCCCAACTAAACCCACTCTGGCGATGATTGGACGATGGCTAGCTTTCAATTCAGTCTAGCTCCATCCGTGCTGATATGCGGGGTCCGTTGCCGCAGATAACGCTGAGAGGTGTCCTGCGAGCTCTTACAACTCTTCAGCTGCTCAAATATCCTACCACATCATGCAGAAGACCATCATAGCATATATTTTAGGCATCGCCAACCTCTCAGCGGTGGCAGCGTTAGACGCGCAACTCGTCCTATCTCCGATCTCCGAGGTCTCGAATGTATTGCCCCAGCACGGCGATCACAGTATCGATGAGAGTATATCGGCTGCAATAAAGAACCACCCAGACCCAGTCGCCGCCTATATCTCGCTCCAGAGTGAGGATAGTCGAGCGGAGACTGAAGAGGTACTGGCTGAGCCGCGTCTCTTGCAGATTATGGGTGCAGCTAAGCCAGAGTGGATGACTGAGGGAGACAAAATGCGACTGCGTAGAAAAGGGACAAAGTTTATGGATATCACTGACCATGAAGCTTTTTATGCGGGGCAGACGCACGACGCGGGGGCCAAGAGGCCAAGTGAGCTTTCTGGCGAGCATTCTAGATGATCGGGTTAACAATGTTCACTAGATACCCCTGAGCTGATTCATGAAAGACTTATTCGATCTCTCTTCCCCTACATAGATACAGGAAGAATGCTCGATGTGCTCAAGCATATGACCGGTTATTACAACCGTTACTTCAACGATATCCACGGAGAATTGAGCTCCGAATGGCTTCATGATCATATTTCTCAAGTATGCGTCCCCAGCTCCACTAGTGGGTCTATAGAAGAGGATTGACAGGCCATGGACCAGATCATTGCCAACTCCCCGCTCGACACCCACATCTCGCTGGAGTACTTCACCCACTCTTTCCGTCAATCCTCTATTATCGCTCGCTTCGAGCCAAAAGTCCGCAACTTCTCGCATTCTTTGACTATCCTCGGCGCGCACCAAGATTCTGCAAACTACCTGTTCCCACTCCTGCCAGCCCCCGGCGCGGACGATGACGGTTCTGGCACCGTTAGTATTCTCGAGGCGTTTCGCGTCCTAGCAGAAGCCGGTTTCACTCCCAAAGATGGCCCGGTGGAATTTCACTGGTATGCTGCCGAGGAGGGTGGCTTACTAGGCAGTCAAGCTATTGCCCGGTACAAGAAAGAACAAGGAGCGCGCATTGGCGCAATGATTGAGTTTGTGGGTTATCCGCATTCAATTGTAACTTGAGCTTACGGCAGACGATTTGTCAAGGACATGACTGCATTTATTGCCAAGAATGCAACGGAGACTATCGGTTTCATTTCTACTGAAGCCGATGCAGTTCTGACGGCCTGGACGGCCAATTTGAGCAACAAATACGTCTCTATCCCTGCCAAGGTCTATGACCTTCCGGCGTAAGTCAGCTCTTCTCTCGCAAACTGGAAGCTCATCTGATCAAGGAGGAATGCATATTCGGATTACATGTCCTACTCACGACTCAATTATCCGTCTTCTTTCGCTTCTGAGGGAAATCCCGCTGCCGGTGGCTTGATTGGTGAATACGATCCATACATTCACGGGGTTAACGACACCATATGGATCGATGATGAAACGGGTTATTTTTCTGTTGACGTTAGTTTCCGCCCCTTTCTAGGGAATATCTGCTGAGTTAATACTACAGCACATGGCGAGGTTCACCGAGTTGGCAATTGCATTTGCCATAGAGCAGGCGGGGTGGGACAATGAGTGGAGATAGGTACTGTAGCAGCACAACTTCTGTTCCAGAAAGACTCTTGTGCATCTGAGCCCAAATGAGTTTGCTTGTGTCTCCTTGGGATGTACCTACCATATGCTTTCTGTAGATATTCCATACATGGAAGCGCTGTTTACCTTGAATATCTTGAGGATATTGCGCCACGTCGCGCCCTTAACAAAATCTCAATTGGCCGACTGATACTCGTACTAGAATGAAACCAATTGAAAATCAAAGCAGAAGGTAAGATATGTAGAACCTTATATCAGACCAGCCAAACCATCGAAAAGTCCCTTACTACTGCAAATAATCACGTAGACGTTAGCCTTTTCAAATAAAACTAACGGACATACGGTGTTTAGCAGTCATCACATATATGAACCCAAACGATAAGAGGGTCGAAGTAAAAGTCGGCCTAACCAGAATAAGCACGCTAATATGCGCTAATTTAGTTCACCGGGAGCTACGTCATATCTCCCCACCGAATCTCAGCCAGCTAAACAGTTCGGATATCCGTACTGTCGCATGCTGTAGTTAACATCGTAATATCAGCTTGGAACTAGAGAGACAATTTTGTCTCAAATGCCCTTGCGGACTATCTTACACGGTGCTGTACAATGATAATCCCTTGTTTCATACCTGCTACAGTACAGTATAACTAATGCAATATAAACTTTTAGGAAATTATGTTCCACTCAAAAAATCTGCTAACCTGTCAACCACATTTAAATCCGATGTCAAATTGCCTTGGTCTCTTGAGATTACCAATCCTAAGGACAAACTCTGCTTCCCTTCAGAGAACAGCCACCCAACAGAACATTTTGTTAAATAAGCCAACCTCCCAGTTGACGGATATGACGCCATCAATCTGCGTCATACCTAAAATTCTCACTGCAGAATGGACCAGATGCATCCCAGGGCGCGGTGGAACCTCGGCAGTGAAATCAAGGCAAGGAGCGCTGAATGTAGTTCGCGGTCTGAGAAAAATCGAAGGACCCAGTCAGCTGAAAGATCCAATACCATTCAGGCAATGATGAAATCCCCTTGAAATAAGCTCCACCAGCAAGGAAGAGTGGAGTGGCGGTGGATTACCAGCAGTCCGCCACTCCCGACCGAGTTCCCGAATGGGAGAGTCAACCGCTTGTTGGCTCTCGGCATGCCGAGTGGAGACATCGGGATTGAAAACCGTGAGGTTCCAACATTCTCGGAGAAAAAGGCATTTGTAAAATTCGAGAATTATTGCCCCGGTCAGTTCCGGGCGTTTTAACGTATTTATTTTCTTTTTTTCTTTTTCTTCTTTGCTTTTTCCTGTGACAGGTCTGGCACTTGTAACAGTCTTTCACGATTTCCGTTATGGCTGATCAAGATGAGATCCGTGGCAACTCAGTCTATGAGACTGAGCAGCCGGTTGAATCCAAGCCTGCTGATGAAAAGCCCATTGCTGAGCAGGTTCCCAAGCCCACGGGCTTTATGGGCAAGTCAGTAACCCCAATTTTGAGGCTTCCCTTTTCCCCGTGGGCAATAATGAACTAACGATACCCCAGACTCAAGGGACTGATAAACCAAGACGTTCGCGCCGAGATGCCTGCCTACAAGGATATCATCATTCACACCTGGGATGGCCCTGATGACCCTGAGAACCCGTTCAACTGGGGTATGAAGTACAAGTGGTTGTTGACCATCACCGTCTGCTTCATGTACGTCAATCCCACCCTTCCCAATGCAAAAGCAGCCATAACTAATATAGCCACACAGCTCTATCTTGACCGGTCTCCCAGCCGGAACATACGGCTCCGGAAATGACTGGATGGAAAAGGAGTTTAACGTCCAGAACTCACCCTTCCCGAACCTCTACTGGGCTACCACATCCTGGAACATGGGCGCCGCCTTCTGGCCTTTGATCTTCGTGCCTCTCACCGAGTCCTCTGGTCGTATGCCCGGATACTTCGTGGCATATATCATCCTAGTCATCTCGCTCTTCCCATCTGCATTCGCTAAGAACTTCGCGACACTGGTGGTGACGCGGTTCTTCGGTGGTGGTGCTTCCTCCGTCTCGATTAACATTGTCGGAGGAAGTATCAGTGATGTCTGGCTGGGCGAACATGCACGCAGTCTGCCGATGTCTATCTTCGGTTTTACTAGTGTTGTCGGTATTGCGTTGGGTCCTTTTATCGGGTCTGCTATTGTGCAGATTCCGAAGTCTGAGCCGTGGCGTTGGTGAGTTTCTCCTTCTTTTTCTCTGCTTCTATCTATCTATACAGAAAGACAGAAACTCGAGCCCCAAACAAGTAACAACGATCTAACAACATACAGGATCTTCTACATCCAAATCATCTACAACGCAGCCCTAATCCCCGTCTTCTGGCTAATCCTCCGCGAGACCCGGCCGGACGTAATCCTCAAAAAGCGCGCGCGCAAGATCCGCAAAGAAACAGGCAAACCCGTCTACGCCGCTGCTGAAATCGACGCCCCGAGCAAATTCAAACTCCTCCAAATCTCCTTCCAACGTCCAACCCGCATGCTCACCACAGAGCCCGTGGTAATCTTCTTTACGCTGTGGATCAGTTTCGCCTGGGGAATCCTCTACCTATTCTTCAGCAGCGTAGTGCAAACTTACAGCACAAACTACAACTGGAGCACACTAGCAACAGGACTCGTCCAGCTAGCCATTTCAGTCGGCGCAATTATCGGAACAATCATCAACCCGCTGCAGGATTGGTTCTATTTCCGCTCGTCTAGACGCAACACCGAGAAACCGGGTCGTCCGATTCCAGAGGCTCGACTTTATACCGCTATCCCTGGAAGTTTACTCTTCGCAGCGGGCTTATTCTGGTACGGATGGGCCAGCCAGCCTGATGTCCACTGGATCGTCCCAACGATCGGTATCACGGCAGCTGGAGTTGGCATTTATTCGATCTACATGGCTGTGGTGAACTACCTGACAGATGCGTATGAGCGGTACGCGGCGAGTGCGTTGTCTGCTGCTTCGCTAGGCCGGAATTCGTTTGGTGCGTTTTTGCCGTTGGCTTCGCCGCAGCTTTTTAGTAATCTTGGGTTTGGCTGGGCGGGGACTTTGCTAGGCTTTATTGGGGTTGCGTTGTCTGTTGTTCCTGTTGTGCTTGTTATGAAGGGCCCGCAGATTCGGGCGAGGAGTACGTTTATGCGTGAGGCTATGTGGGAGCCTGAGGAGAAGGTTGAGGTGGATGATTCTGGGAAGGGGGATGGGCCGTCTGCTGAGAATAAGGAGGGCGTTATGGTTTAAGTAGGATGTGAGGTTTGGATATGTCTGGTGTATGCCTCGTGTGTACTGTACACTATTTTGTTGGTTTAACGGGCAGTATAATTATATCTGCGTTTTCTTGCTTTATTTCCTTTTCGTTGTAGACCTTGCTCTTATTATCTAAAAGGCGGCGTTTCGACCGGGAGCGAATGTAATTTTGATACATCGGGTTACTTGACGTGATGATTTCACAGCAGACGAACTGCTACTCAATCACTATCTTTGGGTATCAGAGTAAGGGAAAAAAAAAAAAAAGGAAATCTTTGTTTTCTATGTCTATCTAGCAACCATGTTTATATATCAAGACAAGGAGCAAAGAGAGACAAGAAAACTAATCAAAACGTCCTTCACATGCACATGTTATATCAAATCTGAACCCGAGGTGAAAAGACTATTCGAAAAGGGTATCGGGGCAAAGGGGTCAGGGTCAGGGTGAGGGGACAGGGGATGGTCCAAGAGGCAGGCAACAAATTGAATTTTGCTTTTGGAAAACTCCTTCAACGTTCAACCGCAAACACGATCACATTGAATGAGCGCATTTACTCGCCACGCATGCCACGGAAGAAGTCCATGACACCGGTGAAGACGACGAGCAGGATACCACCACCGGGACCGAGACGGAGAACCTTAGGAGTGAAGCCCTTGTACAGGGCGGAGAAGCCCTCCTCCTTCATGACAGTGCCGATGGCAGGCCAGGCCCAGTTGTACTTGGGGGTCTGGCCGGCAACCTTGGAGGTGTTCTGGATACGAGACTTTACAACATCCATGGGGGTGTTGAGGATGGTACCGGTGATACCACCGATGGTACCGGCGATGAGGTCGTTGCGGGTCTGCTGGCTCTTGTTTCCGGGCTCGGCAGCGGGCAGCTGAGCGCGGACCTGGAAGATACAGCCGAAGTAACCGGCGTTCCAGAGGATGTGGCGCCACATTGTCGACTCGAGACCGTTGTACAGGGCAAGGGGGCCTTCCTGGGCGACGATCTTCTTCACGACATCGAACATGCCGTTGTACTTGTGGGCCTGGGCCTTGTCCTGCAGACGGATCTTCACCAGCTCGAAGGGAACAACGACGAAGGCCTCGGTGGCTCCGGCTGTGGCTCCGGTCAGGGTGGCCAAGCCCTGGGTCTGCTTCTCGACACCGAACAGGCCGCGGTAGAAGCTGCCCCAGCTGTCGTTGGCGGCGAACTTCGTCGCACGCTTGGGGGCTTCCATCAGAATTGGGGCGGAGATACCGCGGTATAGGCGGGAGGCACTATTATGACTTATTAGAGAGATCCAACGCTGGTCGCTGGGGTATGACATACCCCTCGTGCTTGACAATCTTGCGGAAGCAATCGAACATGCCATTGTAGTGCTCAGCACCGGCAACAGCAGCCTTGGTCTGGATTTGACTGTAGAGTAAAGTATCAGATTAGCCAACGTCGGAAGACCTGCTTATGCGACCGGTAGCTGCTTACATTCGAGTCTTGACCACGTCCAATGGGTACCTGCAAGTCGCGCATTGTCAATTGAGTCCTTTTCCAATATCATATCACCTGAATCTCCGAGAAATGGCCTACAGAGCCAAGGAAGGGAGCGAAGAAGTTGCATACATGATCAAGATCTGCTCGTGCGGGGACGCATTAGCCACCGGTTTCACTTCATGCGGGATTCCGACACATCAATCGAGAGTCGGAATTGCTTTGCAGCATGGAATAAACATACCTCGGACACACCAGCCACCGCACCGGCGGCGAACTGGTAGACGAAGGGGAGGGGCTTCTGGGGAGCGTCGGACATGATGGGCGGAGGCTCGGAGACCTGTCAGCCGGCATGATAGTTAGTATGGGACGATTAAACGATTGCGAGCGCATTGAATCGAAATCGGAGAAATTGTAATGAAACAGAGCAATCGACTTACCAAAAAGACCTAATAATGATGTGAAGAAAGGAAGTGAGGAGAAGAGAAGGTTGCCGACGTCGGCGAGACTCGGTGATCCGAGAACAGCAACCGGTGCTGCGTTTATCCCGATTACTAATGACCCCATGGGGGAACATTCCACGGGATTTATTGCTGTTTACGGTTGTATGTTGCAGGTACATCTAGCATAACTTCATTTACTCTGTTCATGTTCATGACAATAAAAAACTGCCTACTATACTAACTCCCAGCAGAACCCTCGACATCCCCCGTCCAGTCCCCGCCCCATTAGTAGCCTGCTCCTTCGCAACAGTCGTCGCAGATGCAGTATCAGTCGCAGTACAGCTAGCACCACAGGCAAAGCCTGTAGGACAACATCCCCCACCTACAGTATCTGCACAGCTAAACCAGCCATTGGCACAGCGGTTTCCGCTCCCACTCCCGCCAGAGTTCTCCGTTGCAGTTGTAACTGGTACGACGATCGTCACGCCGTTCGATGTCATAGTTGTAGAGGATGTAGTTGGGCAAGATGTCGTATCGCAGTTGCGGCCTGTCCGGCAGCAACCTCCGTGATAAACGGCGGAACAGGCGTAGAATCCCGTTGGGCAGATGTCGTCGCCGGTAGCTGCACTTGTTGCTGTCGAGAGGCTTGTTGGTCGAGCGGGTGGAGCTAGACTGTCTGTTGTTTCGGTTGCTGTTGTTTGGCTTGATTTCGAAGTTGATGTTGAAGGCGATGTTGGCGAAGAGGTGGAAGATGTTTCAGTGCCCGGCTCTGGACTTGTCGAGTATGTCACTGTCGATACCATAACCGTGGAATGGACAGTCACGGTGATAACTGTGATGTATGCACCTATCCCAGAACCAAATTAGCATCTCTCACCCATGTATATATCATATATTCACCCCCTCGATGGACTAGAAAGAAAAGAAATCAGGTATAAACTTACATCCCCCAGCCACACAATCATACCCGGGAATACAACACCCTCCCCCAAGAGCCGACGCACAAGCCGAATACCCACCCGAACAAGACCCAATCGTCCCCGAACATTTCTTCCAACTAGGACAACACCCAACAGACCCATGTCCCGTATCTGCGACTATCTCACACGTCTCCCCAGATCCGCAACAGCGATCGGATCGACCGATAAATGTACATGCCGATGTACCAGTGGGGCATTTGAAATCCCGCGCTTCGAGACGGGAGAGGGCTTCTGATGCTGAATCCGATGCTGAGTCTGATGCTGAGACCAAAGTCGAGCCTGAAAATGGAGGGAAAGAGGGCTCGAATGGGAATGATTGGGCGATGAATTGGGCAGGTGAGTAGTCGTATTGATATCCATCTCCATCTCCATCCTCATCTTCATCTTCGGGTTTGGATTCTGTAACAAAGTTGCCACTGCTACTCCCAGTACCATTCCAAATCCGATGGTACAAATCCCGCTCAGACAATTCACTCGATGAGTCTCGACTCTCATCCCCAAAATACCAATCCTCAAAGAAGAATTTCTCGCCTTCGTCTGCGCTCATCTTTCGAACACCGCGAGCGGGCCCTGAAGCTAACTTGGACGCGATAGCATGATGCAGGGTAAGATCTGCCGGTGAGGACAGTGTTGTTGTTGTTGTTGTTGATGTACCATTTGCACTAAATCCCGATCCAGGGATCGCTGACGGCTCGACGCTTTGCGCTGGGTTTGATATTGAGAGCCATAATGTTAGGAGTGGGAGTAGATGCATGGCTAGCTGGGTAGCCAGCTGGTTAAATTAGACCGTGGTGATCTAACCTGTGTTGAGGCCAAAGCTGGAGCTGGAGCTAGATTTGCGGAGCTGTAAACCGGTGATCAGTTTGGACGTTGGATGACTGTGTGTTGTACGAAATGAAGCTGAGCACGACAGTGGATGTGATCTAGTCGAGAAAGAAATCTTGTGTCGGGCAGGCTTTGTTTGGATATATTTTGGTTTCGGTACGCGGTGTTGATTGTTGACAAACACAAAACACAAAGTGTTAAAGTGGAGTAACTTATGTATGTGAGTTTGAGATGGAGGACGTTGGTAAATCTGCGGGTTTGAAATCGGTGGGAGGGTTGGGTTGATCTATAAAGAAAGCTGCTCGGTCAATTGCGATGGCTGGGGTTTCGGATCTGTGCAGGCGCTAGTTTGGGCTTGAGCCTCGTGTGCAGCTTTTGTTTACATTGGCTAATCGGGTGTTGACTTAATTCATTATTAGATGGATTATGTGTAAAATAAGGCTGAATGAAGTTGTAAGTTACAAGTAGATCGAGTCCGGTCAAGCCCAAGTACGGAGGACTAAGCTACGTATTACACTACACCACACATACAATAACAAAGCATGTCTCATATCATTCCAAAATCATGGACTAAATGCAGGAAGCCACAGAGCGTGGCAGGGTATCGTCAGTAAATGACATGAGAAATTCAAACTGCAGAGGACCGGCACAGGAAACACGCCAAAAGGTATCGCTAAAATGACATGCGAAATGAGAGCCCCGATGCCATGCCCGATGCAGAAAGAAACAAAAACATAAAGGAAACCGTTGCGGTGTGGTGTGGATTCACCTGAGCACAATATGAAATCGCTGAAGGTAAGGAATGACGACGGATGACAGGCAGGACTGTCGGCAATCGGAGATGAGTGAGAGAATGAGTGAGTGTGCCTAGACCAAGGCAGGCGAAGAGACGGGACTATCCGAGCCCTCTTTCTTTTCCTCGGGCTCGGCGGGCAGTGGCTTTTCATCGTTCGCTGAGTCCTCCTCCTTCGCTGGCTTTGTGGCGTCTTCACCGTCGACTGTCTTCTCGGGTTCACCCGACTCCTGGGCATCACCATCACCACCCGCAATCCCAGCCTCGGCCGCGGCCTCAGTATTCTGCCCAGCCTGAGCAGCGATAGCTTCCGCCTCCAATCTCGCCATCTCGATATTACGTGCCTGCTGCCTCTCCCAAACTTCCTTTCGGATGCGATCATCCTTGGCAGTGCGGAGGCGCTCAGTCTCTTCGAAACCACCACTCTTCTTCAGTTTTCCTTCTTCAACAAAGGCCCCAAGTTCCTTCTGGAACAGGCCAATTCGTCGCGTCTCAAGCTCCTTCGCCCGAGCTTTCTCTGCTCGCTCAATTGCCTCAAGTCGGCTTTCATGGTTGGGCTGCAAGGCACGGACTTCACCTAGAACACCGTCCTTGGCCTTCATTGGGTCGACAGTGGGATCAATCCCAAGAGTCCGAGATGGAGCACGTGCAGCACCGCCGCCGGTGCCGTTGGACATGACTTGCTCCTTGGTAGCTTGCTCGACCAATGCAAAGGTCTGGGTAGCCTTCTCAAGATCGTCTTGCAAATCAGCAGCCAAATCCTCCTGCATGGTAAGCTGGTCTCGTTCTTCGCAAACCAACTGCAACTCCTTCTCCCAAATCTTGGTCCAAATGGGCTTCTCGCGACCCAGGAAGTCTTGCATTTTCTTAATCTCCTTCATGACTGTGCTGATGTCGCGGCTGACACCCTCCAATTGTCTGGGAAGAGGACGGACACCACGGGTAACCACGTCCTTCCGGAGATCCTCAACCAAGTCTTGAAGATCATCGACACGAGCGACCAATCGCTCGGATTCACTTGCGAGTTCCTTCTTGCCGGTGTTGACGCGAGCGCGGCCGGCGTCACCTTCGTATGAGGGGATGGTGACGACTTCGGCAGCAGTCTTGACCTTGCCTGCCTTGGCACGGACAGCGCTCATTGAGCTGTTGATATCTGCCGTAAAGTTAGAGTACGTCTGTCGCAACACAGCCAAATCACGACGCAAGCTTTGTAGTTCTGCGAGCTGACTCCCGCTTCCAGCAACCACTGCGTTCGAGTTAGTTCCAGTGACAGTCGATTTGGAAGTGGCCGGCGGCGCAGCGGCCAGGCGAGCCATTTCTTTGGCGGCCTCGAGCTGACGTTCCGAGACTCGTTGGATGGCGTTTCCTTGACCAGAGAGCGCTTCTTTGACTCCTTCCACGAGAAGACGCACGCTTCCAAGGCCGTCGTCGAAGTGCTTCTTCACCTCATCTAGGTTGTCCACATTCAGAACCAAGACCGACCGGTCCTTCACATCAGTGAGATCCTCCAATTCATGACGAATACCTGAAATTGGGTCTTGAATGTAGATTTCAGGGAGGTCCACACCGTTGTCGTGGGTGTTCCAGGCGAATTTCTCGATGAACGCAAGTTGTAGGCGTCCAATTGTAAGTTCTGCAATACCATCCGGAAGGACATACTTCTTGATTTTGCTCTTGTATTGCAGGAACAATGTCAGCTCTTTACCGGGTGAAGGCTGTTCGGTGGAGAATTGAGCAGCCGAAGGAGGTGTCGCAATCTGGGACGGTCCAAAGATGTCACCCTTGGGAGTCTGCGGTGCCGGCTTCGCTGGCTCAAAGGCTTCCTCGAGCGACTTCTCTTGGGGCTGGGGAACGATCGGAGGAGGAACAATAGCGGACTCTCCAGAGTCGTGCTTGCTGCCAGAATCATCCTTTTCAGGTGCCTCAGGGGGCGCACTACCGACGGCTGGCTCTGTAGCCTTCTCCGTAGATGGCGGTGTTGGTTCTTCCTTCACCACATCCGGGATTTTTGCAGGGGTCTGAGCCTGTGCGCCCTTGGCGGTTTCCTGGAGACGGTTGTTGGACCGTTGTCTTGTGTGAGTGTAAGAGCCCCGCAGGCGGACTGCATTTAGCGATTCGCGGACATCGCGGCCCCGGTTGGGGATAGGTGAATTTTGGGTAGGGAGGACGGGAACTCCGTTGGTAGAGGTGCCCAAGTGTTTCTGGATCTGGTAAGCGGAAAATCGACGAGATGCACGTCTTTCGAGCTCGCCGCTTCGCTGCAATGCTCCCAGTGCATCATCCTCTTTTGGTGGTGGTGGGGGTGGAGGCGCAGGGAATCCAGTCGGGGTTGTGTAGGTAGGGGGGTTTGTATTGGCTGGCCGAGGGGTTGTGTCACCCTCCATAGGGGAGGGTTGAGAGAGCATTTGCTGCGCCTCTCGCCGAGAGGTCTCTCTTTCGGTGTAGCTGCTGCTCCGTGTGTCACTTGCCGAAGGTGCCGAAGAAGTTCGATTGATGGCCGGTTGGTCCTCCAGAGAGCCACCACTGCCAAACCGTCGGTTGGATCGTTTAGGAGACTGGGCGGTCGATGGCATCATAGAGGCTGCGGCCTCATCATACAGCTGGCCGATGGCCTGTCCGCTAGCGATGCTTCCCGCACTGGCTTGCCGCCCTGTCGAAGGCCTACCATCATCGCGTTGCTGCCGTGAGCGTAACCGAGCCTGCTTCTTCTTCAGTCCGTGAAGCAAGTTGATTATGATATCACGAATCCGGGGGAGATATCGATCGAGGCTTTGTGCGGAGGCATCTTGGCTGAGAGTGTCTTCGAGAATGGTCCGGAGGAGGTCAGGAACAGGGCCCAGGTCGGAGGTGTCGACGCCGATGGCACTGAAGGCCCGACAGGCCAGGTTGAACTCATAACCCAATCGCACATACACGTCCGACACATCATTTTCCGAGGCCTGCTTGCGGGACCATTGTGTCAGGGTTTCAAGGAGTTGTTTTGTCGCAACTAAGAGGTGTGTCACGCTCTTTTCGATTTGAGAGATTTGTTTATCGGGCTGTGTGGGATAAACCGCTCGTTAGCCAGAGTGCAAGTAATTGAGTGGGTGTCAAAAGTACATACCGGGTTCTTGCTTGACTGAGACCGAGATGAGGCGGAGGAACTGCGACCAGATTGTTGCGAAGACATGGATGCGGATCCAGACACCGAGGGTCGGTGGGGAGAAGTCTGTTGATCCGGCTCTCCAGGATAGGGGAGACTCGATGAAGACTGCATAGACGCAGAAGGTGGAAAGAGGGAGGAAAGAGTGAAGATGATGCCCAGCCTCCACCTTACCGCGTCTGCAGGTGATTAGCGTTATCACTGTATAGATTACCGTACAATGTAATGTATCAGGGACCAGGTCACCGCGTTGCTTTAGTATTTGACACGAAGTAGAAGGTACTTAGGATAAATTGCAAGGGCATCACATGTGCATCTAGTCCCCCTATATTCCCGATATGCATCTATTGTAGCGAATTACGGCCATACAAAGGCTTAGAAAGTCTCAAGGCGGACTAGTCTGGCATTCGGCAAGACCCGCGTTTATCCACTCTGGAATAGCCAGGGTACAGTCCATTATACCCTACACGAAGTTATAAGGTAGACTACAGCTTTATGGGTTAGGCATATTGTGTCTACGCCTAGCTTAGACTCTGGTGTGAACATATGGTAACGCGTAATATATATTAACAGGAACAAGAGTAATATGAAGATACGAGAAGCTACAAACGACAAAAGTTAACTTACAGAGAATCAACTTCAGCTCACATAACTTATACATGTAGCGAATTGCAGGACAAATGGTCACGTCATGCATTACCGACATGCGGGTTGGTCCCTTTCTATTGGTATTGGTATTTGGAGAAAATGTACGGGGTTGGAGGGACGCACACTGGATCACACAAATAAGTAGAATATGGGAGACAATTACTATCATAGAAGTGTAGGATGTGGAATTATATTATCGTCTTTACTTAATTGCGGGTGAGACATACAACATATGAAATTGTCTACGAACAATGTGTATGTTCTTCACTTAATAGCGGGTGGCATATAGTAAATGTGAAATTGTCTACGAATACGATGCATATTCTTCACTTAATTGCGGGTGGCACATACAAAAATGTGAAGTTGTCTACGAATGACGTTTATGTACTCCAGCAATTGAAGTGGTAACACGGTACCATACCGTACGCGTGACTTGTGACTTCCCCCCAAACAATCTATCACTCCTTCTGCTCTTCCTCCATTCCATTTTTCTGCTCACCTTTTCACTTTTGATACAACCACGCGCTGGTGCTGCTTATTTCCCCCCTCTTTCCCTGTTTGTGCAGGCGGTGTGGCTTCGTGCCTCATCTTCGCGGCTTCCCGTTGCACACCTTAACCCAAGTGAATCCATGGCGTCTGCTCTGAACTCTGCGCCAACGGCGAACGCCTCTGGCAATGCCAACTCTGGCTCTCACTCTGGCCGATCTACCTTGAGACCTTCCAACAGTACTAAGGGGTCTGACAACCGCCGCCAGTCTGGTAGCCCTGTCGATGGTGGTGCACGGTATGTTTAACCCTTCTCCCCACAGCTCGCTTTAGATATACGTCTGCCCCTGTCTCTTGTCTGGAGATGAGATACTGCTCTTGATGGATCATGCTTCACAATGGCCTTGCTCTTGCTTGCTCTTACCCATGCTGTTGGAGCCCTACAACTAGGGTTGCTTCACATCATGTGTCTCAGGGCGCCAATTGAAAGCGTTGGATTCGTTCACAGTGCCGCCATCATTATTAGTCGTGTTGGATGATCATCTGCTAACATATGCATGCTCTGTGACAGACGCTCCAACTCCCACAAGGCCTGGACCCAAGGCACCAACCCTATCACCCAACGATCTTCCCACTCCACATCCAACGGAAACATGGCCCACCGGGGACAGTCTGGCTCTCCACGGCCAAACCAGAAGGAGTCGAACACTCCTGACAGCCATGCCCATGATCGCCTGGTGTTCTTGTTTGCCAGCTTCATTGTAAGCATCTGTCGCATTGCCATGCACAATGCCTTTTCTAACCTGTCTAGGGACTCCAAACCACCATTACTACCAAGGCCGGAGAGAAGTTCAGCGGTATCTTTTCTAACTCGATCCTGGAATCGAATGACTCGTCCTTCACGCTCAAGATGGTCCAGCGCGCTGACCAAGAGGACCAACTCCGAACAAATGGCGTGAGTGACGTCGCGACCCCGTACCTGGGTACCGGCCCCGACCACAACTTGCAGTTTGATATCCGAGAGATTGTGGACATCTCTGTCCCCAACGTTACTACTGCCGAAATCTCGGCCAAGGAGCCCAATGGTATGCGTTGATTATCATGATTCGCACACTTTATAAACTAACCTCGCCTGCAGGTGCTTCTCAGGGATTCAGGACCGATAGCGATATCTCTGGAAACCTCGCCATGCGCGAGCGTACATTACAGCGCTGGGAACCCGCCGAGAGCGATGTTCATATGTCCATTGAGACTAGTAACAGCACCGCCGGATGGGATCAGTTCGAGGCAAACGAACGGCTCTTCGGTACTAAGACCAACTACGATGAAAACGTCTATACCACTCGTCTCGACCGCAGCACTCCTACATACACAGCAGAGCTGGAGAGGGCATCTCGTATCGCGGCTGAGATTGAGGGCACCGCTTCGGACAACTCTCATATGCGTGAGGAGCGCGGCCTAGTGGCACCCGCCACTGGCGATCAAGACGAGGAGGACAAGTACAGTGGTGTTCGCCGCGAAGAGAAGGCTTTCCCTCCTCTACTTTCCGGTCAGCCAAACAAATATACCCCCCCTGGACGCCGCCAAGCTGCTCCCCAGCCTCCTACACTTCCCAACGCACCTCCCAAGCAGGCCGCCGCCACTACATCTGCTGCTCCCGTTATGAAGGAGGATGCATCCACAGACCAGCAACCTGAGCCGACCACGTTGCAACCCTCTGCCGAAGTCGAGGCTGGGAGCGCCTCAGCTAAGGCTCTCTCGCCTGCGCCTCCCGCAGCCAAGCGACCTTCTGCCGAAAATGCCACTGCGAATGTGGAGGCAGAGGTTCTAGATCATTTCCGCCAGTTTGCCAACAGCGAGAAGCTCAAGATGCAAGAGCGCCGTCGCAACCAAGCCTCGTACGATCGCACCGTCAAACTCAACGAGCTGATGAAATTCTCGAAGAGCTTCAAGCTTTCCACTCCTGTGCCAAAGGACCTTGTACCAATTCTGGCTAAGGACCGCATGAAGCAAGAGGAAATTATTCAACGGGCCCAGCAAGCTCAGCAACAGGGGGTTGATGACAAGGGTATGCCTAAAATCACTTCCCCTCCCACCGAACCGAAGCCTCCTGCTCGTGGTACTGGGCCTACTGGTGCTGTCCCTCCTGTTGCTCCGGCTGATCGCCAGAACTACCAACGCTCTCGGCAGGCCTACCCTCCCACGGGCCCGCTTGCTGGACCTAACGGTCGTTTCCCCCAGCAACCTATTCAACCGGGGCGTTCAGGTGTTGGTATGCTTGGTCACCGTCTAGCAGACAACCTGCAGCAGCGAAAGGGCGCTGGAATGGCTCCTGTCCCTGCTCCGCTTCCAATTCAGGATGCCCGTGGGCCTCCCACCGGTCCTGCTAGCGACCAGCACAAGATCACCAGCCCTGTCAAGTCGCAGGGACCTGGATCTTCTGCATCCAGCAAGTTCAACGTTCGGGCTATGGAGTTCAAGCCGAACCCTGCGGCGAGCACTTTCACCCCTGGCGGTGCTCCCTCTACCGCTACTGCGAGCCCGCGGCCTTTCTCTCGTAGCCGTTCCGTGTCTCGCACCTCCACTCCCACCGCCTTCTTTGGTCCACGGAAGCTTCAGCCAATCTCGGAGCGACCTTCTCTCAATGACCAGTTCAATCCGATCAAGCGCATGAAGAAGGAGAGTTCAGCACAGGCCGAGAAGCCATACAGTTTCAACGATGGAATTCCTCCTCCGTACAAGACTTTGCCCACCTGGGATACCATGGAGGGTAACGAGGAAAAGACATATGATCAAATGTTCAAGCAACCCATCGTGACAGCTTCGTCTCAGGGACGCTCCGTATCCAACAACCCCAATATCCCCCAGCAGCACCAGATGCCTTTCCACTTCCAGCAAGGAAACCCCGGTCTCCCTGCTTCTGGTGGTCCCAATGGCGGCCACCTCCATCCTCAGGGTCATCACGGGCCCCCTCACGTCGACGACCATCGCATGCACATGTCTGGCTCGAACTCTGGAGTCTTCCCGTCCCCTCGAATGCAACCTGGATACCCTTCTCCCATGGCGCCCCCAGCTCAAGTGGCCTTCGGGCAGCCGATGCCCCCATTTTATGGCACCCCTCAAGGTGGCCAAATGAGACCCTACCAGGGTGGTCCCCAGTTTGTAAACCCACAAGCTCCGATGATGGTGCAGCAGCCGTCCAATGGACCTTTCATGGGAGTTCCACAGGGCATGGGTCCATACAACCAACAGATGCCTATGTACTCTCCCTCTCCTGCCCACGCATACCCTCAGCATGCACCTGCGCCTCAGCCTCATAGCGGATACCCCAGTCCGAGCCGTGGTGCGCCCATGATGATGCACCAGAACTCTCAGTCAGGACAACCCCCGCAGCCGATGATGTATATGCCCGGACACCACAGTGAGTCAGCCCACGGTTCCCGGTCAAGCCGCTCCCGTTTTTAACACCAAATCAGTGCCTCCCAACCGTGGCAATTACCCGCAGCAGCCTCATTTCTCCTCCAGTCCACATCAGTCACATCATTTCCACCCCAACCAGCACCGTACAACCAGTAACGGATTCAACCAAATGCCCCAAATGCCCCCTCAGATGTCTAGCAACACACCAAACTCTGCAGCTTCTCATTCCGCCGAGGCTACGGACGAAGGCAAATGAATTACACGAATCATGAACCCTGTGGGCCGTTCCCCTTTGGATGATGCTCCATCTTATCATCCCCCTCTGCTGTGACCTGCCAGCGCTATGCATTGCTGGTGACCATCATCTCAAATACCCGGTTCCTATTCCAGAGCGCATCTTCATCTGTCATCTGCCGTCACGGCGTCCCCCTTCAGAACGGGTGAAGCCTGCGCCGAAGTTCACGTTATCTCAAGACTTTCCAGGTATGTTGAATTGTTCTCCGGCTTGTGGTACCTAGGTTAACCCTTTATAGACTCGAGAATATCAATCTACTCGTTGCGCCTATCTAACCTATAGATAGCAATCTGGCGATGTACATAGAGGCCCATTCCCCAGGTGACATATGACACCCAGTTCAGTACATCGCCTTATGCCCCTTTCCCCATGGTCCGCAACTTCTCCCCTACTGTGGGTAGTCTCAAGTCTTGAGGATCTTCATTCAGTATCGGGATATCCCGTTTTTCCGGTTTTTCTTAGCACGTTCATTTTTTCCTCTTTTAGTTCTGGTTTGCTTTCTCTTCAATGGAGACGGGGGTTTATTATGGGTTCATGCCATGTAGCTGCTGGCCCTCAGTCTCTAGGAACGGAAGCGAGGTCTGATAGGTGGTGTCTCGGGTCGGAGACTGTGGAGAGTGGATGGAGATGGATGATGGTTATCTGGGGACTAGGTGGCGGTGAGGAGCAGAGCAGTCGGAGGGGATGGTCAGAGACGGGGTGGTCTTGACGACGCCTCTAGCTTCATGAGATGCAATGAAATGGCATATATTATAAATCATTCTGCGTAGACAAGATGTCCACGGGCAGTCACGATACACCAATGTTACAATTTAGACTTAACCATAATAGGGATGGTGTGGAAATAGGATTCGGGTGACTGAACCCGGGAAACCCTATTTCAATGCTTGTATTGTACATCAGGCCAACTAGGTACGACTGTTTTGGTGAATTAGGAACTGCCTAGCGATGGTGGGGGCCAAAGATTGTTGGGCAAAGAGAGGCATTGGTCTTGTCTCCTGTCCGATTCAGTCACTGGGATGTCAAGTGAACTAAATTAAAAAAGATAAACCATTGTCTCGCGATATAGGAACTCTAACTATCACTTCATGGAAAAATAGACACTAGGTAGCTGTATGATCACAAATGAGTCCTAAATATTTACAAATACCAGAATCCCGTTTGTGGTGGCTTACAACCATAGCCATCATAAACCTACCTGTTTCATCCCATACATGTCAGAACGCCAAGATAAGCCGAGGATCTGCCGGTCATATATAAGGAGCTTGGAGAGCCTCATCATGATAAGTGAGCAATTCTTCACCTGTTACATCAAATCCATTAAGACGGCCACCATTCTCCAGACCCCCCTACTGGGCTTGTCACATTATTTACAAACTCCCAAGTGAAACCCCAGTAAGCAATCCCACTGCTGCGGACAATGATGCCTGGGATGCATATTTCATGCCCTCTGATGAAGACCCATATTAACGGTATTATGACCCTGACGATCCTTATGATCATACAACATTGCAATGTCACGATATAGCCATTTCCGTGCAGAAGACCGACCCACCGCAAGCACCCGTTGGAGACCGAATACAGGCTATCCTCCGAGGGCCCCTCAGCGCAGATTTATGGGGCCGATGGGGCCACCGGAGAAGGTGAGGCCTGAGTTGAAGACGAAGAGGAAGGTGCGATTGGGGCGAATCTATCAAAAGACACGGAGCATAAAACCAAGCATGATCTATGGACGAAAGGGGGCCGAGGGAGACGAAGAGAGAGAAGAAGAGGAAGAGAGAGAAAGCTATCTAACTGCCAGGTAGTCCGAACTAGGTAGGCGGCCCCGGGACGCCGAGAGAATCTCTTCATAAATAGCAGTGAAATGAAAATATTGAGGCCCGCAACGTAATATCATTGTCTGTAGTCGAATGGAAATGCAATAGTTGTTCTTCTCAAAGACACAAAATTAAGTCCCAACATGAAAAACCAACCTCGAACCCCATCAAATCTCACCCTGCAACCTAAGGAATGTTAGCTGCCAGTTCCTCGAATGTTCCATGAACTAAGACGCAGGGACATGAGTTTTCCTCAGTATAAATTTGCAAATGATCATCATCCAAGCAACAACAACCAGACCACATCCCATTCACCGCGGTGCTTTACCTCTCACAACCCGTGATCAGCCCTCCAGCCATACACAAGTCCCAGATCAAATCCCAAGAAACCAGGGATCAAGAACCCACGCACCCCCAGCCCACGCCACAACCAGCAGCACCCCCGTCTTCCAGTATCCATCCAACCGCCCCCTCAATTCCCGCACCACTCTTCGTAGCAGATTTTAGTCAAAAAAAGTACGGAAAAGGGGAGCACCCTCGATCCTAGACTTTCAATGGCGATATTCCCTCGATCCTATCCGCCGCAGCCATTGGCTCCTACCGTCCTCACGGAAGCGAAGTGGACACAGGAGCCCCAAATTGCGGCGGACACCGAACCGTTTCTCAGGTCCTGATGACAAGACAATAGGAAACTTGGTGTTGATAGCAGCACGGGTGTTAAGGCCGAGCCGAGTATCAACCAAGCCAAGCCAAGCCATTTTGCAAGACGTACTAAGACGGACTTCAGTGTATATATACACAAGTTCTCACAAGGGTCCACGCCCATACATCGCTTTGTCTCAACGTGGGTTAAGCCATTGAGCTGTGGCCAGGACCGCCCTCATAGAGATATATGTGTTCTGCGTTGAAGAGTGGAGGAAACTATCAAGTTTGGTGTAAAGTGAATGCAGGTCCCGGGGAGAAAGCGCGGATTGCAGAATAAGCACAGCCGGTCTGTAGAGATAGCTGCTCCAGCAGGTGGGGTTGCCTCCTGCTGGAAAGAGATGATGGGTTAAGCGTGCCTGGTTATGGCTCTTGGTATTCGAGCTTAGGACTTGCTCGCGGCGTTTTGGGTTGGAGCTTGCGGAGAGTACCATCGGAAGCTGGGATGAGTCCTTGCAGTTGTTGTGGCGAGGTCTGACCTTTTACCAGAAATTTTCATCATAGGAGAGTGCGGTAGATATCGCGGAGTGGACTTTGTGTGGTACACACGCGTGGAGGAGGGGAAGGAGACTTGCCTGTTGTAGCTTGTAAGTTGGTCGGTCGCGGGTTGGTGGGGGTATAAGTGCTGGGAGTAGTGAGTGTGAGATGATTAGTATTGGGTTTGAGAGATGTGCGGTCAACATTTGACGCGTGGAAAAGGTGAACTGGAGAGAGAACTGAAGCTGTCGGACAAAAGTGTATTTATTTCGGATTGCGGCCTGAGGCAGAAACTATTATCGCGATAAGGCGGGGCTGAAGGAGCCAGTTTGTCTTCACGACTGAGTGCTGAGTGCAGAGTACAGAGTGTGATAACCCTGGCCTGTCTCGAGTTATCTGTTCTTTTTCGACCCTCGACCTCCATACTGGTCACAGAGGCACCTGGCAATTGGCCACCCCTCTCGCGCACTCCGGGCGACCCCAAACAATCCCCGATCCCCGAACTGCCAACACTTACCCCATAGCGATGGATTTCCTCAAATCCGCCGTCGCGTCCGCCATCGCAAAAGGCACCGGGCAACCTTTCTCCCTCGGCGACAGGGTTGACATTGGCGATTCAGTCTGGGCGCTGCACAACGGCACGAAACGGGTACGGCGATTCGCTTGGCTCATGCGGGATGGTTCAATGGCTGACCATTTCGACCTACGTATACTATAGGATGACGGTTCCGCCTGCAGTGTATTCTCTTTTGATATCAACGCGAACAAGTCGCGCCTCCCCCTCGCGAAAAATGCTGTCCGCAAGTTCAGGACGCTACGCCATCCTGGTGTGATCAAGGTCTTGGATACCATTGAGGTACGAGGATGAATTGTCTATACCCCGAGCTTGGGACTGCGATTTTTGGCGACGATAGAGGCTTACGTTTTGGCAGACGGAAACGAACCTGTATATTGTCACCGAACGAATCGTGCCACTCTCCTGGCCAGTGAAACGGAGGAGTTTGAACGAGGAGACAGCCAAGTGGGGATTGTATACTGTCGCGGTAAGATGATTATAGATCCAGTGCTGTGATCTCGCTGACGGGAATTGGGTTGGATAGTCTACACTCAAGTTTATCAACGAGGACGCTTCCTCCGTTCACGGCGCCGTCCGCGCATCATCGGTTTTCACAAGCGAGAGCGGCGAATGGAAGCTAGGAGGATTTGAGATCTTGAGCTCCATGAAGGAGGATGATGCTATTATATACGTCAGTATAGCGTGTTGCTCAGCGGCCTGGTTGGAGCCCCATACTAACCGTACTTATAGACATACGGAAGCATTATGCCCGATGCTGCACGCTTCACTCCCCCAGAGGTTGTTAAAGGGGGTTGGGATACTATTAAGCGCCATCCGCTCGCAGCAGTTGACGCCTATGGCCTGGGAATTTTAATATTCGAGGTTTTCAATGGAAACTTTGCTGGCGGCGACCAAGTTGGCAAGACGACAAATATTCCTCCAAGCATGCAGCAAAGCTATAAGCGGCTTTGTACTGCTAACCCCAAGCTACGACTGAGCCCGGGTCATTTTGTTGAACAGGGAAAGAAGCACGGTGGTTTCTTCCAGACACCATTAATCCGCATGACAGAAGATATCGATAGTTTAGGGCTGAAGACTGATGCTGAACGTGAAGAGTTTGTCAAGTACGCATTCCCCAAAGATCATCCGCATAACTTTGGGGCGACTAACATGAATCTTCAAATACAGTGAGCTTGATGAGCTGTCGGAAGACTTCCCTGAAGACTTCTTTAAAATGAAGGTGCTCCCAGAACTTCTCAAATCCGTCGAGTTTGGGGGTGGCGGTCCCAAGGTCCTGAGTGCCACTTTAAAGATCGGATCCAAGTTGTCGGCAGACGAGTTCAATGCTAAATTGACTCCTGTTGTTGTGCGCCTTTTCGGAAACCCTGACCGAGCTCTGCGAGTCTGTCTTCTAGACAACCTGCCTTCAATGATTGACAACCTCCCTCAGAAGGTCGTCAATGATAAGATCTTCCCTCAAATGGTAGGCCAATTCATCCGCTTAGCTTGAGTACAACTAACATTCTCCAGACTTCGGGTTTCACCGATGTCGCCCCAGTGGTTCGTGAACAGACCGTCAAGGCTGTTCTTACCATTATCAACAAGCTCAATGATCGTATTGTGAATGGAGAACTGTTGAAGTTCCTCGCACGCACGGCTAATGATGAGCAACCTGGCATCCGCACAAATACAACCATTTGTCTTGGACGGATTGCTAAAAACTTAGGACAAAGTGTACGTGTGCCTCTCTGTATTAAGGAGCATGGCTCATACCTCTATAGACTCGCTCCAAGGTTCTTATCGCAGCATTCACAAGAGCTCTCAGGGATCCTTTTGCCCACGCTCGAGTTGCAGGACTGCTGGCTTTATCCGCGACAATCGATGTGTTCACCGAGGATGACTGTGCTGCAAAGATTCTCCCCGCCATTTGCCCTTCACTCCTGGATAAGGAAAAGTGAGCGATACACCTACATTTCCCGTGCGGGTCCTTTGCCCTAACACATGAACAGGTTGATTCGAGACCAAGCAAACAAGACCCTTGACCTATACGTCCAGCGAGTCCGAAAACACGCCAACACAATGACCGACACCGTCATTCCACCCACCGCACCAACAGAAGCGAAACCAGACGTCCGTGTGGCCACACCTAACGAAAGCTCCTGGGCCGGCTGGGCCATCTCATCCTTCACGAACAAAGTTGCAGCTGCTAACGGCGAGATCGAGCCAACGGCCAACGGCAGCAAACCCTCTGACCCAGAAACAGCTCGCTCCGCATCCGTGCCTCGCCCTGCCAAATCCTCACCCTCGACCCAGCTGGATCTGCCAAAACAAGTTCTTCGTCCTACAGCTCAGCCTTTGAACAGATCAATGTCCGACCGCCCGGCCCCACCAGTCCACTCACCCGAACCAGAAGAGGACGGCGACGACGTCTTTGACGCATGGGGAGCAATGGACGACGACGAAGGCGACGAAGACCCATTCACTGCAGCCGTCAGCTCCCCCAAACCCACATCACCCGCTCCATCATCAACAGCAGCCCCCAAGGTCCCATACGACGATGGAGGCGAGCCAGACTTCGCCGGCTGGTTAGCAGCAAAGAACCAAACAAAGGCCAAGAACCCCCTACCGAAGGGTTTGACCAAGGCTGCATCTACCAATACTGTTGCTACAAGATCATCGGCTGCGAGCACAACAAAGCCGCGCACTGTGGTTGCGCCTAAGAAGATCGACACTAAGCCCAAAAACGAAGAGATTGATGATGACTGGGGTGATGCGTGGGACTAAGCCAAGATGCTTTGCTTTTGGTGCTTACGTCTATACCATGTTTGATCCGTGTCTGACCTGTCAATATTCGAACACTTTGTAGGCCTGGTGTCTATTTTGCTTGAATTTGTGTTTGTGATTACTGCAATGGTGTACACATTGGGTAGTCCCTAATAGATTGATGAATAAACTTGTAATCGTCACATTCGCGAGTGGAATACAATAGAAAGATTTCATGTAAGTGGCAGCTTCACTTCGACGGTTCTGGGGGTTGATGCAGTCTCAAACATGATGATCCGGCCCGTGGCGCGCTTCCTGTCGGTACTCGGATTACAGCTAATCATACTGCTCTTTTTACGAAAGGCTCTGGGTCATGGGCTTCTGTTATCTCAGTAGCTGTTGCATATGCCTGACTCGGCTCGGACTACGATCTGCCTGCAGCCACTGAACAGTTGACAGGGGTCCATTAGAACAAGCAACTCCTAGACCACCAAACTAATCTCCCACCACAGTTGATACTCGGAAGCTAGAAGTCTTTCAAGATCTCAGCAGCAGCCCTTTCACCCGAACTAATAGCCCCATCCATATACCCGGGCCAACGAAGCGCCGTCTCCGTCCCAGCAAAATGAATCTTGCCAACAGGAGCACGCAAGTAAGGCCCATACTGAGTTAAAAGACCAGGTGGCCCATAAGCAACAGGACCACCCCGAGAGAACTCCTCCAGATCCCAGCGTTGGACAAGAACTTCGGTCGCCTCTTCGACGCGAGGCCCATAGATATCCGTAAAGCTCTGCACTACCGCTTGCTTCACTTCATCTAGACTGACACTATCCAACCTGCGCATTTCATCTGCCTCGATGAATCCCATGAGCGCGCCAAAAGACCCATCAGATGGGGAATTGTCGTATGCTACACGAATCGCGCCTTTGTCACTCAAGCCTGCTCCGTTCAGACCTTCGCCGCGCCACCATGGTTCTTTAAAAATCGCAATTGCTTTCCCGATTGATCCCATGGGCATGCGTTGCTGAAGCTGGTCTCGTCCCGCTGGGAGTAGAGGATCGAAGGAGATACGGCCAGCCAAGGGTGGAGACATGGCGACAACGACGTGTTTTGCGGAGACTGTCACTGAGTCTGAGGCAACTGTGTATCGGCCATTCTCCAGTTTTACCTTTCGTACGGGTGCTTTCAGGTAGATATTTTTCCATCCAAGTTTCGCAGCCAGTCGTATTGCGAGTAACTGGGAACCTCCATTGATTCGACTATCTTGTGCAGCGTCAGTGACGCCGATGAGTCGGTTGATAGTTCCGGGTCCAGTTTCATTTCCTGCGGCGGCTATGTACCAAAGTGCAAAGAGCAGAGAGGGCTCTTTCATCTCGGTTGACAGAATCGCTGGAATGGCATTGTTGATTAGAATCCGTGCATCCGCCGTAGAAAGTCGAGTGTTGACCCATGTTTCAAGGGTTACTGAATCCAAAGATTCGGCGTCTGGGGTATTCCACGGCGCGTTGAGATCTATTTTACTCGCCATTTCATTTATATCATTCATGAAAGTCGCAAGTTCAATGAGTGATGCAATATCCACGGGAGGGATACCACCAAGAGTATCTTGATAGTGGATCAAGCTCCCATTTCGGTAGAATGTTGAGTTCCCAGCTGTATATGCCTTGTAGGTTGACAGAGAAAGCTCTTTTGCGAGGGCTAGTACGTGGTCTTGTGTTGGGCCGACGTATTCGGCGCCAAGCTCTTCTGCATGTCCACCGGGAAGATTAGCGTTCAATACACGGCCACCGACCCGATCTCGTGCTTCCAATATAGCAAAGGATTTGCCCGCTGCTGCTAGATATTTGGCTGTAGAAAGACCGGACAGCCCTCCGCCGATGATGGCGACGTCGACTTTGGTAGCCGAGTATGCATAGAATGCATGGAATGCAATGACCGCTATGAGATATTTATGCATCTTAACTAGACTCTGGATTCCAGGGGGATTTAGCTGAGAATCTGTTTGACCTAGGAGTGGGAGGAGAGTAGACTCCACAACACAAGAGCATACTTACTTTATTTTTGTCAATCCTGTAAGCGCGTTGAGTAATTGAGCCAAAGAGACAAATATGCGATTCTCTCTGCCCGGGGACTTCGGGGAAGAGGATAAAACATACTGCACCGGTGAATTTATGTTTCTCGGCTCATTACTACCCAACAACAAAGAAACACGGCCAATGTACTCGAGTGCGGGGCCTAGAAGCAGTGAATTCTTGGCATCAGCCCATTGTAGCGAATGATGAGACCGAGTCTTTCCATGCGAGATATGTCACATTCTTTTGTCGTATTGAGGATTCGCGCTGTTTCGGGGCTTCTTCTGTCGTCCAGGCAAGGTATCTTCATATCATCAAACGTGACGTTTCGCATCACGGCTGTCAATTTGACCAGCCCTTAGTACATTTATATCCATCATATCGGCGACTTGTTTTCCTTCCAAGCAGGAGAATTGAGCGTATCCAAGGCATCTCCAGGACTCTCGAGTCAGAGTACCACTTTGTCGAAAGCCGAACTTCCAATGCGTATCTTTGTAGATACCAAGCCCATCACGGACCTCAGTGTAGTGTTTGATGTAGTGTAGTCTACATCGGCTGCTTCTTGTAGGAACCAAAATAGGAATCGTAATGAGAGTACACACTCCCTCGTGAGTGGAGAATGACGCTACCAGCCTCGTTAGGGAATTGTGGCATTTACCAACGAGTGACCTCGATTTCAAAGGAGCTTTGCTGTGTATTATTGCCTTCTTGCACTAAAGGAACCACAATTTTTCTCACACAACCGCAAATTGGAGACGTGAATCGAGCAAGGCCCAAAGCCTCCATACCCGGAGAGACCTATGGTCTAATCCTCGGAGTGTCCACTAGGCAGCAAGGCAGCACTCTGATTTCCCATGATGCTGAAAGTTGTTTATAGGTTCATGAACTCAAGTGTTGCGTGTAGTGCGTTGAAGAGTGGCTTTGACAATGTTACCGTGCGGATTCGGACGAGGATATAAGGAAGGCTGAACCAGATGCTTACTTTGTAGTATAGGGTGGTGTGGCACGAAGGTATGCCCTTCTCTTTAAATCACCTTGGCCAAAAGTGAAGTTGCGAGTAGAAAGAAATTTGTTGTTGGCAGTGTAAGTCCCTGCCAAGCGTGTACCGTGTGAAGCACACATCCCACGCTTCTCTTCACTTCCACTCCTCTGTGATTTCGAATTGTGTTCTCAACTTTCTGAGACCTGTGGCTTCTGTCTCAGGCTCCACCTAGCCGCCTTCAATTCTGCTTCATCATCCAAGACATCAACCACGCTTCTCTCTCCATCTCCACGATTCGCATCTGCCACTATGGGTCGCTGGGGATTCCGTAAGTTGACTAGACCTTCCCTCTTCCATGACAGCTTTATGTCTGACATCCTCACTCTAGGCCTTTTTGAAGGCGACAGCGATATTGACATTGCATGTGTCATGCCCGACGGCCTTTGCATCCAGACAGGAAACTGGGAGCACACCCTCGCTTCGATGATTTTCCAAACTGATATGCTCGCACCTGCTCAGGCGCGTGCACGCTATCGCACGGAGGAGTACAAAAATGAGCTTGCCAACGAGATCGTCCCTTATGTGCGTTGGAAGCTCGACACAAAGGGCCTTGGTGACCAGCTCTTTGCCGCCTACCGTGCCGAAGAGACCAAGCCACCTGGTATTAACGGTAACCCTCGCTACATTACAATCATCTTCGGTGCTCTGATGCTACGAGCTGGTGCCAAGATCAAGGCTGAGGATCTGCAGCACTTGCGTGACTTGGTTCCTCAGGTGAACTGCCGTCCCAACTGGGTTCTTTGTGATGACGATTTTCGCACCCCGGGTCGTGCCCAATTCCTTGCTGCGTTGGATCGCTACCAGCCTGGTGTACCAAGCGACTTTCAGGAACCAAGGTAAGATGTCCTCCTGGGTACATCGTCGTATGCAGTTCTCACAGTTGTGCTACAGTTGCTTCCAGTGTGGCAAGGTCGAGCGTGATATTGGCAAAATGCCAATGTTTTGCAAGCGGTGCAAGAATGCTTGGTACTGCAACAAGGTGAGCCTGTTCAAAAATCACTGGTCTTCAATATGCTCACGTTTTTGATCCGTTGTAGGATTGCCAGCGACAGCATTGGCCGGATCACAAAGTCGTTTGTGTTGCTCCCGCAAACCGGCTTACGCTGAACGTCTAATGCTGTTTAAGCAACATCTGAAGGCGGTTGTTCCCAAGCTGCTGCTTCATTGAGCGTTCGTCGTGATCCACTCAAGCCTTCATGATCACATTATTAGTCGACCATACCATTTGTCCAAGGAGAATGAGCATGCTCAGTGGCTTCATCTTTTACATGAATGGCCCCATTTGTTTTTGAACTATCTCGTGGATCCGATACTCAAATTTGTTATTCGCTCAAGCCCGTCGACCTATGTAGCCAGGAAATGACCACAAGGCAATTAGCGTGATCCTAGCATTATCAAAACACATTGTTATTGAATGACAAAATAGTGTTTGGTCCGAATGTGTAGCAAAAATTAACATATATGGCCCGTGATGACTTGCCACTATTATATAGAGTCGCAGACAAGCCTCAACAAACCAAGGCTTGAGAAAATATGGACGTTCTGTTTCTTTGTCTTATGTAGTCACAAATGTACGACCCTTCAACAGCCCGGCCGGGCTAGCTCAATCGGTAGAGCGTAAGACTCTTAATCTTAAGGCTGCGGGTTCGACCCCCGCGTTCGGCTATTCCTAAACACCGTCCACGAGTGAGCGTTTCTTTTTTTGTTTTTGTTTTTCATGACTATCGAGGTTTATTTTTGTTAAATTACCGCACAGTTATTATTATGTTTTATATGCCACTGTAAAACGGAATTTCTTGTCTTCAATTATATCAAAGGCAATGCAGAATGGCTGAGCCTGCTAGGAGGTGTTCGATCGATAGCATTCACGGGACGTACTAAGTTATCAGTTGATTTGATTTCGCCCCATGCCTTCAATTCAAGCTCGACTCGGCCCCTCTTCGAGACTTCGAAGACTAGAATGCTATTCAGAAAGGATGGCGAAGCTGCTATGAGCACCTCCAGACGATACTTTGTCTTGAAATCTTCACAGACGATTTTCGCTATCCCATTTATCATCGTGCCCTAGACGGCATTGCCTGGTCCTTTGATAAGGTCTGTAGCGGCACAGTGACCAGCAAAGGGGAAAATTGGGCACTAATTTTCCGCTGGCTATATATATACACTTCCTGAGATATTCGCATCAGATCTCCAACAGCGCGAGCCCCTCGCCCTGCTACTCTTTTCTCCTTTTGTGGTTTTGTTGAAGGAGCTGGAAGCCTACTGGTTTGTGTGCGGATGGCCTGAGCATATTGTGAGTGGTGTTTGTCAATATTTGAATGTGGAGCAACGTGCTCCCATCAGATGGCAAATGGCGCGGGAAGGATGGAATCCGCCGGACGGATGTAGTGAAGCAGAGCTTTCGTCAAATTGAGCGTATATACCAATTCTTCATCACCCTTGTTAGGCTGCAAGCTGGCTTGCTGAAGCTTTATTTCACATTATTTGAGTTGATCATCCATCCAATACGATTAGCAGCCCTGGCCAACAGTGACCGACTGAGACCTTGTCCCATCACCCACACCACCCACAGCCTCCGCAGCAACGGAATCACCATCTGATAGCCCAGCCACTAAGATAGTAGTCTCGAAGCCATTCCGCAAAGCCGTATGGTTGATCTTAGATCCAGAAGTGACCTTCCAAGAACCCACATCGGTAGCTCCATTCCAGCTCACATAAACAGCTGTCTTCCCCCCTTTCGTCGGACACGCAACAACATCAGGCTTCGTAGACGGACGTCCGACCCAGGGGTAGCGGTACGTGCGATAAGTTTGCATGGTATTGTCATATCCAAATCGAGCCCGCATGACAATAGTCCCATTCTCATCATACTCCTCGATTTTAGGCGTCGCACCATGATCCTGTAAGACGTGTCCGTTTCCAAGGCTCTGGTAGCTGCCCTGGGACTCGGCGTATACCGGTTCAGCAGCATCCCATGTTCGACCAACCAGTGTCACCTCTTTTGAGCCTTGTAGCTCAACGTTCAGTACAAGGCCCGTGGTCAGTGATGTGTGGCCTGTGAATTCGGTATTGTCGTTGTTGTGCATGGTCAATGTTACACGCTCGGGGCTTTGCGATTCAAAGCGCACGTCATGCTGGTAACAGAAACTTGTTCCCAGACCTAGAGTAAAGTCGCCACCGGTTCGGCCCTGCGTTCTGGGTTAGAAATTTTTGTGTATCCGATACATTAAATAATTCGACTTACATGTAAATGCCAGATAACCGTTCCGTTCTGTGCGATGAAGAACACACTACACATATACCGCGATGACACCAAATAATCATCGCCATATTTGTAGATAGCGTTCAAATGAGGGTATCCATAAGGATAAGTCGAATTAACACCGGAACCCCCCGAGCCCTCAAGTGGAGCACGAACATCAGCTAGGGGGACCTGATCAATATGATTATGAGCACTCCATCGGAACATAATCTCATTGGTCGCAATATCAATCTCATAGATAAGACCATCCTGAATCCAGCCATCCTTTTCTCCACCAATGGAGCTCAAATCAGCCCGAGTAACGTTCACAGCAGTGACGAGAATTGTGCCATTCTCGGTAATCTGACTTTCATGAATATCAATGCACGAGTCGAAAGTCATTGGATTGTACACTGTGACAAAGTTCTGCTCCTGGCAGGACAGTGTGACGCGGTGGATCTCGTCGTACGAACTGTTCAAGATACTGATGTGACCGAATCCAAATCCTTCACCGGCATATCCGCTCCAATAGGCTATTACTGGTTCACCATTTAACATTTGGGGCTGGAGTCCAGAATAGTTTCCGCTGGCACCTTGCCATACTAGTTGGCCGTCGTCTGAGTAAATGGTTGGGTGGCCAGTTTCTCGCAATATATCGTGTGGCGTGAAGAACAGGTGTCCTGGCTCTGTTTGGCCCATCTTCGTGACGTTCATATATGGGGTTTGAATTGATGAGCTTTTGTATGTTTGCAGTGGCCATAAGGCTTCATTGGAAGTCTGTGCAGTAATCACATTGATCAAACTTGCAATGACGACAAGTGCCTGGGGAAGGCGACTTATGAAAGAAGAGTCCATCTTAACGCAGGAATTAAGTACTTTCCCTTCGTAGTTTTGTCGCTGTGCCGCTGGGTAGCTCAGATCGTTTGAACGTAGCAATCGGCCAATTTATAGTGACTCCTTCGTGACGTTTGCACAAAGACCTGCTGTGGAACCTCGTATCCCCGCCATCGGCAAGAGAATTGAATATCAACTACCTCGGTAATAGATACCTGCACCGCGATATAACGGCATATCCGAGTTCACATCCTTTGAATACGAAAGGAATCCGGATGTAGTCCCTATATTAGTGACAAGCCTAATATATGAATGAAGAACTTGCTGTCCCATTCAGCATGGTAACACGCGACCCTGATATTAGCAGACAAGCTGCCTTCAAACAGGGAAGAGTGGCTTCATAGAACGGAATTATCCCCTGGGTATTTTGGTATGTTACCTAATTCCGCTGCACCGAGACGACGACAGGAACTTTAAAACTTCTGGTAACAGACTTCAAGCTGAGAAACGTGGATAATCTCGTCGGGGGTCACTGTGGAGAAGAATTGTGGATGCGATGCCCCGGATTTTCCAGAAATTGCCGATGCCAGTTGGCGTATCGGCGGAGGTATCCGACGGCTGCATGAAGGGCTCAGTTTTTACAGAGTGAATCTATGCGGAAGTTGTTCCGTTGTCAACCTCCTCACGATATGTTGCCTGCTTTTCCCTCTTAGTTGAAGGAAACTCGTGGTTCGAAGCCCTGTGGCTGAAAGTTTGCCCATCAAGGCGTCGCCAGGGAACAGAGGATCCATCAGGGGTATAGCCGATAGGCTCTTACAGGCTTCGGAGAGAAAACGTCGTAAAATTTGCTATCTCAAGTGCCTAGGGCTGTCGGCAGTCTCTTCGGCAATTCAGAGTTGGGTCAGTGGTGCATCGCTGTCTGTGAGCCTGCAGTGAAAGGGCGGGGGATCGGCCTTGGTGGGCCACCTCGGAACGTTCACGGGATGGTATTCTGTCTGGCTTTTAGCACATTCAAATGGTGATTAGAACAGAATTAGAGAAGGTCATCTTGGTAAAACCTGTATCACTCCAGACCTAGCAAGACTACTATTCAAGGAACATGGAGACAGCTGCCTATTTGTCCTATGCAAAAGACAAGCAGGCTTGATGAAGACTTGCAGCTCTGTCCTTCGGTCCCCTATACTAAGCTTTCAAAGCTATTAATGAAGTGGAATTGATATCAGCCAGAAATCGGAGGCAAAAGAGTGCATCAATAGGATGCCGTCAACAGGAAATGTGGATGATTTATGCAGTTATGCAGATCATTAATTTATGCCGAGAATTTGTGCCAATCACAACGCGACATCAAGACCGCACCTCATGAGATCCTCCCTTTCTCAACTCTTGAATACCAATGTCATCAGTGGAAAAGAAGCGCCTTCGAGATCGCCGGTCGCAACAGACCCTTCGCGACAAAAAGTTGCGGCACACAGCGGAACTCAAAGAACAAGTGGTCCATTGTCAGCAGTACCACAATGACCAAGGCGTGCAACGACTTCTTCAGGTGATCAGCGGACTTCGCGAACAAAATGAGGCCCTTATAAACCGCCAAAAAAGCTTGAAATCATTTGTCGCCTCATGGGACAGAGATTGGGAGGCTTTGCCAAGCGCAGATCGCTCTAACCAAAATGGGGCGTACCTCTACAAGGAGATGAGCAGCCAAGAACCTCAGTTCCCGCAAACTCAACGGGACAGCAATGGCCTTGCTCCATCAAGAGGATCAAATGTACCAACCAATCCTCTGTCGGCTACACCAACAACATCCCCGCGCACTGAGTCACCCACGGAAACCCTTCCAGCAACTAAACTGCCTCCATGGAATCAGATCCCGCTGCACAGCGATGACTTCACCAACGTACGGACAATTATTTCGTGCCCCTGGCTTTACTACCCAGAAAAGATAACGCCTTGTCCGGATATCCCGTCGTCCGCCCTGGACATCCTCTATGGCACAAAAGCCAACCCACTAGCCGACATGATTCATACGGCCCTTCAGAGACGCCCAATCCGAGATCCAGAGCGATTAGCGATTGGTTGGCTTTCCTATCACATGACACGATGGATTATATCACCCAGTCCAGCAACTTTTGAACGACTGCCTGCGTTCCTGAGACCGACACAGGAGCAGATGCAAATCGCACATCCTGCCGTATTGGATTTTATGCCGTGGCCAAAGCTTCGATTGAACTTGATGCATAGGTGGCATTTTTATGTCAAAGATCATGACGATCTGTTTGGCATGTTTGCGTGTTGTATTAAAATTCGTTGGCCGTGGGGGGAGGATATCCTTGAGCGGAATAATGAAAATGAATTGATCATCAAGCCGACGTTTTATGAGACTTTTATGAGTGCGAGTGGTTGGGGTCTTACTCCGGAGTTTATTGCGAGGTATCCTGATCTTTTTGTTGGAATTGATATTAATTCTATAGTATTCGAGCTTGTGTAAGAATAGGAATTTAATTTGAGATTACCATCAGGTAGAATTTTCTGGACAGTGACCCAAAGAGCTCCTTGCGGTCAAACATCAACGTAGGAACGCGATTCTAAGTAAGAATGAGTGTGCTTTTACGCAGCTCTTGAGCTCACTAGTTGTTACATTTAGCACCTCTTCAAAAAGTCAAATCACCAGGCGCAAGGAATGTCGATGTCAACAAACATGTCACAAACCATGTCAGACAACTGGAGAGGAGGGAGTGAAGAGATCAAGTTATTTTTGAATGAGAGTGTTCTGCCCCGCCTAAGCTGCCTCCAGCATTCAAATCCGAAGTACGTTTAGAAATTCATGAAAACCTCTCCTCACGTCACTTGGAGGCTAGCTTCGAAGGCAATCTAGTGACCGCTCTCAGCCTAAACTAATATCTACCAACAAAGTTTCAGCCCGATTGATGGAAAATGGAACGTGCAGCAGAAACAAAACGAGAGAAACAGTAGTCCGAGAAAAAGCCGAGGTGGCACTATAACGCTTAAAAGCATGCTGCTAATAGGTTTTTTATCTCATCATTGGGACGCCTTAACCGCATGAATAGATCAACGTTTTTCCAATACAGTGTCAGCTGAGTCAGATTTAATGTAGCTTCCTCTTGAAGAATCGCACGCTCCTTGCTCTCTTCCTTTGTACGTTGACGCATCTAACGAGGACCAAATTCTCTTTATTTCAAATCAGCAAAAGCTCACAATTTCCTTGTCGCCTGCCAGAATTGAGGATGTGGATGCGCTAGTGACGAGCCCATCCGTCGCTTGATGTTCCTATACCCGACAGGGCAGCAGTGGGATCATAGCGAAGATGAAATAAAATGGGCAATTGATGGTGTCTATGAGGCAATAGATTGAGAGAACAACATTATATATAAGACGTGTGGAGCAAATGGACTACCTGTCGGACTTATACGTTGGACCACTAGCTCACGTTTTTTCCAAATGGAATGATGAAAATGGCGAGAAGTCTATTCCAATTGGCCTGGTAATTAGGCCGGAGAAACATCATAAAAGCTGGAGTCACCCCTCTTTGGATGTGTACTCATGGCTTGGCATCTCAAAAAGGCTCAGAACAGAGAGACAGAGATTCTTCCAAAACTGACAGCCAATGCAATATGTACTAAGCCAGTAATCCAAATTTTTCAGGCTTTGTTGACCTGTCTTCTGGAGGGATCTCGCTCATGGCTGTGGATCCGGATCATTAATAACCCAAGTGTTGGCTCCACGCTTTTGAAGATGCTCTGCGATAGCGTGGACGGGGTATGCACCCTTGACATTATTGTTATGTCCTTGGCAGATGGTCTTCGGCTATACTCTAAGTTCGGATTCAGAACAGTCGCAATTATGGGGAAAAAAAGGAGGGTGATTTTACAAGCATGTTACGGACTGCAGGCTTGGGCTCCAAGCAAGACATGGAATAAATTCTATGAACAATAGCGCAAGCTACTTAGAGAATCCTAAATCTTGTCAATATTCTGGAAAGTAGCAAATATCATGGATGTAATTTACGTTATCCAGAAGGATAAAACCCATTATAGATTATTCGGTCTGTCTTGCCTCGCAGAAAACCGCCAATGATCGATACTTCATGAAGACGTCCAAGTTATGCCAGGCATTAAAATAAACATGAGGTTCCGATATGAACAGGCCCCACCCATGGAACTCGGCCCACCGCTGATTCAGTGCAGATATATGGCCCTTTTGATTGGTGCATAATAGATATAAATGGGCCACTGATTCATCGCCCGGGGATAATGAACACTCCCGGATGCAGGATCGAAGACCATTTCTTTCGTCCCGAGGGGTTCAGTTTTGTAAGCTTGCACAAGTTTCTCGACTTTTTCTATTACAAAGTATTGATGCTTGTACTGCAGAAACCACGTTGCCGGTCAAACAAAAACAATAGTACCGGCCATACTTGATTGCGACTCCATGAATGCGACCACCCCTGTGTAACTGAATGCAGGCCGAAAGAGTCCTATAAGGAGAGACCCACATCCAGATATTACATATTATGAACCAGACTTATGAACACAAGGATCAATCCGTAGACCGTGCGGTCGCTTATGGATAGATCTCCTGAGGCGAGCCCTGCAGCGCTATTCAGGCATAATTTAAATAATAGGATGTTCCCTGTGGGCTGATCAGACTTAATCCACTTCCCTAACTTTTATAGCTGATCGCTTTTCCCTTTTCCATCTTCCTTTTTTGAACTATTTAATCTTCCTCTTCCTTGGCGTGTTCATCCATTCCCTTTCTTATATCATTTCAAACACGCCAAGACTTCTATACACATTTATATTTTCTAATACCTTTCTATTCCATCATGGAAACGCCACAAAAAGAGTCAGACTCAAACTACTCGACTGCAAACGACGAAGACAGTGTCACACACCAAACCCCTGATATCGAAAAGCAACCAAGCAATACCGAAACAACATCACCTGCCACAGAGCAATACCCCGAGACCGACTTGAGCCGCGGTATAGTAGGATGGGACGGACAAGATGACCCCAACAACCCGCAGAACTTTTCCACAGGCAAGAAGTGGGCCTTGCTCGCACTTATCAGTGCTATGACTCTGATCTCGCCCCTGGCCTCGAGCATGTTCTCACCGGCCATCACATACATGGCCGCAGAATTCAAAGAGACCGATGAGACAATTCTTTCGTTCAGTGTCAGCATCTACCTTCTCGGGTATACAGTGAGTCCATATCTAGCAATCCCGGTCACTAGCTGCAGAAACATATCTAACAAATTTACCCCTTCTACAGTTTGGCCCCCTCCTCTTGGCTCCGCTAAGTGAAGTCTATGGCCGCCGCATCGTCCTCAGCGGTGCAAACTGGTTCTTCGTCGTCTGGCAAATTGGTTGTGCCCTCGCCCAGAACATCGAAACCTTAATCGTCTGTCGCCTCTTCGCTGGAATCGGCGGTTCGGGCTGCCTCACCCTCGGAGCTGGAGTGATTGCAGATCTATTCCCACGTGAGAAGCGCGGAATGGCAACCTCAATCTGGGCCATGGGACCCCTGATTGGCCCTGTGGTTGGTCCAATTGCAGGTGGATTCCTTGGTGAGCAGGTTGGCTGGCGGTGGGTCTTCTGGCTATTGCTCATCGCCGGAGGCGTCCTGGCCTTCGGTGTGGAAGTCTTGAATAAGGAGACATATCCTTCCGTTTTGATTCGGTGGAAAAAGGAAAAACTCGCAAAGGAGCTTGGGCGTACGGACTTGCGCAGTGCCTATGACCTGGATGAGGAACCTGCTCCTGTGATGGAGGTCCTGGCGCGGAGCTTCAAGAGACCTGTCCTGTTGTTTTGCAAGTCGCCCATTGTGTTCCTTTTGTCGACATACATGGTGAGTTTGGAAATATCGGAGGTATCGGTAATGACACGCTGACGATCTCCTCAGTCTCTCATTTATGGTCTTCTGTACCTATTCTTCACAACCATCTCCGATGTCTTCACCAGCCAATACGGCTTCTCTGTCGGACTCTCTGGACTCGCATACCTCGGTATCGGAATTGGATTCATGTCTGGCTTAATGGTTATTGCCCTGACAAATGACAAGGTTATGATAAAACTCACTGCACGAAACGGTGGCAAATTCGAACCAGAGATGCGTCTGCCAATGATGACATTCTTCGCCTGCGTCTTGCCAATCAGCTTCTTCTGGTATGGCTGGACTGCTGATAAGCACGTCTTTTGGATCGTGCCTATTATTGGCATGTTTCCATTCGGGTTCGGCATGATGGGAGTTTATATGCCGATCCAGACATATGTTATTGATTGTTATCCGGCTTATGCGGCGTCAGCTAATGCTACACTCACTGCGACAAGATCGCTTGTTGGGGCTATGTTGCCGCTCGCTGGTCCTGCGATGTTTAATGCTCTTGGGCTGGGATGGGGAAATTCTTTACTTGGATTTGTCGCTTTGGCGTTTGTTCCTGTGCCTATCATCTTTACCAGGTATGGGAAGAATATCCGAGAGAGATGGCCGGTCAATCTTGATGGGAAGAGGTCTTGATCTGTTTAAAAGCGGATTAAGGGGGATATCACACCGGGAAAAGATTATCTAGTCATAGAGATGGTGGAAAACGCTTTGAGCCTACGAGCAATGTATAGACCTTCATCGTACATAACGAAATAGAACATTTTTTTCATTGTTTCTTGTGTTATGATGGTTCCAATATTCAGATATCTTCGGATTCTCTTGTCTTGATCAGGAGCAAAAATTCATGGATTGAACAATCCAACGGGTTGTTTTCCATGTATTAGGCGAGAAGAAGAAGATGTAGTAAAGAGTGATGAAAGATGACGAATTATCTTCGGAGGGACATGGACTTCACATTCCATACATACCATACGAACGACCATTTCGAAAAGCGAGCCTTCGTTTCCTTTCAATTTTATTAGCAAGAAGGATCCTGGAAAGACGAACATAGAAAGGAGACGGTCCAACTCACGTTAGTTACCTTGCCGATAAAGCAAGCATTGCCTGTCGCCATGTCCTCCGTTCTTCCCAGTTCATTAGCGCGTTGGAGATCATGACAACAATTGGCACCTGACGAAGGATCTGTCCACCATTACCGGAGCCGCGCCTGAGACTAGATAGCGCTCCTTTCTTCTTCTTAACTTGCATAAGGGATCATTAGCCCTGGTAGTGACAGTTCTGCCCAGCGGAGAGAATATCCGACCCTGGTACTCGAAGAGCCCCATGTCAGGATGTCCTTCCCCATGTCAGGATGTCCTTCGTCCTTCTCAGCTCATCCTGTTTCTTCCTTAGTCAATCTCCACCACCTCAGCAATTGATGTGTCGGGATGGGTGACTTCCTCGTTGCCTGCGTCGACATCGTCGTCGTCGTCGTCGGGGTCGACATCTTCCTCGCTCGATACGTCCATTTCCTGATCCGATGAATTATCCGAATCATCACCAGATGTGTCCTGGGCCTGCCTGTATGCGCGATAGGCAGTAAGGGCATCTTGGAAATGCTTGTCGGTTACCCCATAGGTAGGATTGATCATCCGGTCCATGATTTCAAGCTGATTTGCAACGAATCCAGGCACTTCAGACTTCATTCCATTGAGAAGGATTGACAGCAGGATGAAGGGATGAACGTTCAGGCTGTAACGATGAGCCTTGCAATACAATTTCCAGACCAGGTGAACGAACTGTGGAAGAGTCTCCACGTCAGATCGCTTTGTGTTCATGATTCTGAACAGGAGATTGGTGCACGTCTCCAAGTCAGGGCTTTCTTCATCGAACATCAACTTCTTGATACCGTCCATGAAATCATCGGCAAGTGTCAATTCAAGAGCCAAGCGGGTATTCTGTTCGTCAATTCTTCCATCGACAATTTCTGCAACCTCCTCTGGAGCCATGTTCCAGGCAAGCCACCTGGTGACACCCAAAGACAAGACCTGCCATTTCGGGGCATCTTCATCGTCACGGAAGGGACGAAGAACGCTCCTGTCAATTAAATTATGCAGACTGTGGTGCTTGAGGATTTGATGCACCAGCCCATACCATTCCTGGAAGCCTTCGTATTCAATTGGAAAGTGGAGGCGAGCATCGAATTGGTAGAGATTGGGCAACGTACTGACCGCTGGAAGGCCACAAGCCTGGTCAAAATTGGAATATCCAAGGACCTCTGTCTCGAAGAGAACAGACCAGTCCCGGGTGTGTTCGTTGGACATAGCCATGTTGAGATATTGGTGGCTGTGAAATGTTGGTCGGAGAATTCGTTTGAGGTCTGGAAGTAGCCTATTAGCATCTGTTATCCAACATAGTATCCAGGTATTATTCTCTTACCTATTTGAAGCCTTGACCAGTTAGTCAAAGGATTCCGTGGTAGCCGGTTGTGGATGTGTATCCCGTCACACTAGACGAAGGATGCTAGTCCTTGTCAGTCTGCGAAGGAGACAAGCCTTTGATGGATGGGTGTAGAAGATGTGATGAAAGAAGAAAGAAGGGGAAAGGAAAGAAGAAGGAAGAGGAAAGGGAAGAAGAAGAAAGTGACCGTCACCCGGAGCCCGGTAAAGCTGAGAAGGACTTTCGGGGGCGCACTACCCGCACAATGGTGCCACCGATGCTATCACTTCCAGATACAGTCAACCCCCATACACTCAATCCGTGTACAAGTACACAATGACCTATTGCCATTCTACCAACCATCTTGAGGGCTGGATACCTCTCCAGGCAGTCATATCTCTAGACCACTAGCTCTCCGGGCCGCCATCTCACGTATTAAACTTCTGTTAACTTAGAGCCTGAAAAGTTTGTCTCAGAGATCATGCCTCTTTTGCTTGCTAGCCCTAATCATAGGACTATTTTGGTCTGCTGCTTCTCCTTCTTATGACCTATCACTCTCGGAGTCCTCCATCCATTACATGTACTCGATGGTGCCGACTCACTAGGTCCTAGGTCTGCATCTCTTCCTACCTCTTGACTGATTCTAAGGAGCTGTCTTTTTTTCTTACCGCTGTACTTGGATCTCCATACTGTACTCTTTCCTAAATAGAGACTAGACGAAGTCTCCTGAAATAGCATTGCAATAAAGAAATATGCCTGGACATATCCTACCCTATCGTCAAAGGTTCTATCCAAAACTCCAAAACCTCAAGTGACAACATGTGCAGTCAACAGCCATTGAATAGTGGTCAGAAAAGAAATTTCTTGTGCTTAGTGAGAAGAAAATCAACAGAGTAGCTGATTTCTATAGCCTGCTAAATATCCCTTAGTACGTTGACAATTCTTAAAGGCAATGTACTCTAGATTCCAAGTAAATCTGCCCACTAGTCATCGCCGAGAAAGGTTCACACATGAATTGCAATATAGCATAGTAAAGAGGGAAAAAAATCCCGAGAGCAAATTTTGGGAGACTGGATCGACAGAACTCGAATAAACGGTGAGGCTGAAGCTGACAGGAATTTTAGTAGACCGTTGATTATACACAAGTTGATTGCCATGACCCAAGAAATATATTTTCACACCCTTTAAACATCGAGGCGACCTATAATGATTGGAATTGTATCAATGGGAAAGACGAAAAGCGACAAAGATATACAATAGGGCATAAGTGTGGATTTCACCTCTTTGTTGCCTCTCCACGGCCAGGGTCCATAGGGCTTATCTCTTATCGTCTCCGCTCAACCTCCCATTTCTTTCCTCCTCCACTTCTTCCCCCATCACTAGTTGTCAGACCCTCAGGGGTTGTGTTGTGATTGACGATAGACTCATCTTGCACAGGTTAGACATATACCCCAACAACGACATGCCAAGCCTACGCTGACATCTCTCCCCACAGTAATCCTGCTGCCTTTCGCCCTCGAACCATCGTTATCTTATCACAGCATGCGCATTCAGATTTGACGGTACTTGCATACTTCTCTAGGCGGTTGCATTCTTGCCCTTGATCGCATCCAGTCCCTCCCACAATGGACCAGGAGGAGGCTCCCCCACCCCCGTACTCCGCCGTCGATCCATTGATTTCACCAACCCGGAATGGCAATCCAGCACCGATTCCTCCTCGTGGAGGGGTATCGGAATCGCAGGATGCCAGCAGCTCGCGGACTCCCCCACGGCCGACGGTAGTGCCGACACATTTCACATCCGCCGCTGGGTACTTTGAGGAACGGCCTCCGTGGGTTCTGGATGAGACCCGGGATATTCTGCAGCATCATATCACTATTTACCCACGAAGTCAAGCCAAAGATTTCCCGCGAAGGCCGCGCTGTTGGGCTACGCGGTTTGATGAGGTCACTCAGCAGGACTGGGATACCTTTCTCCGGTATCTGTTCCCACCTCAGTTAGGACTTGCCGCTTCTTCGCAGCATCTTCCACGCCAGTTGCGAGCGGAAATTAGACGCGACCGCAAGGACCGCCCACAAGAGACCGACGAACAGCGGAAAGCTCGGATTGCTGCTGTGGTTGCTGAATGGAATGAGTGCTTTTTTGGAAATCGCTCTACCCAGATTGTTCCCGTCTATGTTGGCGAACCAGATAATGCGCCTGCGTCCGGTCTATGCCCTCGATGTTACCCAGCTGCAACAGGGTCTATAGAAGGTCAGCCATCGCGGAATCCGAACGCTCCGTCGCCTGTCTCTGGCCAACAAACCCCTTCCCCGACCCATTGGCAGATGCCGCCTGCTCCTTATCACACTCCTCCTATACATGCATCCCCATATGGAACACCATATGGTGCTCCCATATATCCTTCCCCCATGTCTCCCAATCACCAACCACCTCAATATTATCCCGTTCCGCACCATCCACTGCCACAGGGTGTCGCGCCATGGCAATGGAACAATTGGAATTACGCGCAGCAACAGCAGCAGTATCCCAACAATGGCATCTCCAAGGGCGGCTCGTTTGGCTGGATATCACAACTCGCATCACAGGCTCAGAAGTATGGAGAGCGGTTCACCGAACAAGCTCAACAATACGGAGATCAAATCAGCGCGCAGGCACAGCATTATGGGCGTCAGGTTGAGGAGCAGGCACTTGCACATGGCCGGTGGCTGGAAGAACAAGCAAGACTTCATGGACGGAAAGCACCAATGACCGCTCCTGGTGGACATTACGGCCGACCTGCCTGGGATAATTCACCCCAGCACGCGGTCAATATCCCAATGAACCCCGTTCAAAACACAACTCCGAGCCCTGTGACAAGCGTCAATACAACCAGTCATCCCAGTCCAGCCGATCAGGTTATTGACAAACCCAAACCATCGACTGAGCGCTCTAGGCGAGTGTCTGTTAGTTCTGTCTCGTCCGAGTCATCCTTCAGCTCGATTGATTCCATTTCCACAACTTCAAACCTGAGTGTTTCGGACTTGGCCACAGTTCGCACTCAATTAGAGCTTCTGGATGATCGGCACGACCGAACGTTGTACGATGCGGCCGTCGAGCTTCGCCGGCAGCTCACAGCTCTGCAAGCATCCCGCCGAGAAGATAAAATAGCAGGTCGGAAAGATTGGAGAAAACAAAACCAACAGTCCAATAACGACTGGGGCCGTTGGGATTCCCCTGAACAGCAAGAGCGGAATTCTGTGGATAGACGTGCCATGAAGGATGAAATGCGCGCCACTAAAAAAGTATTCAAAGACGTGCTTCGCCGGGCTAGAGAAGAACAGCGTGAACGGCGTCGAGTCCGTCGCCGACAGGTTCGGCAAGCAAGAGCTAGTGAAGGCGACACGGCAAAATATGACCAGCCGCTAGAGCAGCAGCTCGGGACTTTGCGATTGGATGGTACGCCTGTGGTCTCCCGCCCAGCAAGTACCCCAGCTCAGCCAAATCGAGTTACAGCTTCAAATGCGTCAGTTGCCAGCATTGAGTCGGGGTCGAACCCGCCGTCTATCTCAAGGGCAAGTACGCAGGACTTTGCGCCAGCTGGTACTTCGAAGAAACCGAAGCCCACTGATACCTCCACCCGGATCAAGGATATGCTCAGGTCACGCAAGGCGAAAAAGAAGCAACAGAATGAGGATGCTGAGGGTGAGAGCAAGTAATTGCTCCAAAGTAACCCCGGTGCTTTTATTGAATTGTTCATATTGTTGGGCTCTAAGCTAGGAGTTTACAGGTTACTTGGACAGCAAGACGGAATTGTGATTTTCAACATTCGAGTGTATAGCTATCATTTGAAATAGTGGCCATATATGGCCGACGACGTTATGATACCATGTTTATATTTTCTTCCAACACTGTATCAGTAGCCCCATGCTCCAATGACTGCTACCATCTGTACAAGTGACCCACCCTATGACAGAACATTCCCAAGTGATCCCCTCGCAACTCAAGTGTCAATATCTACTGTACATCCTCAGACGGAAAACGCAAGACAATCATGAAACTTTTATGCAACCTCTATACATACAACAATCCACACCATCACAAACCCCGTCTATCATCCACTCCCCTCAAATAAATCAATTCAAGTGATCTCAACAACCACAAATCACTGACTCTCATTCTTCTCAACCAAATCCCCAACACCAAGCCCCCTCCCAACCTTCACACGAATCATCTTCTCAGCATCCTTCTTCCCAAGCTCCCCAACCTCCTCCCCCTCATCAACATTCTCATCATCCCCTTCACCCCCATTCTCCTCCTTATTATTCTCCCGGTCCCGCTTCTCAATCGCCTTCCAGTCAAGCCACATGCTCTGCAGATTCAGATGCATCGCATACGCATCCTCGCCGTCAGCGTAGTACCCGCTCTCGACCTTTTCAACTTCGAAGCCGAGCGTGTCGCGGTACAGACGCAAAGCGGCGACATTGGAGACTCGTACGTGTAGAGAGACGAAGTGGGCGCGGTGGGATTCGGCCATTGCTCTTTCTGTAACGAGGAAGAGGGGGTTGTTAGTTCTGTTCACATCGTTGACATATATAGAACGGCCAATTGGCTGTCTATCACACATGCTCATCCAGAAAGAAAAAGAAAAGGAAACTCACGACTCATCCTCATCAACCTCTCGGCAATCCCCAACCGGCGATGCGTGCGCATGACACTAAGAGAAGTAATATGGCCATGCTGCTTCCCATCCGCAGGCTCCTCCTCCATCTTGGCAAGCACGTAACCCACAACCTTAGGGTACTCGCCAGACACATCACCAGCGGCCCCAGCGCCGCCGGGAGCGGTAGACGACTTGTAGCCCGAGCGCGGGCGGACCACGGCGACGAAGCTTAGCTGGGGCCATGTCAGGGCGTGGTAGAGGTAGTACTTTAGGAAGTAGTTTTCGGGGAGGTTTGTTATGTTGCAGGTTTGGATTGAGGGGAGGAGGTCGATGTAGGAGGGGTAGCTTGAGAGGGGGACTATGTCGACCATTTTGGCGGTTGTGTGCGTGGGAGTGCGATTGTGGGGGTTTGTTGTTTGGGTTTGTTGTTTGGGTCCCTCTTTTGGGGGGCGTGAGGGTGGATTGAAGGTCAGTGGTGAGGTTGGTTTGCTGTGAGGGTTGGTTTGCGGTGGGGAGGTCATGTGATGTAGATGTCTCCGAGGTTGAGGTTCAGTTGTAGGGATTGATCATGGATGTATTGATTTTAACTTATTCCTTAATTGAATGTTGTATGGTTATTTCTCTTTGTAGCAATGGAGTTCTCTAATCAATTACTATGATCAATTGCTCCTTACTAAGACATCTACGCTCATACCCATGTTGATAGAATCATCTATCCTCAAATTTGAAATATGTATAAATCTTTTGTCAAGGTCATATCCAATACAATGTAATATAATATGTATGGTCCAGAAAAGAAAAGCCTAGCGCCGAAGACCAATGGGGTCATGCCAAAAAAAATGAAAACAATCATAGACATCGTGGAGATTAGAACACAGACATGATCATCTGCACCCCGACTGCCACCAGAAGCAACGACGACACACTGGCGACGGAGACTCCGCGGGGCGCAGCAGATGCCTTGCCGCAGCATTTACCGTCCCAGGTGACGTTGTTCATATCGGCAGCGACTTCGAAGACTGTGCCGTTGGGTGTACCGTAGTTGTAATAGTCGACCAAGAGGAAGTTAGGGGGGCGGTCCCATTTCTCTGTTTTGGGTTAGCGTGTCAATGCATAAAGGAGATAAAAAGTAGATAACTTACTGGTACAGTTCTCCGCCATCCAGCCAAGACTGCCTTCGCCGGAGACACCGTTGGTGACATTGAGCTCGGCAGTGTTGGGAATCAACAGACTCAGCGCACCAAGGTTCAACTGCAAGTTGAGGTTGTGGTTGGCCATATACAAACGGTTCTTAGCGTCCTGCTCGGACAGACCGGGAGGGCGCTGCGCTGTGCAGGGGAAGTTCTTGTCCGTGGGCGAGAAAGGCGTCTCCCACATTTGGGAGAACTCATCCATCAACCAGGGAAGTGCGGTCTGGTTGGCCTGGTAGTCCATGAAGAAGACGGCGCGCTTGCCCCTGAGGATCATGTCCGAGAGAGTGGGCCAGTCATTCAGAGCCATGGGCACCTTGGTGGGAGTGTAGATGAGGTCCTTCAGACCGGCATTGTAGATCGGAGTGGTGAAGTTCTCAGGGGAGACGTAGTCATAGTTACCGATCATGAAGGTCACCACATCATAGGGGTTCTTGCGCATCCAGCTGTTGACCTGGGTGAGGTAGGCCTCGAGGGTGCCCGAATTAAGCAGTTGGCAGGTAGTGTGGCAGAGGTACATGGTGCCGTTCTCGTAGTGGGTTTGGAATTGCACTGCGGCATGTCAGTATACCATGTTTTGTACTCGGAGTGTCACGGATCACTTACACATGCGAATACCATCATTCAATTGCGACGTCACATCCAACGCCTGGTTGGCAGCGACGTTGTTCTGGCGCACGAACGGGCTGTTGTGGGCAGTCACCATGGTGATGTTCGAGTACTTCTTGGTGCAGAACTCCGGGTAGCCGTTGCAAGGCCGGGTGTTGACCACGGGGGTCTTGGTAGCCGTGTTTGTGGCCGTGGTAGCTGTAGCATTCATGCTGTTATTGCCGAGAGTAGTTGTACCTCCCCCGCCAGTCAACAGAGTGATGGAGTCGGTAGTCGTTGAGAGCACGGTCTGGTTTCCGCTAGTCATGGTAGCATTGGAGTGGGTGGTGGTGATAACTGTCGAATCACCCAGTGTAATTGTTGTGCTCACATCCTCGTAGGTCCCAGAGGGCACAGGAACAGGGGTGGTGACTGTCTCAACCGTGGATACATCGGTGATGGTATTGGTGGTGTCTGTGGTTGAGGAACTGTCCTGGGCCACGGTTAAGCCCGCCAGGCACGCGATGAGAAGCGACCACCGCATCTTGAAACTGTACAAAGCCTTGAAGAGAGAGAAGATCCGAGAGTCGCATTTAGGGTCAAACTCCAGCGATTAGCTAAGCAAACCGGGTCTGGAGATGACGCAGCCCACCTGGGCAGGGGGTCGATGAGCCAATAATAGCTTCATTTGGGTAAAACCGCCGTCAGAGGTCGAAGTCTCGACTGTTGCCTAAAAACTGCTAATTTAGGCTTAATACTAGTATTACTTCAGTAGGAGGCTGTACATTCAACCATGTGCATGTCTCAACTTTGTGTCCAACACTAATTATATCTTCATTCTTGATCTATTCTCCTTTATATCCAGCCTGGCTGTTTCCCAAGATAAGCCTGATCGCCACCGGAGACCAGGGGGCAGCACTAGTGTTCAGCCACTGACGATCCCACGGGAGGGCTGACGATCGGAAAACTGTGAGAAAAGCAAAGATCCGGATCAGGTGTTGGGACGTCACTGCAAACCCTAATTGTTCTTCCTTCTTCATATCCTCTTTCTCAAGGATATTGGGATTTCACCGTCGTCCTCTCCCTCATCATGACTGAGGGAATTGGCAAGCGAAAGCTCCCCTTTTTCCGCTCCACCTCCACCCGCCCAATTGCCCGCCGGCGTAAATCCACCGTCCACACGCACCGTATCATTCGGGCCTTTTTATACCTTGTCGCCTGGATCTTCTTGGTGTTGGTGGTTATTGGCAATATTTCCAATAAGCCCGTTATCCGCAGCACTTACTTCCTCTACCTCGATCTCTCCAACATCATCCCGGTCTCCGTGCCCAATGCCGTCCTGATCAACTCCATCGCCCAGTCCATTGGACTGCACGATTTCTATACTGTGGGACTATGGAACTTCTGCGAAGGATACCTCGGGCAGGGAATCACCCACTGCTCCAAGCCCGAGACCCTCTATGCCTTCAACCCGGTTGACATCATCCTCAATGAGCTGCTCTCTGGCGCAAGTAGTACGTGCAATTCCCAAGGATCAACCCCCCTCCCTATTGGATACTAACAGTCCACCCAGTCGCCCTGCCATCCGACATTCAAGAGCCGCTGGCCCTCGCGCGTACCGCCTCACACTGGATGTTCGGCCTCCTCCTAGCCGCCGCGGTCCTCAACTTCGTGATGATCTTTGTCGGCCCATTGGCCGTATCCTCGCGCCACCCCCAGACAGTCAAGTACTGGGCCGATGCATACAACCCAGCGAACGGCGACGGTGAATACGCGCCCGCCGGCAAGCCCCCGCACCGCCGCCGCACCTTCATATGGCTGCGCGCCCTGCCCCTGCTGATCCTGACCTTCTTCGCTGCGCTGGTCACAATTGTCGGTTCAGCCGTTGCGACAGTCATGTTCGTCATCTTCGCGAATGTCTTCTCCAACGCCGACCCGAGCATCAACATCCAGGCGCACGTCGGGACCCAGATGCTAGTCTTTATGTGGATCGCCTCTGCCTTCAGTTTGCTGGCATTCATCCTCCAGATCGGATCTTGCTGTGCTGCCTGCTGCCGTGGCCGCAAGGCTCGCAAGCAGCTCAAGTCGCAAGGCGTGAACTGGCACGAGAAGGGATCAACGCGTACCAGCGGATCTGACGCTACAGCCACGGAGCAGCGCGCCGTCTCTTCTGGCACCGATGCCCGCTCGGGCGGACAGCAGGCACAGGCACACGGCTACCCGAACGAGCATGATGTCAGCCCGATCGAGCCAAGTCACGACCACGCATTCTCGAACGAAAATCACACAAACGGAACCACTCTCTCATCTGAACACCACGCCTACTCGACTGAGCCTCACGCCATGTCGAAGTAATCCAGACAACTGTCTATAAACTTTTCCTTTTTTCACTGGACTACACTTCTTTGATGTCCACGTCGACCTCCATCATATAAAGCTTCCTGCTTCTTTTGAACATTTACTCACATATCACCTGCCTGCTATACAGTATCGATTTATATACCTAGGTACGGATTTACGATTTGTTTCATTTTGGACTGCATGTAAAGCGGGCTGCATGCTTATAGATTGGATTTGTGTTTGAGCTCCAATTGAATATATTCCCCGTGTCTCCATTTAGTCTTGATTCAATAAAATCCACCTTCCCCTGGGGTACGCGTCAAGACCCCTGTTATTTAAAAATAGCCTGTTTTCGTTTATAAATAACACTTTCCATTCGCTGCTAGTCAGTCTAATGCCTGTATCTCTGCTGATCCCCAACCTCCGACCCCACTGGATTGTCATGATGGGGCCAATCTCCACCAACTCATGCCCAGTATGCCAGCCTTGTCACATCACATCGCCACTCCCAACCTCTCCCAAAGATTCCACGAAATTTCCTCAATTCAAAGTCCAACTATCGCCAAGATTCACCCGTTCTAACGTCACGTCCTCGGCTCAAACACCCGAAGCCCACCCTCCGGCTTCCACCCTTTAGGCGGCAGTTTAGAATTAAGCTACCAACATTTAGCAGCACCATGTCCCCACCGCCCACGGTAAATACAGCCAGGACCAACAAATTGAGGCCGATGCACCATCCACCTCGCATAAACCTCATTCGACATCCCGCGAGGCGGCCACTTCCCCGTCACAACCTCCCCCCCAACCGGATTCCGATTCCAACTTTGAACCTGAGTAACCGGCGCCACAGTCGATACCGATCCCGAACCCAATCCCGCTGGAACAGGCAAACCAGCATCCTTACCCTTAACAAACCCAATAATCTCCTCACAACACCCATAAAAATCCCAAATAGTAACCGCCTCCGCCGGATTCACAACCCTAGAAATATCCTCCTCCTTCCCGAGAATAAACAAATCAAGTTTAGGAATATGACCCAACTCCCTTAACATAATCGCCAGCGCACTGTACGGCATCGGCAGACCCCCTAGACCCGAATACCGTCTAAACCGCCTCCGCAATTCATTAATAAACGCCTCGGTAGAAGGGAACTGAACACGTTTAATATCCATAAAGTCCATCATGACGCGCGTTAGCGGGTAACAGTCACAGGAAAGAAGGAATTGATGGTATTAACAGACCTGAGTCTTTGGGTTATTATATACATGATACTTTCCCTAGACTTGCTCTACATAGTATTCTGTTTTTCCTCCATTTGAATGTTTTATTTGAAGCTATAAATGATATCCAGCTACTATTTCTAGCTCATAACCCCAATTCTCCGTCGCAATTTTGGTCACCATGAAAGCTTAGGCCAATAATGTAGATTCTATAGCTTGGGGATTTGATGGACCAGCTGATACCATACCTGGAAGCCTTCGTATTAAGTTGGAAAAATGGACGAGGACGCAATCGAAACGGTAGAGACCGGTCAACGACTTATTATTAGGGAGGCCACAAACCGGTCAAAGTTGGCATACCCAGGACCTCCTTCCAGGCTCTTCTCAAAGAGAACAGATATGAGAACAGGAATGGTTGCTGGGCATCCCTATCCAAGCTTTGCTCGAGCCATGCTGGGACCAGGGTTGAAGTTTGAACCAGGTCCGGTAAGTCTTGTTGGTTCAACGGGCCTCGTTATTGAAGAATCAACCAAACGATCCAGTCGGTATCCTTTCAGCATCCAGATTACGCTATTCCACCAACCCTCAAATCCTTCATCCTTGTCGAGAGAAGGGGATCCATTCTGGAACAAAGCTGGACAGTGTCCTTGGCAGGTAGGTTCCACCCCTAGTCTTTCTTCTTGATTATGGCGGGGCACTGCTGCGGATTAATCCGGTTAGTGATTGTTTATGCAGATCTCGCCAAGGATGCTTACGATGTGGGTTGAGCGCTTAGGTTGTCATTTCACGACCGGGTAGGACCTGTACTGATCGGGTAATATTTAAATGTGGTTCTTCGACGTGCGGGTAGAAGGGGGTTGATGGTGCGACGGAAAGGCGTGGGATGGAGAGAGTCTAGTGGAGAGGTGGAGAAGAGAAAGAGGGACTCCTGGTTTTTATTCACACGAGATATTTATGTCGAAAATCCTCCAACAAGCAAACATTCAGATACAACTAGAGAGCCGAGCGAAAATATCATCAGATCTCAGGGCTAGTATGAGAATTATGTAGATCACATTTTGCCAACTTAGTCACTGATTTGAATAGACTTCACTCTTGGGGCTGAAACTATCGTTATGAAGATTTACTTTGTGGCCTACCATTGCGGGAGTTGTGTATAGTGCATCTAAGACTCCATGATCCCCGGATCTATAACTGTTTACCGAGATCTTTGCCAGAATTACGAACGAATCTTTTCATTCGCTTTTTTAATGATCTCAGATAGATCCTCCATCAAAGCCGTCCGTCGTTGTGTCTTAGGTTATTCAGTCCTGCCTTCGGTTAAAGATATAAATCAGATGCCACATCTCCACTGCTGCATTTATGAGGCTCAGAGCGGTTAAATTGGTTTTAGTCCGGGGATAAAATCAGTGAGTGCCCGTTGGCTCGTTATTTACCGAGATACGAAGAGAATTGTCAATCAGTCCAGCTCCGATGATACCCGAATGAGAACCGCCCCACGTGGTTTATCTGTGAACCACTTTTTGGCCACATGGCCCCAGGTTTCCAGCCCCGAATACCACAAAGGATATGCATGAAGATCAGTGTGAAATGAGACAAAGCATATGCAACCATGGACGGACAAGGGTAAGCCACTAGGCTGCTTTGAGGTGTTGGCCCGGGTTTCACCTGAGGAACTCGCACTAGTCCCAGAAGGGGATAGTTTCACCCTCCTTTCCACTAACTGCGCGAGATGAGGCCATTTCCCTTCTTTTTTTGCCATGTGCAATCATACCACTCCTATCGGTTAATTGGGTTAGAAAAAAATGCAAAGCTCATGTACATGTCAAAAGCGTGTCGAAAAGAAGGTCCTGCTGGACACGATCTCCAGATCCTTCGAATCATGTGATCTCGCTTCGCGCCGCTGGGCTTAGCAACCGTAGATCCGGCACGGCTAGTCTAACCTTGGTTGAGCTAAAATTTAGCTGCAATGTGCCTCGCCTACAGACATGCATCTTCATTCTAGACTAGAGGGGTCTCAGTTGACTTGTAAATCGCCACTCTATCCACGGTGAGCCTTTCGAGCCAATGCTGAACCCCCCCCAACTCAAAAAAAAAAAGCAAGGCCGAGCCAGATAAGCAATATGGACACCCTTCCGAGATCTTGTCCGGGGGCCCCGCATCCCCAAATTTACCCCCAAAGATGGAGAAACCCCGGAGGTAACGCAAAACCTGATCTTGTTCTTCCACCCTCCTTTGGTGAACCACCGTGGTCGAAGATCGAATCTTGTGGCCCCCGAAGCCTAAGCCCCTGTAATATAAGCCTCTGTGGCCCTCCAAGAACGGCTTGCTTGAGCGCCACAATCCCTCGGCGCCGTTGGCTAGCCTTGTCTGGCCGCGGCTGAACCCTCAGTCCAATGGGGTAGTTTGAGAAAAACGCCACGTAACCGCCGTGCTCGCCTTTCCCAGGGGAAAAGGTGAAAGCCCGGCGGCACAAGGCAAGGTGGTACCCCTGCTCATCAGATCGCTGGTTAAAATCCATGCACTTTTATTACCATTAAATTAATCCACGTATCACGCGCACCCTGGAATTGAGCATTAGCCCCATTAGCCCGCATGACTAGTCAAGGATATAAGAGCTCGACTCCCTGTCTTTTTCACCTGACTTCGTTTTTCCTTTCCCATTGATCGACATACCAGTTCAGCATGTCGTCCATCAAGGAAAAGGATGAGCATTTCGCTCAAGTCGACGTTCAGCACTCCGAGGTTCTGGTCAACCAGGACCTCATGAATGATGCGCTCGATGGTGAGAACCGCGAGCATCAGATGGGCGTTTGGGACGCCGTCAAGAAGCACCCCTGGGCTTGCTTCTGGGCTTTCACTATGTGTTTCACCATCGTGAGCTTACTCTCCGCACTTCGAAATGACCACAGCTGACTCTATCAGGTCATGGAATCTTTCGACATGTTCCTCAACGGTAACTTCGTCGCTCTTAAAGCTTTCCAAAGGGAGTACGGTGTCAAGGTTGGAGAAGCCTGGGTTATCCCCACTAAATGGCAGAGTGCCCTCTTCCAATCCGGTCAATGCGGCGCTTTCGTGGGTGTCTTTATGGCCGGTCCCATCACCAACCGTTGGGGTTACCGTTGGACTACCATTTTTGCGCTGATTCTTATGAACGCCACCATTTTCATTTCCTTTTTTGTGAGTGTCCCTGTCTGGATCTTGTAGGACTTATCTGACCAGTCAATTTAGGCCAACTCCCTTACCCTCCTGGTGGTTGGACAAGCTTTGGAAGGCGTGCCATGGGGATTCTTCATTGCAAACTCGCCAGCCTATGCTAGTGAGATTGTCCCCATGTCCCTCCGTGGTGCCTGCACAGCTACTCTGCAAATGAGTTGGTCCATTGGTTCAATTATTGTCGCTGCTGCCACATATGGCTACAACAAGCGGGATGATCAATGGGCGTGGCGTGTACCTCTTGCCCTGCAGTGGATCTTCCCTGTAAGTTACATTTGGATCAATATCCTACAGCAGTATCTAACCCATATAGACACCCCTTTTGATCCTTATTTTCCTCGCCCCCGAATCTCCCTGGTGGCTCATCCGTCGAGGACGCAAGAAGGAAGCCCTCCGTTCCATCGAGCGTCTCGGCGCTGACTCGACCGAGCACGCCCAACAATCCCTGGCCATGATGGAGCGAACAGTGGAGATCGAAGCCCAGATTGGCGGTACCCCAACCCTCCTCGACCTCTTCAAGGGAACCGACCTGCGCCGAACCGCCATTACCTGCTTGATGTACGCATCGCAGAACTTCGCCGGTAACCTAATTGCGAACCAAGCAACCTTCTTCTTCGAACGTAAGCATCCACCTACCAACATCCGATAAACCCAAACATAACTAACCCCCATATAGAAGCCGGAATCTCCCCCGACCGCGCTTTCCAACTAAATCTAATCAACTCATGCCTCCAATTTGTCGCCAACGCCATCTCCTGGTTCTTCACTGCCTGGTTCGGCCGCCGGACAATTTACCTATGGGGCACAGCAACAAACATAACCCTCCTCATCATCCTCGGTATCTGCGCCTCCGTCACCCAGAACACCGCAACTAGCTACGCCCAAGCCGTCCTAGGAATCCTTATCTCCTTCGTCTTCGCCGGTACTCTCGGACCAATTTCCTACACCATTATTTCCGAGACATCGTCCGTGCGTCTGCGCGCGCTCAGCACGGCTGTTGGTCGTGCTGCGTACTACGTTGCTGAGATTCCAATGATCTACCTGGCTTCACAGATGCTTAACACCACAGGCTGGAATTTGGCTGGAAAGTGTGGTTATGTTTGGGGAGGTACTGCCTGTGTCTGTTGGATGATGGCTTACTTCTTCTTGCCTGAGCTTAAGCATCGCTCTTACCGTGAGAGTGATATCTTGTTCAACCGCAAGGTTCCCGCTAGAAAGTTCAAGAGTACCATTATTGATGCTCGCGATAACGAGTAGGGGGTTGTGGTTGGCTTGTCACGGAGCATCTTTGCTGGTTCCGTGCTGCGATACTTCAAAGCTATCTTCAAGTATCTATCTAGCTCTTTCGATACATGATCAATGAATTTAATCATGCGTGACATACGCGCTCAAAATTGTATTTGGCCTCCAATTCAGTAGTCCGTTTCAGTTATTTATTATAGGTTTGCCAATTAAACCGTAAAAACCCAGGTAATCGCGATACCTTCGACAAGCACAGAGAGCTACAATACGCTCTACAACACCTGTTTGTCAGTGCTAGAGGCTTAAAGCTACCCAATGAAGATTGGAAGTATAGCCAGCATCAAATACATGTATAGAGATGCTGGATAACTTATTGTAATACTGCACGAAACCACTAGCCAGTTTAATCCAGACCCATACATACATGTCTAAGGTTCAGTCTCCAAAACAATACGCATATCGTATCCTAGATTCGATATATTGCGATATCACGTATTGCAGTACGGCCTCGTCGCCGCGGCGATAACCCACGAAACCAAAACAACCATAAAGCTCACTTCACGATGATCCACCTCTTCTCTCTTCTCTCAAACTTCTTCATTATCCATTCACTACATTCATCATCTCCCCTCAATCATGTATCTCACCATGATCGAGACAACCGCAGCCGGCAGTCGTACCGTAGACTGGCAAGCCCAAGAAGAGCTAGATGATATCTATGAACGCCAAATAGCGCGCGAAGATGCCCTACTGCAAACATTGAACTCCTCGCAATCCGAACCAGAACTCCGTCTACCACCATTCCTTCCGCGAGAGCCTCCTTCGATTTACGCTATGTCCATCCAGCCTGGCTCCGGAATTTGGGATGACGACGAGTATTTTCAATCTTCTCCCTCGACTGTACTTCCCGTCGCTCCCGTATATCAACAGCGTCAGATCAGAACTCTTGAGCATATTTCCCACATGGCTCAGGATATGAATGCCCGGGAGGGAATTCCTGCTCTGCAGGATAATGAGCATGCCGATGCCAATGCCGATGCCGATACAGATGACAAAGATCATCATAACGGTCATCACAACACTGACGCCGACACTGATATCAACACTGACGCCAATGATGAAGGCAATCCATACCAAATCATCCAAACCTACCTCTCATCCCTGAAACCACCATACGAGGAGATCTCCCAAACCCTCCAAAGCGAAAAATGGCCACTGAAGACGATTTACACCCTCCTAACCCTCCTCGAACAAAGCCACATTCACCTGCTCTTCGCACTGCGACGCAAAGGACGTTCCGAGAGTGAGATCAAAGAGATTGAGAAGTTATGTCGGGCTCATGCTACTGGATTTGAGAACTTGGCGATGCCGGATGAGGCTCTTGGGCTTGAGGATGTGAGCGTTTCGCAATGGTTGGGTGTGGAGATGGCGCGCAGGAGGAAGATTGGGTTTCAGTTTGGGGTTTCTGGGTCTGGGACTGGAGGTTGATTCTGGGAGATTGGTTCATGCTTGTGTCTTGTGGTGGGGTTCGTGTTGAGATGGAGTCTGTGACCCTGATGTGAGGGATGGTATGAGGGGGGTGGTTGATGTTTTGAGAGCTTCTGCAAGACATATTGATATCTCCACTTTGACATGATGTAGCTTTCAAGGTTGTAAGATTTGTGTTGCTTCTTCTGTGGGACCCAGATATAGAGTGTAATTTAACTCCCAAGGTCATTGTAACCCAGTCAACGCCTACACTACTCACAGACTACAGGTACTACCGAGATCACGGTTGCCATACAGATGCATAGAAGATAATAGAGACTTGATTGATAGACAACAGAAAAGCAAAAGGGGTATTAGGGAAAAATGCATGCATCGTTTATTTGCAAAGAATGGGCAGACAAGAAAGTAAGGATTGACCTTGCAATGAGGTAGTCAAGTCACCAAGAAGAGAATTGAAAACGATCAAAGTCAGAACCAGCGTTCAAAGTTCAGGTCCAGTTCGTGTTCACAAAAATTTGACAGACATACACAGACCAAACATCAAGATCATCGACATGTGGATCCAGATCCAAATCCGCATCTGAAGACGTGTAGATCGACGACGTAGGTCGGAACAAAGAAGGTAAGATATGGCAAAGAAAGAAAAGAGACAGGGTATCGATAATGAATAGAAATAAGCCAGTAACCGAAAATAAAAACACAGAACCCAGAATAAAACAAGATCAGACATGGATACAAACGAAGAGACCACAATTGATGATAGATGGATGCAAATTAAACCAAACATAAACCATAAAGTAGAGAAAGGAATAATGAGTCTTTCACTCCTGGTACGCCGACTGATCGGGGCCCCATTAGACGCCGTGTATGCAACAAGTCACAATGACCAGATATGAAAGGCAAATGGCAAGACAATCAGTTCATCTCCATGCCGTACTCGTCCTCCTCCTTGAAGCTCATAGCGGCATGACCAGCACTATTCCAGTACTGTGCCTGGCCACCACCGTTGGCACTGCTGGCGCCACTGTGGAACGAAGGGCTGAGACTGGGGGGAGTAAGACCAGAGCTGTCACCACCCTGCACGGCGTCGCCGGCAATGTTCGTGTGCTTGGGAACACGGAGGCCACTGCCAGGTCCACGGGTGTAGCTGAAAGATGTCGGATCGTTCTTCTCCAATGCATCAAGAATCTCGCTGCGCATGCGCTTCTCTTCCTCGGTTTGCTCGAATGGCCAGGTTCCACCCAGGCTGGTGATCAGTTCAGCGAGCTCTGCCTCTTGTTGGTATTTGACGTGCAAAGCCCACATCAGATCGCGGGTCCAGCTAACGGCACCGTTGAGGATGTCACCTTTGTTGGGACCCTTCTCCTTTTCTTCGATGGGGAGACCCATGGTGATGTTGCCCGGGGTCGCGCGACGGCCGTTCCCACCTGCGAGGAGAGAGGTAGCGGCGCTTCCGCCTGCGCTGGCCATGGAGAGGGCGCTGCTGTTAACAAGCTGCTTACGGACTTTGTCGTCTTCCAGGCGGTGCTGAGGAACGAGGTGTGACAGATCTTGGATTCGTTCGTTGATATTATCGCGGCGGCGGCGTTCAACCAAGTTGTGCGAGGCACGGCGGCGTCGGCGCTTGGCTTCCTGAGACTCGAGGTCTCCACCGCCGGGAAGGTGGCTGTCAACCTTGGCGGGCAGCGAGGCATGCTTGCCAGACTTGAGGATTTCCGACATGCCAGTGTGGTGCGATTGTTGAGGAGGAGAGGAGATGGGAGAGGACTCAACGTAGGACTGCGCGCTACCAGAAGTTCCATCCCACTGGTTGGAAAACGTCTTTTGGTGGCGAGCCTGCAATCCGGTCCGAATTGGCTGAGATGGGAAGCTGCCAGACTCGGGGGTACCGAGGGTCAAGGAACCAAGTGCTGGAGTCTTGGGGGTCATTGGGCTGCGACCGTCCGATGAGGTGCGATCCATTCCCTGAATGCTCGGGCGGGACTTGGTGCTGAGGTAGTTCTGGTCAAAAGAACTGGCATTCTGGATGTGAGGATTTTGCTGGTTCATCCGGTATTGATCATAGTTGAAGCTGTTGTGGACGAATGGGCTAGCCATCGGCGCGTTGTCGGGGGTGTTTGAGTACATATGTGACATCTGGCTCTGGTGACTCATGGCGATGCCGCCAGACTGGTCCTGGAGATAATTCATGCTGCTATCGCGCTGAACACCATTCTGCCCGCTGATCTCCAAATCCAGCAACTCATCTGTGTCGATGCCGGAGTTTCCGAAGTTGAAGCTGGATGACATGTTCTGCTGCGAGCCGTAAGAGTAAGGCATGAAGCCATTCTGTTGCTGCATGGTCAAGTCGGAAGGGTCCACCCCTTCGTTGGGGTTGCCAAATTGGTTACCCATCGAGTAACCGGAGTGCGACATCATGAAAGGGTTGTGGTCGTCGGATTCGTGTTTAATGAAAAGACTCGCTTCCGCCATAGCCTGGTGCGAGAATGTTGGGTTGGGTTTGCGATGTAAATCGGCGAGTGGTTAAAGGGAGGAGTCGTAGTCCCGGTACTACTGACTCTCCGTGGCCGATGTGGAAATCAGACGGGTGAGACGCCTGAAAGTGATGGAAGAGATCTGCGTATGAAACGTTGGTCAATTCAACCCCGCCCGTAAAGGAGCCGTGCGCTGAGTCAAGCAGGCAACCAAGCACAAGGCAACGCGAAAAGAGAAGGAATGCAGGATACTTACCCGTGAAAATCAGAGGAATGGAGGAAGAGAAAATTCCGTCGAAAGCCGGGATGAGTCGACTGCGGAGAACAACCGTCCGTGCAGATCGGGGGGAAGACCGTAATCGCAAGGGACGACCTTTGAAGATCTGTGTAAGCGAGCAACCAACACTACTAAGATGGTCCTGCAACACAAGGAAACAGGATTGGAGAATCAAAGTAAGGGCTGAGACCTAAGGCTGAATGCCGAGCACAGTCAAGCCAAAAGCAAAGCCAGCAAGAGAGATGGAAATGTCAAGATGCATTGGAGAGTGGGGGAAGAAGCGGTGGGCGCCGGGCGGTGAGGAGTGGCGATCTGGAGATTTGTTCTCGAAGAACTCCACGTCTCTCAGCTGTGTTGCCTTGACCCTCTTGGCTTGCTCGCTTCAGGCTCTCAGCAATACGAGGCCGCTTTGATCCTCGATACAAAACAGAAAAAAGCAATATGAAGTTGTCACTTACAATGTAAAGTGTAAGTCGTTACCTATAAATATAGATAGGTATAGATCGAGACTAAGTCCACGTTAGCTAAAATCCATGGATATAATTATCTTCAACAAATGGAAGAACTATGGACACGTCATAGCAGAGCCCCATCACACGTGGAGCCCTCAGGCTGCCATAAGATGCAGGAACAGAGGAAGACAAACCGTATAGGAGTGCAGTAACATCAAAGCTAAGCTTGAGTAAGGTATAGTCCAAGACTCACGAATCATAAGATGAAGGATGGAGAATATGCAATGACAACTCATCAAACACGCGAGAAGAGGTGAAAGCACTTGCAGGTTTCGCAGACGAGAGGAGGGGATGGAGACTTTATGAACTCAAGCGGCGCTCTCCTGCATCTCTCATTTGATATATTACAACATCGGTCATGCAGCCTGTCGATCGGTGGGAATCGATGAGGCTTATCGGGCTACAAATATATTTATTAAATAAGTCGACTACTACATGAAAAGGTAGAGGGTGTGGAGGGGTGGCAACGGTAAACTCCCGAGTCCGGGTACAATAGATCGATAAAAGAAAGGAAAAGAAAAAGAAATAAAAAAGCAGTGGACAAAGGGGGGAAGGGTGATACAGCCGGATCGAGTAAAACGGCTATCCCATGATGCCCGTTGGGAGGTTTATCACCTGTGACATGACTCACGGGTGTCTTGGACGGAGAATGTATCAGATGGCCGGGTTACAAGCATACCATACAGAGTGAAACCCTAATATATAGAGAGAGTCTGCATGTTCAAGATCCGCGAATGAGACCATGTGGATGGCTACGGTAGATCTCTGCAGGTATGCAAGAAGTATTGAAACAGACCGGGAGACGCCGGAGTTGGATGAGATCGACAGTAGATATCATCCGGAGAATATAACATGTATAGCCCTATCTGTTTGTTACCTTGGCAATACCAACGGGGGAAAGACCTTGCATACGTAGATGTATGCGTACATGTATGTGGCTGTGAAAGAAACCCACAGACCGTCCACAGTAAGCCCTATCACTCTGTTAGTGGATCAGTGCGGTCTGTCCTTCATGTGCGATGTCGTGCAGAGGACATTGGAGTGCCGATCATCACCATGATCGACGGTTAAGGGAGCTTGGACCTTACCACTCCGCTTCGACGGTGCAGTGGTAGTTTGGGTTTACGTACAGGGTTGCGTAGTTGAGGGCTATGGCGGTTAAGAGAATAATCAGAGACTCGAATAACATACCTTTTGAACAAGATACTCGGCATTTAAAACCAGATTTTGGGATTCATGCTCTAACAAGGTGATTTCAAGAATGTGGCGCAGAGACACGATTGGAGGGGTTGGAATGTGTCTTAGAACACCAGCCAATAGTGACAGAGACCAATACACCTCACAACAGAGTGAGCCACATCGCCAAAGTTTCCAAAGTATCCTGAGCCACCGGTGATGATGTCCGGGATCGACGGATGGGGAGTGATCTCCGGGGTTTGGGAGGGGAAATGGACCAGACGTCCCGTCCCGTCAAGGTTCGGCGATACACGCCGAGTATCCACGCAAGGGCTTCATTTCATGCAGTAGTAGTCAAGATATTCAAGGCTATTCACAGAGAACCACGCACAGGACGCTAGGATGACGACATCTTGCTGTATGGTGTCCTCCACTCCGGGGAGGTCAAGAGTCCGGCTCATGTGCGTCGGACATTCTACGGGGTAATACGCCTCGGGGAAGAAGTAGTGAAAGCAGGGTGAAATAGAGCCGATGTGACGTAAGAGGATTGGATTATCGGATATTTCCATGTCGCACACGGGTAGCTACATGGGCCTGCGTATTTTATGCAGGGAGTTCTTCGATACGACAACCGGAAATGGTGTCCGTTATCTTTGAGATGTTTCTTCAGACAATAGATTTGCACTGGTATATTATGGATCGCCAACAGGGTGCGCACCGGCCATGGAGGATCGACGAAGGACGGCCACTAATGACTGCACGATGGGGGGCCTATGAGGGGGTTGCAATCCCGGATCGAGTTAGATCAAAACATATACTATGTGGTATATCGAGGCTCCACTTGGGCATGCTGGGCGAGACTGTCGAATAATAAGCAATAAGTACAAATAAGTTGGGAATAATTTGGAATAAGTTGAGTGGTCAATAGTTCCAAACTTAGACCAAAGTGTAGTCCTGTTCTAGGCTGAGCTGGAAAGTTTGACAAATTCCAGCGGAAACGGCGCGAAGCGAAGAAAAGAGGGGAATGCATAGCAGTGTCCAAGATGCCAGAGACAAGCTGAACAAAAGAATAAAACAATAAAAGAAAGGAATAGTACTTGCGATGGGGTGAAGTATATGTGTAGGCCACGCTAAGCCCCTTTGGGCATTAGCCCCTTTCCCCAACCCCCGTCCATGTTCAACCACTTTGACATATCAACATATCAGTATATCAACATATCAACAGGTGTGTACTTCTACATTTTACACTTGATCTGATCTCACATCGCTCGATTATTGGATCATCATCTGACAGCTCCAGTCAGCGCCGATCGGGCTGGTCGCATCGGTAGCTTCGCGCCATCTCGTCATTGCCTTGATTCACCCCTCGTCTTCTCCCCCTCCTTCATCGATAGCGCAGCGCTTCCTGGTCCAATCAGCAGCTGTCGACTCCCTGCGCCGTGTCCGCTTCCCACCTTTTCTCAGATCCTACTTGGAAGGTTCAACGCTTCCCACCTATCTTCCGCTTGGTTGGACCGTCCTTGAACGTCGCACGCTCGATTACGATCCACTGGGGCTGCGCCAGACTAAGCCACATAATACTCTAGCTGAATAGTTGCCTATCAGACCAGGCAACTCTTTTTTGCGGAGAACATAAGGCTAACATCACTTTGCCATTTCCGGAACATACCCTATCTCGAGCTTGCGCATTATTCTTTGCGTCGGCGAACTTTCCTCAAGATAGCAAATATTGAGTCACGGCGTATCTCAACCACTCGGAAACTGAACCCGCGTTCGGCACACTCGTCATCTGCTCCTCTGTTAGCTTGATCTGGTCTCCGCCCCCAGCCAATCCTTGACGATCAGCCATCATCCGCCGCAGATCATCTGCACTACATCTCGCATAGTCCCTGCAGACGTTTTTCTCTGTCTTTACTTCCTGGACCACGGGCCTTCTCTGCAGACGCCGTCGTGCACGCCCCCTTCGCTGCTCCCTTCAATTGGGATATCGACTATTAACTGATTTTCAATCATGGCAAACAACTCGTTTCGAGACTCCGTCAACTCACTAGGGTGGTCGCGTAGAGATCCGGATCTTCCCGTCCGCACTGGCGCATCATCATCTACCCCATTTTTCTCCCGCCTACAGTCCTTGAACCCGTTCGGGGAGGGGGGTTACGTTCAACTGCCCACTCACAATGACGGCCCCGGGGCTCCTTTACCCGCAGCCAATCGTCGGGAAGAAGAAGAGGGCTTCTTTGCTTGTAAGTTCTCTTGGCTTGTGACCCTCTGATCCTCCGATCGTCCCGTCCACCGTTATATGAGCCCAGGTGATGAGATTGCAGTTCCTGCGCCGGCAGGATTCATTTCCACCATGCCTGTTTAACTGGTTGTGATCCGACAGGAGAGGAGAGAGAAATGCACTAAGACTGACTGCGTATAGTGAGTCGGTGGGACCGTATGCTCATTTTCGGCGCATGTAATTTGGGTGCTGCAGTCTGTTTCATGATCTGCTTCTTCTTGTTCCCTGTCTTGTCACTCAAGCCCCGCAAATTTGCCATTTTGTGAGTTTCCATTTTTATATGGCCTGCACGACCATGGACTACCCCTCCAGCTATGGCCTTCCCACCCTACCCTTCCTCTTTTTTTTCAGCACTCTCATGCTCCTGGACGGCCACTCAAATCCCGAGTCGCGGCCACCCAGGTCATAAGTCGATTGTGGTTAGGGCCATGTGCGCATACGTCCCTCGTCCAGCGACGTGATTCGTCCTGATCCATGCCAAGAGCTGCAGTCTGCTTTGTCTTGGATAATTCTTGCTAACAGGTCCTTTCTTTAGATGGTCTGTCGGCTCAGTCCTGTTTTTGTTATCATGGGCGGTCCTCATGGGACCCTGGTCCTACGCTAAACATTTGGTCTCGGGATCACGGCTTCCATTCACAGCGGCTTATTTCGGATCCATCGCGCTGACTCTGTACTTTGCTATCGGGGTAAGTAAATCAATGATTCCTATTCTATCCTTTGGCTTTACCTCTCTTTCCCATTTCGGTCTTGCCCTATCTTCGGCCTTGCCGATCTCTCCCTTTCAAGATCATCTTTCCATTTCCCTGTTTGTTGCACATCGCTCTATCCAGACATGAGGTATGGTCGCACTCCACCGGGAAAAGGGGAAGCTTGTAGCCTTGCTCCATCGTGCAGTGCAACCTGAGTACCGTCTATCATGACCCCGTTGGCCAGATCCCGAATCTAGCTCCCTCGACTATCCCACCCTCTATCCCGTCGGCTTCTCGACTCTTGTACTACGTCTCACACCGCGCGGGTCTTGGATGAGAATCCCTTGGTTTACCTTGTCCGACACAGCCCAGTGCCACAGAGTCCAAAGTCCAGAACCGTCGTGATCTTTCTGTCTCACCGTCCCTGGCAAATGCTGTTGCTGCTGTGCTTTCTTGCCTTGCGCATATTCCAGCTTCATCTCTTCACCCCCTCACAACGCAACAACAGAAAGGAAACATATCTGTCGCGACATAGAACCATTTATTGACTCGTCTCTAGCTCCAAAGCCTCTTCCTCACCCTCATCTCCTCCATCTTCCAACTCGCCGCCCTGGTCTGGTACCTCGTCAGCTATTTCCCTATGGGAAGCACCGGTCTGCAATACATGGGTCGCTTTGGAGCGTCGCGCGTTACTGCCTGGGTGAGCGGATAGATGGAAATGAACAAATGGATATGCGGTTGCCTCCGGGGTGGATTCTTGCATCATGACCATACTTACATACACCTTACTCTGTGAAGTCTTCGCGTAGCGTGATAGACTTTGCAGCGTAACGACCCCGTGTTACTTTTTCCCTCGGCTTATATTTCCTAGTATCGTTATGAGCCTTCTTCTCTTGTGTATACATCATCGAGCTAGATCTTGGTCAAACTTTTTCTTTCCCTTGAACACTTGCATCCCCTTAGCAGTAGTAGTGACTTTGTCTATGTAGTACAATAGTGAATATTGGATTTGCAGTACTGGACAGAAACTCGTGCAAGGTAAGATAAAGATAAAGTAACTGGTTTCGTATCCTGGCTAAAAGTGTATGTATGTCATACATAATTGTCCATCTCGAGGCTGGAGCAAGCGAGCTCCCCTGTCCTAAGAACAGGAGGGTACCTCGCTGCATAATAAATAGAAGCAAATAAAAGGGCTGCTAGCGAGCAAGTAATGCAATGCAAATCTCAAGCTCATAACTTAGCCATAGCCATGCCAAAGACACAGTCAAAGCAAGAACCATCAACACCTGTCCATCTCACCACTCTATCCATCCCATACTCAAACTCATACTCAATGCTTCCCCCTACTCATAACCAACCCAACAACACCCTCAACGATCTTAACACCCGGAATCTCAGCCTCAAAAATCCCACTCTCACCACCAGACCCAACCTCAACCCACCGTTTCAGCAAATCATTACTCTCCTTGGGCTTAACATCCTGCGAAACCGTACCGACAGTAACGTGCGGAATGGCATTCGCACAAGGCCAATCCGCATCAGAAACAGGCGCCATGGCGGGTGTATCAGATTCTGCTTCTGCGCCTGCAGGCAAGATGCGCGCCACGAAGGCCATAAGACGATTATCCCAAACTAGGCGCTCTAGACGGACACGCGCTGTGCCCAGGGTTGGAGGGGTTTGGATTTGGATTTGGTTGTTGGATGTAGAAGTTGCCTGGGATTTGATGTAGCGTTCTGTGAGCGAGTCCCAGATTTGCGGGTTGTCTTTCTTTGAGGCGCGGTGGATGAGGGTTACGTGGAAGGTTGGTTGGAGGCGGCGGGTTTGGGAGAGTTGGTTGTAGAGGTGGGCTGTTCTTGGGTCTGGGGAGTTGCGGAAGATGGAGTTGAGGACGGTGGTTATTTCTTTTGGTGGGAGGGAGATGTTGAAGTATTCGATTTTCTTGGAGAGGGTTGTTGGGGACAGCGGGGATTCGCCTTGGCCGGGGACGTTCTCTATAGTTTGGGCCTTGTTTTTGTTCTTTTGTTTCTGGGTTCCGCCGTAGCTGTAGCTGAGGTCTGTCTCGACGAGGTAGTCGTTCAGTGAGGCGTTGATTGCGGAGTCGAGTTCTTCAGATGTTGGCACCTTCGGGACTACCTTGGGATAGGCAGTATGGAGGGCTTTGACGACGGTCTCGAGGTTCTCGCGAGACGAGGCACAGACGTCGAGGTCGATGACGTGGTCGTAGTTCTCGTCGGGCTGGCGGGTCGTGTCGATTCCCTCGAAGCGGGTGAGGAAGCCATCCATGATTCCAATGGTCTCGTGATTGGAGTTGGTTCCGGCTCGGATCGACTGGTGATTGTCGCCACGTTCCAGCACTCGTTTCCGAGTGACTTCCTTGATCTTAGGCAGAAGCTGACCCTTGGGCTCGTGGACGAAGTGGAGAGCGACAAATTGGGCATCGTTGAGCACAGGGTAAATATCATCCATGAGCTGCTTGCGTTCGCGTCGTTGGTGGTTGTTGCGGTCTGCGATGACAACGGGGTGATTCGACAGAGCTTCGCTGACTTCAAATGCGAATTTCTTCGGCTTGTTCTTTTGCTTGGGGATGTTATCGTTTTGAACATGTCCCCATCCGAAAAGCTTGACCAAAGCGAGAGCGACTGTTGTCTTTCCGCATCCGAGAGTGGCAATAGGCGCAAGAATAATGTTACGGAAGATATCCTTTGAATTCGCCTCTGCGTGTGCTTCCATGGCAATGATCTCAGATCCCTTCAGTCCTCGCTCCTTCAAGAACTCCTCGCGCAATGAGATGATACCGTGGTTGTGAAGATACTCCTTGGCCATATTGGGGTCCTTGATAAGCTTCCTCCGGGCGAACTGTAGATACTCCTGTGTGATCTGTTCGTGCTTTCTAATCTTGGGAAGTTTCCCTCCAATAACGGCTTTGGTGCATTCACGCCATTGGCGGTACATCAAGTAGGGCTCCTCGAACTTGTACTTGAAGAACCAATCGCGATATGGCCCCGTTCCATTGTCGCTGAGCTGGCATCGAATCACAAAGCCTTCGGTTTCACGCCCATCCCAAGTACCAGTCTCGGCGCATCCTTCAAGGAAGGATCGTACTCGGAAAATATCATCAAATACCTCAAACTTGGCCTTTTTGAAACCCCATGTATCTGCAAACTCGTGTACCTTGTAGGAAGACATTGTAGTGAAGCCCGGCTGGTTGTAGTTGAGACCGTGAAGGTAGATACCAGACGCAGCCTCATCGTAGGCCAGAACGTGCTCCTCAAAGCTGTCATCACAGAGCTCTCCAACAGCTGTGACATTCATCTCACGCAGGGTACGTGCAAGCTCCTTGACATTTCGACCAACCGACGAGACATGGTGCTCTGTCCAGCGCTCTCCGACCTGTGCGTGGCTCTGGTCGGTGTCCTCTCGAACTCCAGTGGAGTGCTTGCTGCAGACCAAAAGTTTGTCATCTTCCAGTGCGGAAATGAAGATAATACATCCATTCTCCTTCACACTAAGTTCGTAAGGACCCTTGGTATGCTTCTCGATGTTGTGCCATTGGGTGCTAGTTGTTTCGTTGATATTGAAGAACTTGTCGTACCCGCGCGTCGCGATCTCGGGGACGCCGTCCTTCCGGCGGGTGGTAAAGAGACCACGGGCGTAGGTTGGGAGACCAGCGCGCTTGTAGTCCCAGTCTTGGAACTTCCACGAGTCCACAGTCACATTGTTGGTACCGGCGACTGTGAATGTTGCCTTCTTGCAGGTGAACCTTTGCTTTTGCTCGCTCTTGGACTGTTTGCGTGCATCTTCCAAATCTCGCACCAATTGTGCGACCTGGGAGGGATCTTGGGTCGCCATGATCCAGGTGCGTTGTCGCGATGCTGGAGATCTAGAGCTGATGGAGGGGCAGATCCAAGGTGGGGAAAGGAGAGAGGTGCCAAAGAGGTGAAGAAGTAGAAAATGAGAATGAGAAAGAGAGAGAGAAATGTCTCCTCGAGATAAAACAAGAGTCATGCAAGAGTCATAAGACGAAGCAAAAGAAAATGTGTCACAGTGCGGGGAGCAAAAGAGGTAAGGCGGGCAGAGCCTCGCCTTATCGGTTTTTTCATATTTTGATCTCCCACTTCTTCCACTCTCTACGGAGTACTTACTTATTCACTCACTTAGTTATTCTACCTGCTCACACTTCTCCATTCCTCTGACTCACCATGGCCCAGCCAAACCCCTACCTCTTAGCTTGCGACAACCCCACTGCGCTTTTGGAGCTGCTCCGGGCCAATCCCTCGATCGCCTCATGCCAGGACGAGTCCGGCTACTCCTTGTTGCACGCCGCTTCCTCCTACGGCCATGTCGACCTCCTGCGCGCGCTAGTGAAAGAATTCCACGTCGACGTCAACCTCCTCGACGAAGATGGCGAGACATGTCTATTTGTGACCGAGTCTCCCGAGATCGCCCGCTGTTTGATCGAGGAATTGAAGGTGGACTACAATAAGAAGAACAGCGAGGGTTACACAGCAGTTGAGAAGATGGAGGCCGACGGGGAATTCCCACAAGTCACTGCCTACCTCCGTGAAGTCGTCGGTGGTACTCCGGCTGAGACAGACTCTGGCATGTTGAACCCCCCGCCGCGCATTCCTGATAGCGATATGCAAGTCAATATCGGTACTATGACCGAGGATGAGGCTACTGCCGGTGCGAGTGAACCTGACCCTGAGTTCAAGAGGCGTATTGAGGAACTTGCGACTCGGGAGGACTACTGGAGTGAGGAGGTGCAGAATGAGGTTCGCGAGCTGGTGAAGGATGCCATGGCTGGCTCTAATATTGAGGCTATGGAGCGGGAGCTGCGGAGAAGGACTGAGTAAGGGAGGGAGAAATCTGGATTTTTCTCCAATCAGTTCTTGTGTTGCGTCCAGTCTCTCAGAAGAGACTCCATCGATATGCACCTTACCGAAGGCAACAACCCTGCCAACAAGCTCAGTCGAGTCCCGACAATTCTACGATACCTGTTCGACAATGGCTAGTCTGCGATGATACCCGGCCAAACATTGGCAACATGAAGTCTGTTTGCTTCTTCGCCGTTGGCTCATACACAGGGATTCAATTCTCAAATTTTCCTGTACTAGATGATATCACGAATCAATACTCGCATACATGAGGCAAAACAAAGAACAATTGAGCCTCAACTGGTGAGGGTGTAGACGTAGATCTCCGAGTCGGCCCCGCCAAGCTTGAGCTGCCCTTGTCTCCGAGCTTCACCTCCCGAACTCCCCAACTCCCCAACTCCATCATGTCTCAATCACCATCCCCCTTTCCCCCACAATCGCCCTTTTACTCAGCCCAAATGAATCCGGTCAACCCTGACACTCCTCCCCCGCCACCTCCGAAACCCGGCAGCCACGAAGCCAGCCGAGGTGGCACCCCGCAAAACTGGTCAATGGCACCGCCCCCCGCAGGCTACCAACCAGACCCAACAGCATACGCAAACGCCCAACCGGCACTCCCCAACCCGCCAACAGTGGAAGAAGGCTGGCTCCCAGACCTAGTAAAAGACAAATCGTACGTCCTAACCAAGCCACACCAGGAAGCAATCCAACCCAACTCTAACCAACGACCAAAACAGAACAATCGACCTCCAAACTCTTCTAAAAGACCCAACCCTCCTCTCAGCCCTCGCAAGCTCCCATCCATCCTACACATCCCGCCAACAAGCCCTAGAATCCCTTATCCAAACAAACAAAGAGCTAGCAACACGCGTGCTAGAAATGCAAACCCACCTCACAGACCTCCGCGCCTCAACAGAGACAATGCTCCTTACACACCAATCGCTCGAAGTATCCTGGCGCAAGAAACAAGCCGAGATGGATGCTGCCCTGGCGCCGTGGTCGCCGAAGGCTTTGTATCAGCGGTTTAGCGCGTCCATCGCTGAGCAGGAGGCTGTTTGTCGGGCTGTTGAGGAGAGTTTCCTTGATGAGGATCATCATGATCATGGACGTGCAACTGAGAAGGAGATTGCTGATTGGGTTCGGAGGGTGAGAGGTGAGGCGGCGAAGTTGGCTGCGAGGAAGGAGGCTAAGGCTAGGTGGGATGAGGGGAGGGTCGGGGGTTGGCGATGAGTGCATGTTGGATGCGGTGGTCAGTGTAAATGCGAGTGGTACTGGCTGGCTGGCTGTTATGATGCTACGTTGTTGATGACGTTTATGAATTGGTTGTTCATTATGCGCTATACGATATGTTTTATTAGATACAAGACGCACCGAGGCTCTTGTTATGACCTCCCTCCCTCATTCGACAACCACTCGTCCACTCATCCCTCGAGCCTGGCGCCATTGCCAGAGCTACTGCCCGGCTTAGCGTGGCCTTCAAACGGCGCATCTCGACCCTGAGGTGCCATCTCGACATCAGTGCCGAGGCCATTACTGTGACCATTGGCGTGTGTCTCGACGTCACTGTTGTGTGTATACGCCCAGCCGTCAGTTCCAAGCGAACTAGGGAATCCAACACCACGCAGGAATGCCCTCCTGCGACTGCGCGCACCCCAAGCCCAGCCCGCGCCACGGCGGATAGGGAGATGGTACATGTTGAACCCGATCCAGGCGAAGAAGATCCCAAGCGCCGAACCGAAAAGGATATCAAAGCCATGGTGCCGGTAATTGAACCAGCGCGACCCAGCAATAAAAGCAGCTGTCGCCGTCGGAAAGAATGCGATCAGCATGAGATAGACAGGCGGTGCAGCGCCCCTTCTCCGGACGGAGGTGGCATCATCAGCGAAGCTCTGGTCCTCAACGGGATAATGCGGAAGATAAGGGAATCCCACGGAGAACTTGGAACAAAACCAGAGAGTCAAGTAGAGCAAGCCAGAGAACGCAACTGTAAAAGTAGTCAGCCAAATCGAACCCAATCCAACCCCAAACACATCACAACACCCTCTCAAGGCATAGAAAAAAAAAAAGGAAAAAGAAAAACTCACAAGAAGCATGCCCACTCGGAAAACTGGAAAACCCATCAATCCTCAAACTATCCGACTGATCCCGACAAATCTCCCAAGAAACCAGCACCGGGCCCCCATCAACCTTCCCACCCAACCCTCCAACCGTATACTTAGCAATAAGCGATAAGTCCGGATCACAGCGCGCAATCAAATCAGGCCTCGCCTTCCCAATAAGAGCCTTCAACCCCTGCGTCGCGCACCACGTACTCGCAAGCGCAAGCGCCAGTCCCATCCATCCGGCATTCCATTCCCAGATCTTGCGACGGATGATCTGCGCCGCGGAGGACTTGGGGTTGGTGGCTGCTGCACTACCCGGCACGACAAGCGCGCAGATTAGGACGACTAGAACTGCTGGTGCGAAGAGGCTGACTAGGAGGAGGGTTTTTGTTGTTACGGTTTCTGGGCTGAGGGGGTAGCTTATTGTTGGGTCGGTGAGGCTGAAGGGGTGGTGATTTGGATCTTGTTTGTAGAAGCCATAGCCTATTAGAGCGATGCCGCTGGTTCGGTGTTAGTTTCTGGTTTAGATTTGGGATTAGGGGGAGTGGGTGTGATTGGTGGCGCCTACATTATAAATATCCAGTCGAGTATGTAGGAGAGAAAGAGGAGTTTGGAGAGGGATGAGATTGTTGTTAGAGAGTCGTTTAGGAGGGCCATTGTTGGGATGGATGGGCCATGGGGCTTGGGAAGAAGGGAGGAAATATGAGGTGAGAGAGATATTCGCGCCTGGCAGTGCAGGGGGGAAGGGGGGAATGACGCATGCTAAAACTTAAAGCTGTGGCAGCGCAACTGAAGCCAATCCTGATCTTGGCATCCCGGGGATCTACCGATCTTCACCCCGGAATTAGCTTTCACAGGTGACTTTGACTTTAGGCAGCTTCTTTTGCGGATGTAAGTCGATGGGTTTATTAATATCTCTAGCTAAAGGGTAAGCTTTCATATGTTGATGCCAGTATACACCGCGTGGGATCTATGGCTGGGTATACATCGCGATAGTTGCTGTTTGTGAATGCACCTGCTTTCACTAGCAGGTTGGGGTCGAGTCCAGTAGCCATTTTCGTATTTTTGAACTGGGCGTGTGTTCCGTATTTGGAAGATACAGACTAGAATAAGACCGAACCTGTCAATACGAGAGTACAAACGAATCATGTGTTCGATTATCGCGAGCATACAAGTAGCATATATCTAGGTCCGCTCCCCCAATTTCCGCGAGACTGTTACCCCCTAGATCGCCAGTTAAATAAGCAGGAGAATATTAAACTAAACAGAATGAATTTAACAAGATCCACACACGGAAGAACCTCAACCCTCAACCTCGCGCTTGCGCGCTTTCTGACTCTTGCCAAGTATAATTGTGCTAAGATCACCGACAGGCAAGGTGATAGGGAAATCAACCGCGTCGAGGATTTGCGCAATGAAAATATACAAGATGGGTATGCAGAGTGCAAAGTTGGTTGCACCAGCGGTCTATAGATAATAGTATTAGCTCATACACGCGAAGAGTATAGCAAAGAAATGTTCGCATGAAGAACGCACCTTTTGCAATTTCGCAGCTTGTTCCAGATTACCCAGTGCCAGTTGGAAATATGTCCCCGCGAATAATCCAAATGTAATGACAAGGAGAAATAGCGCTAGAAAGAGACACACGTTTGTTCGAAGGGAGCAGATTAGGTAGACGAATGTGAGGATTGCGAGGGTCACGTAGTACAAGCCTTTATGATGGATCCGTGTTAGTGATATTCGTGCAAAGGATGTACGCTGCTACTATAGATAGACTTGACTCACCGACAGTTGCATTATATTCTGGTGTCATTATGCCCTCTAGGGTATTTCCTGTCGGGGAGTAGTTGGTTCCCACAGCAAAGAATGGCATGAGTGAAGTACCCTGGACTAGCCAGAATGTGCCTGCGACGAACCAGTTAGCAGGAATCCTTAGACGTATCGTAAATTGATACTTTCAACGTACCATACGTGAAAAACAGTGCACAGGGAAAAGTATTCCCCAGAATCCATTCGCCAATTGCTCCGAATATCTGTACCATTGCACCGAAGAAGATATAAACCGGACTGTGCATATAACAAATTAGAACTTCTTCTTGGTCGATGATTGTTGTGGCTCTTACAGGATTGCACCACCATTTCCACCTGCACCTCGCCAACCCATGGTAAGCATAGCCGTTGGCATCGCAGCCAGCAAGAAACCCATCAATGATATCGGAGTCGGGTTACCAAATGTGGAACGTAGCTTACCCGCAATTGGCGTCTTCGGGGCTAGGTAAAGCTTTTCGAACGCATCGCGTGGGATTGGAAGTAGTACACTGTCCGCAGTTTGGTAGCGATGAATTTCTGCTGTAGATATTTCATGTTTGCCACTAATATTGTCGTCCGACATTTTGATGGTGGGAATTTTATACGAGGGGCCTGTTGAGAAGGAATAGCTCAATTGAATCCCTGGAGGAGAAAATAAGAAGTTGAAAATGAAATGGAACAAAGGCACAGCTCAAAGCGAAAACATCAAGAACATAGATGCGCACACCCCCTTTATACTCCGTCGTCCAGCTCCATCTTCCCTCCACTCCTTGTCTTCAACCCCAGAATCCATAACTCCTAACCCCGACCTTCCCCCATGAACTAGCCAAGAAGCTTAATCTGATTCAGATCCAATCGGGCAGACCTGGCAAGGTCATCAATTGAGCAGTATCATTCGCAGAACAACTCTCCACGTCAACGTTGACGTGGGGAGTATTATGCGGGGGAGTGGACCTCGAGCTGCGCCCCTGTCTTTCCCCGCAAAAACGCGTTGAGAGCCGAGGGATTTTGGTGTTCGAGTCGGCTATATGGCTTGAACCTAGGTTCTACGGCCTATAACTTGCCACATTGCTTTATAAGTGTTGCATTTCCCCCATCGGGAGGCTCGCCCAGATCTGTCGGTGCTGCTTTGGCTTGCGCCAAAAGTATATTTCGTGAAGCTTGCTTGCTCTAAGACATCTTGGCCCTTTTGACCGAGCCTTGGCCCCATCTGTAGTTGGCTGTCCGACTGGAATGCGCTTTATGCGGAATGAGCTCCGCTGGGCCTGGTGGGGGATACTGGGTGGCGTTGGGTTGCAAGACAGGACAATTGGGGGAGTGGTACTGAGGGTCTGTCTGGTATGACGCGAATTCTAGGCTGTTGGTTGATTACCCAATAATTGCTTCAAGTCTGATTTGACTGCTTCTTATTGCATTGATTTGGAATTATGGACACGAACTGGAGAGGACGGAGTTACTCAGCTATCTCCGTCTGATGTCAAAGCGTTATGTTCTACCGAAGATCTGAGAACACGCACGGCTTTTAGGGTGATATTAAGCTTAGTTGCATAACAAGCTATTTATGCGTTATGCACAGCATAGTGTAGCCTTTAAGCAGGATGCAAACTGACGTCTCGAGTGCTAGAATCTATACAGTATACCATATTTACCACGCACGACGCAGCTCATCTTCTCTGACTGACAAATATCCATTTCAATCATTTTACAATTTGATAATATTTTCTTCAAGGCAATCAATAATGACCAAAGAAAAAGAACAGCTCTATTCTTTTGACATCACATCCGCTCAATGACACCTGGAAGATCATCCATATTCTCCAAAAAGACATCAAACTCAGTTTTCACCTTCTCCATATCCTCGTCAACATCATCAGTCCACCGATGAACATAAATCGTCCTCAAACCACACTTCTGAGCGCCACGCAAGTCATACGCATGAGCCGCAACCAACACCACCTCCTCCGGCTTGAGCTTAACAAGTTGTAAAGCCTTTTCATATGCCTCTGGGCTGGGTTTGTAAAATCCCAGCAACTGACTAGAGAAAAGCATATTGAAATCCAACCCCGAAGACCGCGTCAGATCAAGCTGAAGACGGGTAGTTCCGTTCGCATGAACGAAAGCCTCTAGATTGAGATCTTGTCGGATGCTTCTGATTGCCTTTGAGACCTCTGGCCATGCAGGCTGGGAGTGCCATGCTTGGACCAATTTGTTTTTGGTTTCGGCGTCAATGCGGGGTCGGGGTTCGGGAGACCGGTTGAGGGTTACTTCGAGCGTGCGGGCAAGTGTATCGTCGATATCTTCTGGGTGAAGGCCTTGCAAAAAGCGTTTGTTAATTTCCAGGAAATACTGCCTGCGCCATTCAAGGGCAAACTTGGATGCTTCATTCCCTGGAATGGTTGAAGGTAAGGCTGTGACTACGCTGCTGTGCCAGTCAAGGCATGTGCCCATGAAGTCGAAAAAAACTGCTTTGATATTTGACTGGGACATTTTTCGTTGTTTTTTTTATAGAGGTGAGTAACTGTGAATGATTGCACAATGGAAACAACGGTCATTGATATAAGCTCGCGGTGAGCAGAACTATAAATAGCCTCAAAGCTTAAACGTTTCTGATTAGAAATCCATTCGTGATCAACCTCATGGATGAATTTTCCGTAGATTCTTTCGAATGAACAGAGCACTTGACTTTTGAAGGAGTTGTCACATGCAGAAAAGTACTACATTGCCTTTGTGGTGCTTAGTCTATGTCTACGTATGTCATCTCTAGCAACAAATCTAAATGCCAATCACTCCAAGCGTCTCCCCCCAACATCTATATCCACTTTTGAATTTTTAAACTTTCGGCTCGGCACTTTACGCTCAAACAGGATATCCAGCTCCTCAAACGTACGGCCCTTGGTTTCCGGCAAACAAAAGAAACAATAGATAGTACAGAGCACGCTAAGCCCCGAGAACAAGAAACCAATCTTGCCACGCCAATTTCCTTGGTCTTCGTTCATCGCATACGGAATGACAACCGCAAAGACGACCGACCAGACAAAGCACGTCACAGTGGACAGCGCAATAGTTAGCCCGCGGAGCTTTGCTGAGGATACTTCTGCGAGTAGCACGTAGCAAAACGGACCCAGACTAAGGTCGTACACGAAGGTGCAGACTAACATCAAACCACATTGCGCCCATGTGGTGGATGTCTGTCGCGGGACGAGGTCGACAATGCCAATGATGAACAGCACAATGGCCAGCACGGAGCAGCCAAAGAGATACATAGACCTTCGTCCAACATAAGAAAGCAGAAACCAGGATATGCATGTCCCTAGTAGACCCAGCGCCGTCAAACCGATATTCATCGAAAAAGCATCCGAAGCATCCAATCCGGCTAGCTCCATGAAGTGCACAGCATAGCTGAGGAAAAACACGTTTCCGGTAAATGCCTGCATGTCGTATGCCATTACGCAGATTACCAAGCGGCGGAAGTTGGTCCCCCGAAAGCAGTCAAGATAAGTAGGTCTTTCTCCATCATAATTTTTCTCTAGACGCAAGGTTTCCCGAATATGCGCCAATTTTTTTGTTACGTCGACACCAGGGGTTGCAAGACGGCGCAAAGACGCCATAGCGTCTTCGTGGCGGCCCTTCCGGCACAACCAGTAGGGCGGATCGGGACAGAAGGCTACTAGAAGCAACATAATGCATGGAAGAGCCCATTGAGTCGCTATGGGAATCTTGTAGGACCAACGACTGTCCATGGTCTCCGTTCCTTTGAGAATACCTGAGGCAATTAAAGAACCGATCGAGAAGGCGAGGTTGGTCATGGTGGCTGCGAACCCCCGCAGCACGAGTGGGGTGACTTCGCCGACGTAGGCCGATGCACAGATTGGGTAAAATGCAATAATGCACCCATTGATCAGTTGACCGGCGAATAGCTGAGCCGGCGTATGACTAAAAAACTGAATGAAAATGAATGCGATGGATAGGACACAGCAGCCGGCGGTCATCCACCGGGGCCCAAAGCGATCATATGCAATGCCGGAACAGAGGGCGCCAATAATGGCGCCTATATTGTTGGCGTAATTGAAGGCCGATAGCCACTCTGCGGCGATAATGTAGTTGCCGTTGTGGTTGTAGCCGTATGTCTCTTTGAAGACGGGAAGACCCACTATACTGCGCACGATGCCCCCGTCCATGCCTTTCAAGATAGTCGCCTGGAAATGTTAACGAATGGTTCATCTTTGGGATGAGCTGACTGACCAAATTCATGAAAAGTCCCCAGCCAATGGCTGGGTAATGCAGGCGCATGGCATCCCACCAACTGAGGGAATGTTCCTCTTTGGTGAACTGGAAGGACAGCTCGGCTTCTTCAATGGCATCTTCCGATATGGATTGAACCACAGTAGTCTGCTTCTCCGAGAACATTATGTTCATTCGGACTAATGCCAAATTTTTAAAACGTCAAACCCCCAAGCGGGGGATTTCGAGAGGAAAAGAGGAAATCTGCATGCCAAGCCTTGGCATTGGATTTTGATCATAGCGAATATATTATTCACTGCCATTGGGTTAAGGTGGAGGATGTAGCAGAGTGGCTGAAGTGGAATGCTAGCTTGGAGTACCTTGTTGGCCAAAGTAGGGCACAAGAACAGCCCGTGATATACAATATGCACGGGCTCGCCAGTTGGCCCACCACTGGAAGTCATTGTCCAGTAAGAAAATACAGAAATACTTAATTTCTAAATGTAAAGTGTTTTACTTTGTTTACAGTATTTCGCTATTATTCGTATATACCAATCTGGCCTTGTACCTCGCATGCGGAAGGGTTATGATACTAGAAGTACACCAACATCTCAATCGTCCTCGTTCATCTGAAGACCCTACCCTCTCGCAGTGATCATTATGGGAGATTGGGGCTTTCTGTGGTATCTACTTGGAAAATAAAAGGCTATTGCACATCCCACACATGACGAATAGGTATCATTGATGCTATGTATGCTTTCAGCTCTAATTGGTGCGAATCCACCCTACTGATAGTCCTTCAAATAGAGAAAAAGAAAAACAAGGTGAGATTCTATAAATCAAAATTAACGCGCTTTAAACCAGACCCAATGAAACCAATCGTTAACATCCACCAACAGTCCCGCCCATTATCTCTCAACTACCAAAAATACGGTCCCGGTCAATACGAACCAAGCCATCCAAGATATCCTTGTACCTCAGCCAAGCATTGTGTGAGGCAAAGGAAAGGATCTCCGCATCAGAAAGGTTAGCACCGTAAACAGGGAGGGACAGACAGTTAAGACCATCGTGATGCATAGGGGACAAGGCGATCATCGCCCGTCCGTTGCGACAGGCCTTTTCTATGATTTCCATCAGAAAGACATCGGCCAGTTTCTGCTCCTCCGAAGTAAAAGTGACAGTGACCCAGTGGACGGCTCCGCGCCGGCTCGACTGTTCAAGAAGGGGCTCACCGGTGGGACAGAATATGAACATACTTGGGATCAACATTTTGAAGCCGTTTGGGGGAATCCGTGACTTCAATAGAGGGATCCTGAAGGACATTGAGTTTGGAATAGAAGTAGTGTTCGATGAGAGATATCGAATAATATGATCAGGGCATCGAGGTTGCTTAAATATCATGAGGAAGTAAATGGCTGTCAAAAATTGCTTGCAGCTCTTTGTCTTAAACAATGGCCTTTTTGGATGGGTTCACTAGATTCCCTGTTAGGCAAGGGACAAAGCTGTCCACGGCGCTCTTTGTTCTATTAATCATGCCCACCAGCGACTCCAAATAATTGGACTCGAACTATCCATTGTTTATATTTGCTATCACGGCGATAGGTGGGATCCTTTTTTTTTTTTTTTGAGAGGTTCCCTATTCTAAGACATACGTATCTAGCGCTTGAAATAAAATCATTCCTAACGTATCGAAACTACTTGATGACCACTGTATATCACGAGCGCACATACCTTCTAAAGAATGTTCAGCTTTGGTTTTCCGATTCAGAATTGTACAAGAGACCGACCAATGGGAAATTATGCGTCTTTATCTATTGGCGAGTGTCGCAGACCTGTAAAATCGAACATGAAGCCCCGTTGTACTGTTCAATGAATTTTGTCATTTATGATTAATGTAACGACTGTCTTCAGTATTATATACTCTATCAAACCCTTAAAGCTTGATCCACCGACCCATCCAAGTCTCAACAATAGACTTCGCCTCATCAACCAAACCCAAATCAAGCAACAGCTGAGTAGTACCACGAACAGCAGAGTCTAAAGCGGAGAAAATCCAAGCATGCGTATAACTAGTATGCTCTCCAATAAAGATAGTGTTGAACTCAGTCTGATAGTAAGCAGGCAAATATAGCTCCTGCTGACCAACGAGGGGATCGGCCCAAGCACCAGCCTGGTGCTGGTCAAACTCCCAGCATTGGCGATCATAGATTCCAGTAAACTGTTCTGCGGCAATCTCACCGTGGACTTCAATCATAGTGCGCTGAATAAGAGCAACGTGTTCTTCAGGGCTAAGCGCGGCAGCGGAGCGCGCTGGTGTGCCGGAGATATATGAGGCCAGGATAACTCCTGGTCCGGTGCCGTTCATGTTATAAGATGGGTAGCAAACGCTTCCGACGCCTGATACATCGACTGAGCCACAGCCACCGAAAATGGGCTCTTCCAAGTGTTCCCAGAAGCGGGTCTTGTAGAGAAGAGCCATCTTGCAGGCTGGGTCGTAGTTCAGTGATGAAATGGCGCGGCTGAGGAGGGAGGAATACCGGGGGAGATCCCAGAGTCTGACTTTGCTAAAAGGTGTAGCCACAACAGCGTAATCGTATTCCTTGGTTTCCGGGATCATTTGCAGGGGGTCCTCGCGCCATGCAACGGCGATCTTTCCAGAGGTTTCATTGTAAATGAGGCCTTGGACTGTGCGGTTAAGAGTCAACTTGTCCTCGACGTGAGGGTAAAAGGCACGTGGCAAGGACTCCAAGCCCTTGTCGATCGTGCGCCACTTGGTTGCTGCGAAGTAGACGTCGTCGTAGAAATCGCCCCAAATTGGAGAGTTGGTGGTGCCAGCAACATAATCAGTGATATTGGCATCGTAACCCATTGCGTATCGCAAATACCCGGCCTCGGACCAGTGGAACATGCCATCTTCAACGGCCTGCTTGTGAGCTTGGTACATGTTGGTTGCGATTTTGCGAAGGGTTTCCCTGTCGTTAAGGGTAGTGTATCCTTCATAGTCAGCTTTCGCCTCTGCAACAGCTGTCGCGTTTGATGATGCAGCAGTGTAAACGAGAGATGAGTTGGCGGCAACCTGAGCAGCACTAGGGATTTGGCCATTAGGTAGACGGTTGCCACCAGATGCCGCGGGCACGTTGGGGCTACTCTGGATCCAGGGAATGAAGTTGACTTGAAGCTCCGGCTTGTGCTTGTTCATCTCGTTGAGAACACCAGCCAATTGGAATACCATCCGGTGATCTTGAATTTCGAGGGTTTCATTGGTATCTGCATATGTGATGCCGACAGGGAAACGCATGGGACCCATTTCCTGGTACTGGTACTGGTCGGGACTTGTGTTGTTCAGGTACTTCGTGCGGATGCGGCCGCCGACACGTTGTGATGATTCGTAGATGTGCCAGTTATGAATGCCAACGGACTCGAGCAGCAGACTCGTCATCAAGCCAGACATTCCACCACCGAGAATGGCAACAGAGTGACTCTTTGCCTTGGAGACGAATGCCTTGTTATTCTTCTTTGACTTCATGTAGGCAACTCCATCGAACCAAGGGCCCATAGCATCTGCCACATCGGCGATACTCTCCCGCTTCTTGATCGGTGATGACACCATAATGGGCGAGGAACGGCCCATCAGCCTTGATCCGGAGAAAGCATGTAGACAGTGTGAATGGGGTGCATCAGGTGGTGTAGCCCAAACGAAACGCTGTGGGTGTGCTTCACGTTTCACGAACGTGCTTCCGATCTCATGGTGACTCTGCATCGGATCTTCGATTCCGCATTCTCCGTAGACAAGCTGCAGATGACCTTCAAATTGGCCATCTAAGAACTCGACATGGATGTTGTGCAACGAGTCGGCAGTTACACCCCCGGGACCATGAAACCGTATAACCTCAATGTCTCTTTGTACGACACCGGCAAGGCTTAGGCCAGTTAGCCCTAATCCCAGCAGGGTATGCCGTAGGTAATCTTTCATGGTTTATGGCAATGGTGAGGCTCAATGGAAGTATAGGATGAGTATTTTGAACTGTCGTGCCTTGTGCTACATAGCCATCTCATGCGTTTTATATCTTTGATTCCACCATTGTCTGAGTCCCGATATATCCGGATTGCACTCAATATCTTGCGCTCATCGTTATCTACGAGGCCTCGCATAATTCATAACAACATGACAGCCATGTGGTCGTATTGAACATTAAGATAGGCTACAACCGAGACACCATGCAATACTGTGACCTCCACCGCAGCATCAGCGTGGGCGATTAGAGAGTTGCATGCATTTTACGTAAAATATCAATGAGACAAAGGGCGTGCAAAGATCAAATCAGCACGGCCGAGCTCACGTTTGTCGGGTCAAGATGAACAATGGGATTCGTCCGATAAAGCTATTAAGCTTTGAGATCGTTCTAGATATTCCCTATCAAAGCGGAGATTTGACCGGTATCAGCGGAATAAAGCGACGTTTGTTTGTTATCTCAGGGCCGGGGTATATCCGGGGTCAACGGTCATTATTAGAACGCCGACACTCGATTCCGGTGCCTTGGCATAGGTCACTTACCCGTTGCAGACAACATATGCGGGGATGCAGGCACAGATAACAACTAGCGAGTATTTCTTGCTCGGCTTATCAGCGCGATGCAGGTCCAAGCGGTTGATGCGGGTCGGCAATGGTGGCTTGGCACGCCTTTTGTAATGCAACGGAATGCAGATGGAACCTCTCGGAGTGGTCGGAGTGATCCGTGAGATAGCAACAGGCATAGTCAATAAATTTCGGTCATAATGGAAATGTGAGAGATCGCCCACGCCAGGGCCTGAGCATAGTAGAATCCTCGAGCGCCGACATTCCTATCATTTCCTCTCTTGCCGAATTGTTTGCTTATTATTTGGTAAGATGATTCTAGATATAACATAGTACAGTCTTCAATTCCTTCTCTATTTGCTTCGGAGCAATCAACGATATAATAATTTATTTAGACAGTCTCACTCACCTCTAATGGATATCAACGCTATGGTACGGTGCTAACAGGATGGTTTCTCAGAAACATAAAGTTATCTTGAGCCTACTAAGCAACCTGATCGCTCACCCTAGTGCTCAGACTGATCGGCCCGTTTGATCTTAACTTGCATTATCGTTCTTTCAAAAGCTCCGATGATATCCGCACTGCTGCCTACTCCTAGGAGCGATGACTAGGAAATAGCGCATTCTCCCGTTGCTATAGTAACTTTCACTCTGTAAACTTCTAGTTGGTCGGCTCAATAGTGTCTTTCAACTTATATGAGAGATTGACCATCTTATCACCTTTACAATTCACCATCCACTCTTCTATTTAACATGTAGGCTCTGTCCCGCCGTCTATTTAATAATCCTAACATAGATTCCCTTGTTATCCTAATTCACTATATCCGGGGCTGGCTCGATCCCAAGACCATCGTATACTATTACAATCGGGCAAATATCCTCGCGTGCCCTACTATTAGTCTTGAATGTATTCACGCGCTATACTACGCATAGTGGAGAAATAAATCACCGGTATTAGTATAATTCCGAACAAGGAGCCCGCCACCCCCCCACATAGTTAATACTATACTATTGTTCCTAGGATCAGTTCCTCCAGCCGATCCACAACGAGATTAAACGAGATTAATTGGCCACAGCAAAGGGCTAAGAAGTTGCACCGATAACGTAGGTGGTCTCATTTCTATATTGCGTTTACGACAGAGCCAAAAACTGTGCCGATTATCTTATATTATGCTTCATCATGTAACGGGCATAAAGTGACAATAAGGCCTAAAATATAAATAGTCCCAAGGATACCTTCTTTCTAGATTGCCTTATATATCCTTTTAATCCTTGTTAGTATAAGCGTATATCTAAGCTATATCTTATCTAAGGCTTAGATCCGAAAAGCTTATTCATATAAAAGCTTATTAGCTATACCCATTATTAGAAGGTCTATTAATGGTTTAAACCTTATAACCTTCAATGATCCTAGTGATCTTATGATCTATGATCATTACACTAGTGATCTTATGACCTATGATTTGAAATACCTTATAGAACCTCACGATTCCACGTCGTTCTATCAGGTAAGCTAATTAGCTATATATAGGACCTCGAGGAAGGGTCCTAAGAGATTAGAATCATCATCTACTTTTATTTTTCTTGACTATCAAGTGATACTATCAAAGACCCTTACCTTATTTATAAGCAAAGGTGACGTGTGCTTAGGGGTTATATCTTATATAATATATTGTATTATATAAGCGACGGT